ACATACTTCATCCCGGGTTAACCCCCAAAATGTAACTTTTAAAGATCACACATAGCAATGAAAAAGATGCAAAAGTGATATCCTACAGAATAGTGGCAGATTGTTGTTCTATATTTTTTGCAGGTACACAAATTCACGGTTTCAAACTGAGTTTTTTTTTTGAGTTTCTAGATGGTCCCAAACAAGACCGTCCCAAACAAGACCGTCCCAAAGTGAACAACTTTCACAAACAAGCCACAGGAAGTCAAAGCCAAGTTCGTTGTTCGTTTTCCCAACTGAACTTCCAGTGTTTGCAACTGGGTAATCCCTGACAAGATGCGACCACTTGACCATTGCTTTCAGCAGAGCAATTTGGTGGCATGCCACGAGTCCCGCAGGATTCGGAAAATCTGTGTGCCAACTCAAAATCACTGGGCCTTTGAGCCGGAAAGCAAAGCAAAGGTCTTCCAAATTTTCTGCCAAAAAAGATTCACTTGAGAATCGGCCATGGATTCTCCCTGCCCAGCAGCAACACTTTTGACTTCTTTCTGCGGCAATGCAGGACCTTCATCATTTTCTGTCAAACGCCTGCAGAGATCAAGTGGAATTTTGTCCAAATTTGGACATCTGCATACCGCTGCATACCCCACAACCCAATCCTTTATCATCAAGTTCCCTGTGAGCTTTGCAATTTTGCTGGTTTATTTTCAGTGGGCAGTTGAATATGTTAATCTTCTGCCATGAATGGTAATATGACCCATAGGATAGGATCCATGTATGCTATATATGGTAACATTTACCATCAATATACCCCAAATGTTAGCATATATACCATACATGGATCCTACGGGTGATGTAATATTTCCCAACCAGCTGGGAACTTACGTACTTTTTGTTGCCGGAGATCTGCCTGGTTGATTTCTGGGAAAGCCCTAACTTGATACGGCTGAGAAGCCGTGGAACAGCGACAAGGCGACGTGTTGCTGCCATTTTGCCGTGGAACTGGTGAAATCAGTGCGGCCTTTCGAAAAAGGCGGGAGGGTGGCATCCCGTCCAGTGAGGGGATCCAAGATTTTCACCGAGACCACATTTTTGGGGAGAAACATGGATAAACATCTAAAATCATCTAAAATCTAAAGATCTAAACATGCCTTTATAAATGATGTTCACCATGGTTTGGCTTTTGATCCTCACAGCTGCAAAACTGAAGCTGTCAAAGGAAATCAGATATTTTCACAAGGAAGATGTGCCACCATTTCTTGAAGCAGTCAAGTCGTCCCCAGGAGTCGATCGATATTTCCAACAGTGTGTGGTGCACGACGGTCTGTTGCTTCAGAGGGTAGTAATCCGGAACAAGACACGATTATACCTTTAAGGGATTTGAAACGGATAAAAGATATATATATATATAAAAGGTGATTGGTACTTATCCTATTTATCCTCCTTTGTGTCAACAAACATAGCAATTGTGTGTTCATCCCCCACTTATTTCGTTGATTTTGCCAGCATTGAGAAGCCCGAAATCTCGGGACCCGAACGACCCGAACGACCCGAATGGCCGTTTAATGTTCAATCTGGAGGATGATCAACGTATTCAAGATATTTTAAGACGATGTTTATCATAAGATGCCACAAGTATTACCGCAAGCATGATTATTTCAACTTTTTTTCATGATAAACTGTATGTGGATTGGAGTTTTCTGATTTTCAGATCTGCCTAGATGAACCAGATGAAGCAGTTCTTCTGTCACTGTTGTGTCGGGTCTGAAGATGATATTCAAGCCCAATGGATTCAATTGATGTGAATGTTGATAGGGAGATGACTCACCGGATTTTTATGTGATGCCACAGGATGCCACAGGATATCCACTGAGACATTCGGCTCGAGCGAGACCCTGGATGAGCCCCACTGGGCCATTGGCTGATATGTTTCGAGGAGGCTTGAAACCAGCCAGAAGACAACATCATCACAAATCTATGCGCTTTAGAGAGGTATACATATACAATACATATACAAAATTTACATAAATATAATATGATATTGTATTACCTCCTACAAAGAAAGGATGAGCTGATGAGCTTTTCGCGCAAAAGTCGAGCAATCAGCAATCACTGGACCACTGGAAGGATCTGGAAACTCCAGCTTGGTGAAGATCTAGTCCTGGGTCATCGGGGAACATCATGATATCATGTTATATCACCCTTCAGCAAAAAAATATAACCATATACGGATTATCCAATGGTCATCATGAGAAATTATAGCACCATGATATGGATTATATGGTTATCCACCATGATATCATATTATATCAGATATGGATTACCATTATCTTATCAATATAATAAGATAATCATATTGGTAATTATCATATGGCCATTACATGGGGGTCATCCATATCTTATATCAGATATTGGATACCAATATATCACCATCCAAAGTTGGATGACCAATTGGATGAACCCCCCATTTCTGGCTCAGTCCCGATTTCCCGGCCATTCCCGATTTCCCGGCCCCATTGGGTTCGGCGCCACGGCGCCATGGAGCAGCCCGCCATCAATGAGGCGACCGACCACGGGATTTTTGGAAGCATTTCATTTTCAGACAAAGCCATGTGCGTATGGATAATATGTATAATATTGTATCATAATATTATATATATACAATATTATAATATATCATAATATATATATATATATATATACAATATTATAATATATCATAATATATATATATACAATATTATAATATATCATAATATATATATACAATATTATAATATATCATAATATATATATAGATTATGATACAACAGAGAGAGAGAGAGTTTTGCATACATCTATATGCATAGCTGGGTATATACAAAGATGCGTGGGACATGGGGTTTCTATTTTGCCGAGGCGGGCTATTTTTGGGGTGAACATTTGTGAGTTTTGCATATTCCGCGCCAATCACTTTTAGGTCGGTCATACTTTGGCTTCAAAATTTGGGGATTTCCCATCACTTTGCCAAACATGGGATAATAACTGCTGTTTTAAAGCATGAGTTTTATTGGGCTAGCCGGGTAGCTGGGTAGTCTTCAGACAAAGCCATCTGGATTGTGATTAGGCTCCAAGAACCACGGGTGGTTCGGAAGTCTCAGAATTGAATTGAGATTAATTGAATTTGTCCCATGAAGCATTGGGTCTTTAATATGTATATGGCATTATATGGCTACTTAACGCCATGAGAAACACTTCCGTAAGCTGGGAAGCAACATCCGCATAGTGTATTCAATTTGGCCCTGGCAGGGATCAGTCTTTGGTTGCTCCCAGCATTCAGCAGGTGTATATCCCCATGAACCAAGGATTCAGCCCATTTCGATGAAGTGGAATGGCGGAATTGTTCCCACAAATTGATCTATGATTTAGTAGCTCAATCCATTCGTTTTTTTTGGCGCCCTATTTTTTGGAAAACCGCTCCTAAGTGGATTGAAGTGATGTATTTTGGGGACTCCTGTAGCAGGGATGTCGAAGCAAGGTTTAAAGAACCGGACCAACAATTTGTATTGTGATTATACTGTCATCGCGAAGCGGTTTCACTCCCACATGACACTTGACTCTTGACAAGCGATTCAGCTGCGGCTAATGCGATCAAAAACCTGGGGACGGTCACTGGATGCACGCCGTACTTGGCACAGCCAGTGATAGTAAGCGCTGATGGAGCAGTGGTAGCCATGTTTGTTTCCCAGTGGTGTACAGGGAGATTTGCGTTTTGACCCAAGCATTGTGCAAATAGATCAAATTAGCGCAAGTAAGGATGCGCATCCGTAAGCATGGGTTTACATCATCCGCCCGCGCAGTAAATCATGTGAGCAGAGTCGGTCGAACTATCAGGGCGAGCAAATCTTGAGCGCAAATAAAGATGCGGCAATTGGCGGCCCTTCTCCCATTTGTTCCTATAGACACCACTTGAGAAAATTAAGGCCTTCTTTGCTTTGCGGCTCAGAAGGCCAGAAGGCCATGCGCCTGTTTTTTGGTGAGGGGATCCAAGAAAACATAAGCAGCCTCTGGTGTGTTATTGCTGCGTTCTGGTGAAACATCCCCTGTCTGTCTTTTAACTTGTTGCCGCGCTCGCCATGCCCACCATGCTCACCACGCACACCACCACAACAACAACAAACCTTCATGCCAAACCATTCATGTCCATGTCTATTGATTGAGCCACCATGTGGGAAGGGCTTGCTGTCAGCTCGCAGTTGTACTGTATAGTTGTTTATTTGATTTAGTTTGTGGAAACTAGGCATGTGAACATTGTCCTTGAACATTCTCCATTTACATTTTTTAAGGCCAGAGAATAAAAATTCACGTGTCGACAAAGATCTGTTTCAATGATTTGAGCAGGAGCCAAAAAGCGGAGCATCGTATGGAATGGGATTCTGCCATACCCAAAACGAAACGTTTCTAAAGAGGATCCCATATTCTTGAGCACAATGTCACATTACTTCACATGTGCCATTATTGAAGGAGACTGCAAACATAGTTTCAATGAACACGCAAAACAATCAAAACACAAACAAACTATGGAAATTCGTCTGAAAATGGTTCTAGTCCAGCTGCCATTTTTATTCCTTTAATGTTGTGTTTGGTGTTTCTTTGGTTCTTCCGTTTTTGCTCTGCAGACTTGCATGGCAAGGTTTCGAGCAGATGCACGGAGTGAGACTAGTGAATGTGAAAAGTTCCAGCATATGTATGTATATATATATACACATAAATCATGTTTGTTGGGACAGCAACAAATGAATAATTCCTTGACTTTGATGGATATTGAAGAGCATGTGTTTGTTTTGCAGTCTCTTCACAAACCCTTCTGGGAAAAACATGGGGGTTTATCATTATTTACCTGGAAATAAACCAGTTACCCCCAAATCCATCGAAATCCAGTAGTCCACTAGTCCACCATTGTTTCCCTATTAACATGCCATTTTGATTGTATACCCCATTTTCAGACACACCCATGTAAATAAATGTTGTTGCTGCACAAGGCAGGCTTGCTGAACTCCATGTCCTTCGAGGATTTGCGCGTGACATGCGAGCGACTGGAACGCAGTTGCGAGGAGACCACAACGAAATGACAGCGGGACCACTGGGTACCTCACAAACATTGGTGGAAGACACAGCAACAGAATTAACAAGAGGAACCAAACAATTTGGGTGATTAGAACTGGAATATGACCCGTAAATGGGAAAACTGTGGAAAACTGATTGAAGAGGAAAGTGATCGAATACTTTAAGAATTTTGGTTTTTAATTACGCGTCTGTGGTTGAAACTGATGAAACATGACCATCATACCTGGCACCTGGGCCACAAAGCTTGATGTCCAAGTCCATGTGTAACTGTCGCAAGAACGGATGCTTAGCATTTTGGATCGCTGTCCCAAATTTGTGTCACAAGACACTGGATGGTTTTTGAGTTGGAATTGTCCTACAAGATTTTTTGGCAGTTAGATGCAGTTAGCCAGAATCTTGTCATTGAAACCCCCATTCACCAAAGTTGGAATAGCAATAGCGGATGAGATGGATTGGTATCTGCGGATTGAATTGTGATGGCTGAAACCAGCACATCTTATTTTACTGTATCTTTATCCTGTATAGGTATGATCGCTCCTTGAAAGTCAAATGATTCGTGGTCTTCCCCCACAGCAGTGAGGATTTAGAATGCTATCCAGGGGTAAATGAGTCATTGGGATTTGGACCTTTCTCAATTCAACCATAAAAAACATCACGCGCCTGCAGGACATGCGTTCTTTACTCAACGAATTTGTGGAGGAACAGGTGGGGTTCCTGCCGTTCCATCTGGTTGATTTTTGTTGTCAGTGATCTACGAGATGGCATTGGAGGAATGAAGAGAATACTGACTGTTGGCATATATAAATATGTATTTCTACATACTCATGTATACTTTGTATATATATATATATATACAGCAAATGCCTGGGCTTTGCCCGGAACCGCAACCACGACAGGCAACGCATCATCATCATCATCATCATCATCATCACCATCATCATCATCATCATCAGCATCGGCATCATCATCATCATCATCATCATCACCATCGTCATCAAACCCTTATTGAAGTGAAGATCTTCAATGAATGCAGAAGTTAAACGGGGGGTTGGAGAATTAAAGCATTATTGAAGATCTTCAATGACTGTAGAAGTTTATCGGGGGTTGGAGAATTAAACCCTTATTGAAGATCTTCAATGAATGTAGAAGTTTAACGGGTGTGGGAGAATTAAACCCTTATCGAAGATCTTCAATGAATGTAGAAGTTTAACGGGGGTGGGAGAATTAAACATTGAAGATCTTCAATAAATGTCAAGTTTAACGGGGGTGGGACTTTAATATTCCCTAATACCTTTGTTGATCCTCCCAATTGAATGTAAAGTGCAACGGGGGTGGGATTTTAATATTCCCTAATACCTTTGTTGATCTTCCCAATTGAATGTAGACTTTAACGGGGGTGGGATTTTAATATTCCCTGAAACCTTTGCTGATCTTCCCAATTGAATGTAGAGTTTAACAGGGCTGGGATTTTAATATTCCATAATACCTTTGTTGATCTTCCCAATGGAATGCAGAGTTGCAACAACATTTGATTGGCAATGGGGGCCCTCTACGCTGCAACGCCTGGGCAAAGCCCAGGCATTGCGCGTATATATACATAATATGTTCATAATGCACATGTATATGTACATGCACATGTATATGAATATGTGCATGTACATATATGTATAGATAGATGAGCGCAATTACATTTGTATTTGTATTTGTATACATATATATTACGGATGGATGTGTCTTAAAATAAAGGATTTAAACAGCAAACATGGGGGTAGAGCAACATCAAGAGTGGGGATATAGGGGGAATATAATCGAACTATGATGTATAACTGTATAACCGACACTATGATAGGTGTGTCTGAAAATGAGGTATACCTTGAATGTATGGTTATCTTCATAATGGAATAAGATTATCAACCATCAACACTTCATGGAGACCTTGATGCTTAAAAACTCTTTTGAATTGGACTGCAAATGGTACAGTAAATTGATTTATCAAAGCTTAGTCGGTTTGTAGTTGGTTAACATTGAGGAATATTCTCTGGTTCTGCATATTGCGATATGTTCCACGACGGATGCTCTCCGTAGATGGTCGATGCATGCTGAGGTGTTCAGATCTGGTTGTTGGATTCTTTCCAGATTGGATGAAATTCCCATAGGATGGATTGTAACATATTGTAACCATACACTTGGATTTTTCAAAATATGATCGAAAGAAGTTTAGAAGTCAAACTTCCGACAATATGGACAGATGAAAAGCAGAGCAGGGAAGAGGCAGAGAGAAGAGAGAGAGAGTAGAAGAGAGAAGATCAGAGAAGAGAAAGAATCAGAAGAAAGCAGATGCAGATGCGCGAAAAGGTAGGAAAGTCGCGAAACACTGTGTTTTCCCAATGATTTGACGCTCCGGAGGGTCGAAAAGTAGGCTCGCTAAAGCGGTGGGTGCGGAGCCAGCTGGCCAGATGAGAGATGAAAAATTGCACGCCGTTGTGGCGCGAAGCACATTTGCAAGTCAAAATGTACAAAACACACCAGGTGCGGACCACTTTTGGCAGTTGAGATGTCGAAAAAGTGCACGCCGTTGTGGCGCGAAGCACATTTGCAAGTCAAAATGCGCAAAACACCTCAGCCTCGCACCACTTTTGGAGGCTCAGATCGAAAAAGTGCATGCCGTTGTGGCGCGAAGCACATTTAGAAGTCACAATGTACAAAACACACCACGTTCGGACCACTTTTGGAAGTTCCGATGTGGAAAAAATGCACGCCGTTGTGGCGCGAAGCATATTTCGAAGTGAAAATGTACAAAGCACCACATGCTCGCGCCACTTTTGGAAGTTCCGATGTGGAAAAAGTGCATGCCGTTGTGGCGCGAAGCACATGTCGAAGTCAAAATGTTAAAAATACCACATGTTCGCGCCACTTTTGGAGGTTCAGATGTCGAAAAAGTGCACGCCGTTGTGGGGCGAAGCACATTTCGAAGTCAAAATGTTAAAAGCACCAGGGGTTCGGACCACTTTTGGAGGTTCAGATGTCGAAAAAGTGTACGCCGTTGTGGGGCGAAGCACATTTCGAAGTCAAAATGTTAAAAACACCAGGGGTTCGGACCACTTTTGGAGGTTCAGATTTCGCTTCGCTTCGCTTCACTAAACTACACAACATTACACTACACCACACTCCACTAGACTACACTACTACACTACATTCCACAACACTACAACTACAACTACACAACTACACTCCACTAATTAAATTAAAATACACTACACTACATTACACTACACTACACTCCACTACACTACACTACACTACATACACTACACTACACTCCACACACAACACTACACTACACTCCACAACACTACAACTACAACTACACAACTACACTCCCCTACACTAAATTGCACTACACTACATTACACTACACTACACTCCACTACACTACACTACATTACACTACACTCCACAACACTACAACTACAACTACACAACTACACTCCCCTACACTAAATTGCACTACACTACATTACGCTACACTACACTCCACTACACTACACTACACTACATTACACTACACTACACTATAACTACAACTACGACTACACAACTACACTCCACCACACTCCACTACACTAAATTACACTACACTACACTACATTACACTACACTACACTACATTACACTACACTACACTACATTCCACTACACTCCACTACACTACATTACACTACACTACATTACACTGAATGACACTGCACCACAGATAGACAGGTAGACAGAGAGACAGATAGACAGATAGACAGGTAGACAGACAGATAGACAGATGAAAGAGAGAGAGAGAGAGATAGATAGATAGATAGATTGATTGATAGACAGATAGATAGATAGATAGAAAGGTAATTAGATGAAAGAGAGAGAGAGATAAATAGATAGATAGAAAGATAGGTATGGAGGTAGGTAGATAGTCAGAGAAAGAGAGAGAAAGAGAGGAGACCTCAAGCACCTTTCGGTCCATCAGTCCATCCCTGATTCACAACAACCAACCTCTCCTATAGGTTTCCTATGTTTGAAACTTCCGCCACCGCCTTGTGCGGTACTACTGGCAAACTATGTGTTATTTTTGGCCCTTTGGGGAGATGTGCTCATAAAAGTCACATGTCGCAATCAATAGGACGTTCAGGGCCAGGGGATCAACAAAACGGGCTAAGAGATATGTAGTTTCAGTATGTTTCGGCATGTTCTGACTGTAATTTGTCCAACAAAACCAACTTTCTCTTGGATGATTTCTTTTCGGTTGACCGGTCATTGGGATTTCACTGCGACTCGCTGCAACTCGTGACTGTGGCCAGGCGATGTTGCGACGAGAGCAAGATCGTCTCCACAAGTCTTGGACTTAGAGCGTTAGACGCAGATCAGCCATGCTGAAAGGCTGTCGGTTTCGGTTGGTGAATTGGAATTGATTTGGATGATTTGGATGTGGGGGTCCACCTTTGATTTTTGCTTGTGCCTTGCACAGAAGGTTTCCGACTATTCATGACATCCATGTGTTGAAAGTCCCAAACAGTTGTTGTTTTTGCTCAACCACTCGGCACTGGAAGACCCTGTCGCAGTTTATGACTTCTATGGTCTAGGAGTCTAGCAAATTTGGGCCATGTATGGCCATTTCCAAAAAGAATTTGATATTTGTTTACATCTGAACATGTTCTATTCTGGCATGTCTTTAAGACCACGGTTTTCGTTGAACTCGTTTTGTGGTGGTTACATGCACCATGTCTTGTTGGTTGAGTTTCCAGTTTCCATCAGTTGAAGTGAACCTTTCCTGTACCTTCCAGTAAATTATTTTCAAATAAGTTCCATTTTCCAATTTGAATTCAATTTCATAGTGGATTTCCACTTGCCATGTTTGATTACTTTACTAGAGGGTATCCAATGGATTGCTGCTGCACAAGTCTCTAAGATTCTCTAAGTCTCTTGGACCCCCTTGGCGGCTTTGGACCCACCTCACCATTGTTGCCGGTTTAACGCCACGGTGTGGCTGAAATGGGCGTGTGTTTTTCCCTTCTGAATGCCACAATCACTAGCACATTGGATCACACCCCCAAAATGAGTTGCTGAGTCCGCTCTGGTGTTGTGACATCAGTTCCCGTTTTTTCAGTGCATAAGCTTCATAAACTGTGATATCAAATGCCCGCGTGGATATTTTGTGCTGGTTTCATTTGTCCTTTCTGTTACTGAACTTTTGCTTTTGTGGCTCAATATGGATAAGTCCCTGCCATGGTCAAAAGCTGCCCATGGCAGATTCCCATGATTCATGGGATGACCATACCACATTTATCCCATCTAACATCTAACTTGACCATGGCTACATCTCTACACTTCCCCTTCTTTTTCCTGGTAAAATACCTGCTAAAACGGTCATTTCTTCAAGGCGAGTAGAGAAGGCACAGAAGAAAGTGGGCCGCCAGGACTGGCCGAAGTCACCATGCTCCAAAGGCACAGCATAATGCTACAGAAGGTGGTGCCCCCACAGGTATGTTTGTTGGTTTATAAATCCCATTATAAAACTAGTTTGATATATATATATATATATATACATATATATATATATATATCCATATACATACATGCATGCATGCATGCATACATACATACATACATACATACGTACGTACGTACATACATACATACATACATACATACATACATACATACATACATACATACATACATACATACATACATACATCATACATACATACATACATACATACATACATACATACATACATACATACATACATACATACATACATACATACATACATACATACATACATACATATACATACATACATACATACATACATACATACATAAATACATATATATCGGCCATAAATCCGCATTGTATATGACAGTGAAAAACCAACTTAGCCAACTAGGTTGAGAATCATCCCACGGTTTATCAGTGGTTGATAACCATAGTTACCCTTTTAAAGATGGGTTAAACCACAAATTTGGGGCTTACCAAGCAAATCTTTTGAGAATTACCAATTGGGGGTGATCCTCAAAGGGAATAGAACCACTTTACATATTGATCATATTGGGGGAGACTTCGAATTTTCTGGGATCTTTCTTTGGAGGCGTGGCAAACGATGCTTATTTGGAGCACTTTGGGTGGAATGTCACTGAGACATTCAGTAGAAATGAAGCCTTCATCATGATGTACCATGTACAGTATCCAAGATTATCCAAGTTCTCTTGATATTTAATCACTTCGAAAGCTTTGGTGCAAAAGTTTAAACGATTGTCACACGTTTCTTTGTTTCCCGGACATGCGTCATCCTTGCTTTCAGGTCAACGCATTTAGTCAGTTCATTTCTCCATTCTTTCAGCGGATCTTTTGCTCCCTTTCTTCCTTGGCTGTGCTTGCAAGTATGCCCGAAAGAAAAAAAAACACCAACCATTGCATTCCATGTGTACAGTTTTTTATTTGATTGAGTGGTGTGTACTTACTCCCAATGATTGTACATGTTTTGTTTGCGCCGCCAAAGCCCTCGGGATGTGGATGTGGAGAAAACGGATTTATTGCATCAGTGAACAATAATAAGCATCTTTATGTGTTTAGTTTTGTCATGACGATTGACTTAATATGGGCTATTTAAATCTATTTAATTGAAAGCCTTGGGACTGAACCAAGAAACCCGAAACAATCACGCAAAGTAAGCGGATTTGATCAATACAAAATCGCCCCATCCGTGCGCGATGTAAGTCGTTGGTGAAGACTGGAGCTGGCTCAACCACCGTGGCGGGAAAATTCCACCGATGGGTTCCGGTTTGACCGAACAATGCAGGGGATTGCCCAAGGGACCCAATGGTACCAATGTTTATCCTTTTCCCTTATGATTACCCTCTGGTAAACTAACATAGCTATTGAAAATGGCCATTTATAGTGGATTTTCCCATTAAAAATGGTGATTTTCCATTGCTATGTTAGTTCACCAGAGGGTATTCATTTTGGGGTCATTGTTTCTTGGGGGGGATGGGATTCGAATTTTACATGGCCGTAGCCTCAAGATCCTTCACATAGGAGAACTTCATCGACAACCTGATCAGTGATATGGAGCAACTCGAGGTCTCTACACGGCCAAGCTGGGTTTGGTGATATGTCGCATCCCGAAGTCCCCAAAGTGTGAAGGTTGAACCATCAATCGATGAATTTTCCACTTGATGTGGGAAACTGGAACCCAATAATAAACCTACCATTTAGGGATGGTTTATATGTTTATACCACCCATTTACCGTGATTTTGGGTATGGTTTATTAATTATCTTTCTTAAAATGACAGAACCTGGGGATCAACAAATGGGGTTTAAGAAAGACTACTGGTCCAAAAATCGGGAGTAAAACTGCTGCTTATAAGAAGAGCAGATCCACTTTGTCAGGCTTATAAGCTTGCAATTCCGCACAAAATCTTGCCCCCACGAACGAAGCAGCGAAAAACATGATGTCCTTTTTGTTTCTAAAACACATATCATGAGGCTTGGCATTTTCCCCGCAATCAATGAAATGCACATCTCCTAGGGTACAGTTTCAGTAAACTGTGTTTTTTACCTGCATCTTGGGGAAAATATGGCAAAGTACAGCCCCTTTTGCTGGTTCAACCCATGGTTCGATCAGAATAGATAGATTTTTTGCTGCTCGAGAATCCCTGAATCATTTTCAACAAAAACAAATAACTTTGAACTGGAAATAGATCGGCATTTCAGAAGCGCCACTTTTTGATCTGCCATTTTACAACCCTTCACCACAGTTTTGTATATATAAAACTATGTACTGTATACAATTGTATATATAATTATATATATATACACATAGCATGTATTACAATCCGTAAATGTATGCTTCCTCCCCGCAGACCCCCTGGTCCCATGCTGTCTCGAGGTGTCGAATTTGCTCTCCAGCATCTTTCGTGCGAAGGAAGAACGAAAGGCTTGATCCGCTCGGGTCTCCGGCGGTTTTGGTGGTGAGATCCTAAGTCTTAGCTGTGTGAAGCGCGTCACCCACTTCATGTTCTTGAAATCATCTTAAACTTAGGGCTGAAGTCTCAAGTTTTGTTTGAATCCCCAAAAACGGTGAATTTGATATTAAAGAACTGCCCAAGTTTGGTGCAAGAAAACACCTACAGTAAGATGGTCGAACTTTGAACTCCCAAGTTTCGGTTTGCATCACCCCCAGTGTTTGTTGCAGCCCCCATTGTTTGGTGAACTCACCCAGTGTTTTGTGCTGCGCCCTGCGCCCACAGGTTGCAAAGAGACGTCGATGGGCGACGAAGGAAGCAGCAGGCGGTCCGGCCTCAGCCGTGGTTAAAACATGTTAAAACAATGCCATAAACTAGCCATGACTGGCAATGGTAAAAAAATATACCACCTTTGAAATTGGTGATGACTGGGGGATGACTGGGGGATGGTTTATCATTGTTTTAACCACATTATAGTTTTTTAACTATTCTAAAAACTATAGTTAAGCACTGATAACCAACTTAGCTGTCGTTTTTTCAGGGTGAACTCGCCGTGAGAAATCACCGGGGAGATGCGTTGATGTGACACTGTGACATGGGGAGTTGGGGCTCATTTTCTGAGGGCCTCGGAATTCGCCCATGTTTTTGCCTGTTAGACGGGGTGTTTTTGACTCACCAATAAAAACATAAAAGCCACATGTTCCTGTGTGGTCCGCTTGCGTTGTTTTCCAGGATTGGCTGAAGGAAACAGTGACAGTTGAAAAACAAAAATGGCCCCCAGGTGACCCATTTCCCATTGTTGGATCACAAAAAAAACCACAGACCACAAAATCGACTTAGTTTCCCATGGATGTCATTACAGTAATACATCCTACATGTATGTAATATATAGCTATATATATATATATACAATTATACACATAATTATCGCATGGAATATCCCATTCTGTATCCCATTCTTGGTTCAATCCTTTTTTTTCCTGTATATCTGGGGTCTAAAACCCATGAAAAAGATAGGATCTAAAACTGATCTCCCCATGTCCCCATTGGTGAAATCGCTGAAATCATGGGGGCTCTTCCCATGGCCGAAAACGGGGTTCCCCGTTTTCCAGGCCAAGTGAAGGCCGCAGACACGGAGAAGGAGAGGAGATGGAGATCAGCCCCAGGTGAAATCGGATGCGATGGTTTTTAGGTTTCACCATCATTTATATCATACTATATCATACTATATCATACTATATACATCATACTATATATATATCATATATATCATACTATCTCATACTATACCATACTATACCATACTTTATCATAATATAGCATCTATACCATACTATACCATACTTTATCATAATATATCATACTATATATATATCATACTATATATATATCATACTATATATATATCATACTATCTCATACTATACCATACTATACCATACTTTATCATAATATAGCATACTATATATATCATACTATATATACTGTATATATATCATACTATCTCATACTATATCATTTATAGATTCTCAGGATTTTGGTAGGATTTCAGGGTTGTATCGTTTTCTGGTGGTACTGTAATGATCTCACATCATTTTTTGTCACTGGAATGATGATTTTCTATGATTAGTATAGGGTATCATCCCCTAGCTGAGCTGCAGCTTAGTGAATTGTTATAGTTCAATTATGTATATATATAGTCTACGTATGACGTATGCGATATCTGATAGATATAGAGATAGATATCTATTGATCAATATTCTCCTGTCTATCCATCAAAAATGTGGTCTATTCGCAAAAACATGAAGGCTTAATATCGTTTGATCCAGAAAAAACTGAGGTGTTAGGCATGTTTCAGAATACATTGCCTCTTTCTTTTCCATTTTGATGGTGATAGCTACTATATAACCAGCCAAAAGCATGCAGAGTATCTAAGACTTGCCATCTATGGAGGAAAATGCGGGTATCAATTTGAGTTAGCAAGGGGGAATCGTGCCCCATTTGTTTGGCTGTCTACTATATAATTTCATGTTTTATTCCTAAAATATGATTACAATAGTTGCCCAGGTCCATGTCAAAGAATAGTGCATACTCCTGTTTGGCATGGTTGGCTACTATTACATTAATAAGTGTGACCGTTTATTTGGGCTGTCTTCCGTCAACATCCCAGAATAAGTGGCAATTCATGGCTCAACATCTTTGTCAACCATTCTGTTCATCTTCGCTCATGTTGACCTTTCCTCACCTACAAATTTACCTATGTTCAGAGCGAACATCACCAGAGCAGAGGCAAATTCATGAGCCACATCTTGATGGTATGGGTTATGATAAGTTGAAACTCTTGGATGCTCATCCCTGTGATGGCTGCAACCATTGATTGGCACAGTTATCAGATCGATTGTTTCTCTTGGTGACTTCAGTGACACCTCGCTTATCACTTGCAAATAAGATAGCAAGAGCACGACTCCTTTTTTCTGTGCCCAATTCTGGAATGACACGCTTCTGATTTCTAGAGTTCAATGAGTTGGCCTCCCCATGTCCATTTTGCCACAATAGGGCCTCCCTCTGACCGCTTCCAATCGAATTTCGTGCCCGTTTCGGGTTTCTGCAGGACCTGCAAGATGAGGGGCCCTTCAGCGATCACACAGTGCTCCGACGAGGGGCCAATCGATTGGCGGACCGACCAACCAGTCTTCATTTTGGGGTGTGTATCGGTGATGATTCTTATGATGAGTTTGATGATGATTTTAAGCATCAAAGTGAATAGTCCCAAATAGTCCCAAATAGATCCAAATAGTGCTGTCACCTGGCCATGGAATATCGATGCGAATCGCAAACTGAAACATCCATGAAAAAGGTGGAGGAGTTTTCGTTGAACAAAAATTGTGAATTTCATGAATTTTCCATGAACAAGATCATTCCATCATTTCTTTTATCAAGAATTCTTGATAGTTTCACATTCCATGCTTTATTCTGGTTGATTTATCAAGCATTTCTTGACCCTGAAGCTCTTGCATGTTTTGCATCATTTGCATTTGCAGTGGGCTATCAGACCTTCTATATGGGTCTGTCTCAAAATAGAGTTTGTATCCCCTTCCAAACACTGGTTAATCACCATTTTGCCCATTAAAACATATTAAAACCACAATTATATGATTATATGCACGTGATCCATATATATATATATATATCCATATATACCCATATATATCCATATTAATGATAGTTTTAATCCAATTTTCGCACCATTGGTAGGTCATACGCCCCTGGAAAAATCCTCACCTTCCAACTGGGTTCCTTCCAGGTCATGTAGCGCCAGCTCTCGAAATCACAACTTCTTTGGACATCGGAGATTCTGTGCATAGAATTGCAATTAATTTAATATATAATGATATAATGATATACAATGATTTATAATAATATATAAGAATAAATGATAATATATAATAATATGTAATGATATTTAATAATATATATATATATATTTAGATACATAGCTATCCAGACATACACACGCACCCATTATTGATAGTTGATATCTATCATCACCAAGTAGAATGATCAAACATGACCATCGATTCTATTGTAATTTCCGACAATATATAGTTGTCCTTTTGAATTTTGTTGACAAATCGTACAAAAATGGGAAGCGGGTTTGTAACCCACCTTTAACTATAGGCATATGTACCAACTCAGCCATCTTATTTCGTTGATGTTAGATGGTGAACTAACTTATTTAATTTAACCTGAAATAGGTGGTGTAACTGACTTAGATGAACTTAGAACACAAATCCCAACATTATATTAGTGAAATAAACATAAATAAACCAAGAAGCGATTCCAAATTAGGGCCAGATCCGACTGGTCTCACCAGGTGAAATTCTCCTGGGCCACCGAGCTGCAGGGTGAGAGGTGCCATCCTGGATAGAAATTTGGGCATTGTGTTCAGGTTGGTTACCATCATTTTCCCACATTCAGAAGATACAGCAGTTGTTTACTACCTTCGTAGGATTTTACTTGTCTATCTTTTTTGGGATTCCTGTATACAAATCTGGATAGATTACAACCTGGATACCCTCTGGTAAACTAACATAACTATGGAAAATCACCATTTTTAATGGGAAAACTCACTATAAATGGCCATTTTCAACAGCTATGTTAGTTTACCAGAGTGTAATTCTCCAAACTTAGCCATTTGGGCTAAATGGTTCAGTGTGAAACCCCAAAGTTTCTCGCAAAGTCCATTTTTGTATTTGGAAGCGCAGAAAGCATCGTGCATCCCCTTTTTTTGATCTTCTGCTTTTGTGTTTTTGATATGTTATATACAGAATATGTATATATATATATACACACGTGATATGTATAATATTGATATATGTGGATGTGGACACATATACTGTATATTTGAACTTGTTATGGAAACATATATACTGTTTATTATATACAATATATATCATAGGAACATACATCTACCTAGGGCCATCCGTTTGCGATCTCCCCATTACATGAATCACCAGAAATCTTCGATGGCTGTGTGCAGCTTCTGCAGACGTTCGGTGTCCTCACACATGGCTCAAACTTGGCTGGCAATCTATGATTCTAAATAATTATACATGTATATTCCCTCATATTTTGCAATATATATATATATATATAATTATATACATGTATACGTGCTGTATACATGTAAGTACACATGTAAGTGCCTCCCCCAGTTATAAGTTGGTCAAACCCTCTAGCTATAGTTATATCATGTTATATCTCTCCTTAAAGCCTGGTTAAACCCTAGCGATCTCGTTACCACGGGGCCCCCGACCGTGCCGCGGATAACTCGGAGAGGCTTCCTTCCCCGGAACTGGCTGGGCATGGTGCCGACGCATTGTCGCGCTGGGTGCCGGGCTGGGGGCGGCGTGGGGGATATGGGTTTATGATGGTTTATGCAGGCACCAAAAAAAACACAAAGTTGGGTTAATGTGGTAAATCTAATAATAAACCATCCCCAAAATCGCCATACATGGATGCTACAAACCATCCCCAAATGGTAGGTTTATTCTTGGCTTTGCGACATTAAACCCAAAGTTTATCCTTTTCGGGAAGACTGATCGTAATCCATCGGACCCGATACACAAACCATTCCAGATATATTGCCCACATTCTTCACTTATATGAGAAGACTGAGTGCCCTGGAAGTCTGATGGTCTACTTGTTTGCCATGGGGGAATTGAGTAAATATCGATTCTGCCGGGACCTTTGGGAATAGTTCCTGAAAACGAACGACGCAACCTGAAGAGCAAGTTTGCACGTGTAAACGGCAAGCTTTGGGTTCCATTGTAAAATCCGAAGGCTATGGGTCATTTTTTTTGACCGACCAACATGGAAAGAGTATACATATATAATCATATATATATATTAAATTCAGGTCTTGACAATATGAAATAATTATGAATTGGATTCATAACATAGCCCATCAGTTTGGATTGGATAGTGATGGGCTTGGTTCATAGATTAACGTTCAAACCTGTTTTTGAGAGATTGTTTTCAACCCCCAAAATTCATCACTGCAAAAGAGCATCTAGAAAAATCATGTGGCGGGTTAATGTCACTATATTTGTTGGGTACACATTGTGTTTGAATGTGTTTGATGGGTGCCAACTGTTGACACGAAACACAACATTGGCCACGAACATCTGGTTTTTGCGGTTTCAAGAACTGTCTATTCTCCACACAAAAAAGACTGGGAGGATGATTTGTGTTCACATACCTAGCGGCATTACCCCTATAAATCAACCATTCTTGGGGAATATTCGTGAATATGATTGAATATTCATATCCTTCAGAATACCCTCTGGTAAACTGACATAGCTATGGAAAATCACCATTTATAGTGGATTTATCCATAAAAAATGGTGATTTTCCATAGCTATGTTAGTTTACCAGAGGGTAGATTGATGTTCCCCAACGACTCATACTTTGGTGATCCTCAGCAGATCCCAGCCAGGTGCGCGAAGTGATGTCGGGCGATCCAGTCGTGCCATGCCTCAGTTGGGGATCCCCTCCAGCAATGGCCAGCTGGAACACCCCCGAAGTAAATAAAGGTGGCTGGAAAATGCTGGAAACCTCAACGAACTAAATGGGATAATTAATTATTTCCCAGCAAACCATGAAAATGGATCTAAATGGGATATTTCCCAGCAAACCATGTTTGATTATCAGATCTACACCAGGGTAGACTGGGGGCTGTGTTTCTAGTGGCTTCTAAGGGAATGAGTGGCTAAGAAGCAAGAGATTTGAGCAGCGTGGAGATTGCGCCAAGATTCAGCTCGGATATCGGATTATCACAGGCTTAGTTGGATCGTTCGATGGACTTTCAAAGTCGCCAAGTTTGTCTTCCACTGAAAAAATGCTGGTTTGGGTCAAAGCGAAATGGCAACGATCTTCCAACCGATGCAGGCCTGTCAACCTTGCGTTGCATGGATGAATATCCCAGAAATCGACAGAAATGATCTACAAGACAATGCTTGAATCTTGTTTTGACCCATAATTGAGCAAGGTTCAAAAATCCTGATGGTTGATGAATATAGGTGGTTATTCCATCCAACATATTGGGGATTATCATCATCCATTGTGGGAATCCCCATAAAACAACTAGTGTAATGGAATGACATTGTGGGTGTGGAACACTGCTCAAGTGGGATATCAGCAGGATTTAACTACCAATGATAGGGATGAAATAGGATATGATATGGGTATAAACAGATATGCTATGGATATACTAGGATATGATATATGGATATAATAGGATATAATGGGAATAACGCCAAGAATTCTGAGCCAACTGGATTATCTCTTCTCGGTGGAGCAGGCGGAAGAGAGATTACCCGATGGTTGGGCACAACTGGCCTGGTACCCCAGGGCCAGCTGAGAGGGGACATGGAAATTGCTAAGATGTGACGGTGAGAAGTTCTGGGGATGCATGGACTTGTTAGTTTTCCCGTCTTTCAAAGTCTTTCTTTATCTATTTTCGGATTTTCCGATTGAAAGTGGGCAAGTTTTGCTGGAGGCACAAGCTTTTAAAAAGGTCAACAGATACGACTCACTTGGGAGACTCCCCAGGGAGATCCCCTCCATGGGAGGCCTCAGACTGAGAAGTCCATCAACAAATTCAACAAATTGATCTTACATATGGTACCCTCTGGTAAACTAACATAGCTATTGAAAACGGCCATTTATAGTGGATTTACCCATTAAGAATTGTGATTGTCCATAGCTATGTTAAATTACCAGAGGGTACATATGGTAATCAACCCACCCCTACAAATCGCTACAGGTCAAGATTAGTCATTTCATCGGCTTCTACATAGTCTAGACGTACGAACATACTGAGACGCCTGGTACAACAACGAGTCAGAAGTCAGAAGTGGTTTCAATCATCATGTAGCACTGTTTGTATGTGTATATAGAAACGTTGCATTGATATGTGTATATAATTATATATATACTATATGCCCGTACATTATATGATTTGTGTACATACATTACCTCACCTTGCCTTGCGTTTCGTTGCATTACATCACATTATACCACATGCATTACATACATGATACTATTCTGACATACAACGACTCAAAATGTTTGCCACCGTTGTCATGATGTCAGTATGTCAGTAACCCCTTGGATTTGGCAATGTTTTCGCATCACTTGGAGAAAATCTTCAGATAGTTGCGTTCTCTTTGCTCTAGCTATGTAATAATAGATTATATATATATAATAGATGATATATATAATAGATTATATATATAATAGATTATATATAATATATATATAACAGGTTATATAATAGATTATATATATAACAGGTTATATAATATATATAACAGGTTATATATATATAATAGATTATATATAAAATAGATAAATACAAAAAAATCTTTCCGGCCCTTCTGGAAAGCTTTTGTTCAAAACGCTTTTCGAGTAAAACCCAAGGTATTCAGCAAGCAGGCAAAAAAAAGCAAGGTTTCAGTTCATGACCTACAAATTCATAGATCAAGGTTCCTTCGTATAGACTTGTATATGGCAACTGGGCAGGTGTCTATTGTAGCAGACAAACAACCAACCTCTTCGGGCAGCCAGTTTCGAACCACAAGCATCCATGCATGTATACATAGATACACAAGATACTTGTATCATTTACACACACAGATAGATATATACATACATAAGTATGATGTTTCCAATAAACAAATGCGTATCTTGTTGTTTAACACACTCTTTTGTGTCATCAGTCGAAGGTTAATTTCTGTCTCACAGTGCTCAAAACGAGCCCGTTTGGCTCGACATGGCGCTAACTTGCTGCGGCTGGATGCAAGCGGGGGGGCACAAGAATGGCCGTCGCCATGGGACTCAAGATAGGGGTAAAGCCGACAGAACTGTGGAATACTGTGGATATCTATTTGGAATGGGGGGAACAAAACTTGCCAAGGATAACTACTAATTACTAATTAACTAGGAAGTGTGTGGATACAATCTTCCAGAAAGTGCGACATTAAGCTGCAAGAGAGGAGATACGACCAGAACTAGTGCGTATATACGTATAGAAACAACGTTTGTTTTTAGTTAAAAGTCATGGCGAAAGAACAGGATTTGATCCATCAAAGATTATCATTTTCACCCTGCCTATATTTTTTAGGTGGGCAGTTTCAGAGGGTCATCCACATGATTCCAAATGGTCTAGAAACGGATGAACAATTTTGTCAGATAGATTCGTCACAGGAATCAATGAATGTCAGGGGTAACTATCCCAGAACGGTGCTATATAATGAATTCTAATACAATGAATCATATGTCTTCCAAATTTTGTGTGTTTGAGGTAGATCGACTGAAACTGAGGCCTTTTTTGATGGAGGATAGAGATTCACAAAACCAAAGTGGGCACAACAACTCCCACTCACAAGAGAAAGGAAGCCGATAATCCGCGTAACAACTATTCACTAGACTTGTCCTTGCTGAAAAACTTTGTGTTGCCTCAGACTCCAGACCCGTCCAGAGAGGTATTTGAAGGACCAAAACTGGGGCAAGGGGATATGCAGTCAAAGAAAGCGTACAAAAAAATCTAAACATGTTGATATTATATAACTTTCAAATATGATAGCAACCATTTCTCCAAGCTAAATGGGATTTTGAACACATGGTTTGGCAAATGTAAAAATTTCGGTGATTTCGAACCATCCCTTTGAGACGGTGGATTCGTGGATTCGAATTGGTCGGTTTGGGGTTTTGGGAGATGAAGTTTTCCACATTCCACACATTCCACACATTCCACACATTCCACACATTTTTTTACCGCGCACGTGACCTCCCTGGGAGGCTCTCAATTGTTTTCGTCGAATTTGTTGTAGTGCCTCGCCGATAAAAAAATGGGGGAGCAGTGCAAGGGGAGTTTGCCATCCCAAAGATGGAGTGGATGATTGTCCGATTAGACAATGGGATCCCTAGCTATTGCTAGTTGGAGTGTAAATGTTCATGTCACATGATGGAGTCACATGGCTAATATCTTTCTTGAAGTGAACTTTAAAGATCTTTAAACTATATACTGGTACCGTATACTCCAGAGCTCCAGAGAACTGGGACGACATCTTCGGCAGGTTGTGACAGTACCAAAGTCAGTCTGATTCTGGCGTGGTGTGGCGGATTGGGCCTGACACTACGAGATGTCATTTACACCTACCAGTTCCTTGGCGCAGAACTGATGGAACTTTTCACCAGTCCCCCAATAAAGGTGACAAAAAGGTGATCCTGCCAAAAGTTGGCTGATTTTACGGGCTAAAAACTAGGTCAATCTCACATGGATACTTTAATCCTTTAGTCTTTTGGTATTAATGGGAATATCTACGTTCACCAGCAAAGATTTTTTCCTTTTTTGCAGGGTATCTAAGATTGGCAATGAAAACAAGCCACACCAATCACCAATAGTTGGCAGTGGCTTATTTTTCGCATCAGTTCTTCGGGGTTTCACCGTTTCTCCGAATGGGCTGGGATGATCCGACGGACAGGGACCAGAGCCCAAAAACCTCCTGCGGTGGAAATGACCTGATTCAGAACACGAATCTCTGGGTTGGAGTTGGACAATGGTTTATATATATATATGTTTATATGTTTATGTGGTTTAGTCAAAAAAATTGGAGGACTTAGACTTACACCTAAAAAAATCAGAGACTGATGGAACCTTTAAACATTGCAATGTCAATATCCCAAGTTCGAGGAGTTCGAGGTTCGATTCCCAAGATCCCCATGATGATGGCGAGAAGTCACATACCACAGGTATGGAAAATGTCACTTCAGAGAACTGCTTACTGCTTTCAATTAAGATGCGTTGCTTTTAAAACAATACTGTATTTGTATTTATATTTATGTCTTATTTATATCTTATTTATATCTTATTTATATCTTGTTTATATATTATTTATATCTTATTTATAGTTTATTTATATCTTATTTATACCTTATTTATATCTTATTTATATCTTATTTATATCTTGTTTATATATTATTTATATCTTATTTATATCTAATTTATAGTTTATTTATATCTTATTTATATCTTGTTTATAGTTTATTTATATCTTATTTATAGTTTATTTATATCTTATTTATATCTAATTTATAGTTTATTTATATCTTATTTATAGTTTATTTATTTATATTTTATATCTATATACATATATTTAGGATGTCTCATCTCTGTGACCACGACCACTAAAGTTTGCACCAAGCGAAATACGCAGCCAAGCTCAACTAGGTTAGCCGTCCCCAAATCAGCCAGAACCATCATAATTCGATACCATCTGGGATGATTCCCGTAATTATATTCTCCCAAAATTGAACAAAAATGTTACAGTCTTCCCATCACCAGAGCTGGATCGCAAGTCTTTCAAGTAGATCGGCATATCAAATGAACATATCCGAAGCATAGATACAATGATTGTGGTGATGAACAGATAGCCACTTGTCAAGGCCAAATTAAGCGCGATTCATCAACACCCCAAAGCCGACCTTAAGGTAAACATACGGTTGAGAACATCATTTTCCCACATTTTCCATGTTTTCAAATGGCTATTTGCCGGGGAATACATAATTTTCAGTCACACCCAAATATGATATTGTTACAGTATTGTTGGTGAAGAAGTCCCTATAATATCCCCACCAGATTATCCTTTTTGTGGCTAGTGTTATGGAGGTTTCCTGAAATAGGGGTACCCCTGTTCATCATCCATTTCACAATAGGATATGTTCCATTAAACCATCCAGCTATTGGGATACCCCCATTTATGGAAATCCCTTGATACAAGGTGGTGCCCCCCAGTTATAAATGGGTTATCATCCCGTTAACTAGTTCCGATATATCACCTACAAACCATAGTGAAATTGGACTTATTTGCAACAACTTAGCTAACTATGGGGCACCACCTTGTATAGATGGAGTTATAACCTATTTGGCTTTGTCTGAAAAAAGGCTGATGGATGGTGATTGGATGGTGATAGGCTGATGAATGCTTTTCTCTATAATTGGGACCATTTATGGGGTGTTTAATATTAGGGTGATGGGATTATATATATACATTATATTATATTGATTATAATCCCATTTTCGGATGGTGAAATGCTTCAAGATCGACCAGGCAGGGCTGTTCCGTCCATCGGCGCTTTGGTTTTCGCACCTTCTGTGTGCCTCGCCGAAACGATTCGCCCAGCGTTGCGAATCGGGTTTGGTGGGTGGTCAAAGAGGGACATTCAAAGATCACATAGGGGTTTGAAGCATTTTTACGGCACCAAACATGAGGTTGTAACTTACATATGATGGTTGGTTGATGTGTTTGATGGCTTGTGAAATCAGAGGATAGAACAGGATTTCAAGAATCAGACACAGTGGTTTTACTACCAACAATGGTGATATCATGGATGCATGATGGTTGATCGATGATGAAACGGGGTTATTAACATTATTAACCTACCTTGTTTCTTGGGCATGATTTTGTTGCCCACAATCGAGATACCTATTAACCTGTCAGTATTTCCATTAGATTGGATGGGATGGAGGTATTTTTCATGGCTCATGTAGACAGCTAACATGCGAGATTGACCAGCACACATATAAAAATCAGGAAATTGTCAAGAGACATTGTGATTTAGGCAGCAACTGTTGTGTTTTCTCAGACAAAACCGAGATGGTGTTTCACCAACCATTTTAGTGTTTTTTCTCAACCGGCGACTGTGGGTATTTTCTAAAAATTGATGATCTCTTTTCGCGGAGAGCTCTGGTCTTAGCAGATTTCAAGAAGAACACATAATTTTGATATATTTGGGGATATGTTGAATGATGTTGAATTCATTGTGAACATGTTTACCGAGCCATTTCCAAATCCCTACGGCAAACCCACGGATCATGGATTTTACGAGATGATCTTGAAATTTCAAAATTTATTCTGATGTGCTTCACCATACAGTAGTAAACTTAGTAAACGAAAATGATCAACCCCATTGGGATATATATATAATTATATATAATATATATATACACATATGATATATGTATGGAAAAGTCCTACGATATGCACGCTCGATTGTCTATGAAACTTGGAGCTCAGTCGTGGGTAGATGATATGTAACTCATTCCTGAACTTTGTTGCATGTGCTGCTACTTTTTCTTGTAGTTAATCTCCCACTTTTCATTTGAAGCGTCCGCTCTGCACCCCATGGTGAATGAGTGACCCCAGCGACATAGCTGGAGATGCTCCGACCAATGCCGGAAGCTTCATGGGTACAATCGGACCTGGCTTGGATATCATCCATGACATGTTCACCGGCAATTGCCACTGATTCCCAAAAAGATAGGAAAGTAATGAATCACTACAACTGCTAACTGCTGTGATTTTTTCAACTGACAAGTGACGAAATTCTTCAAACTTGAACTCAGTGAAAATTATTGCTGACAGTGATTTTCCCCATTCGTCAACCGTATCCGAGAAAGGCGTTCACATTCAGCGACGAACATCCATGTAAAAACCCGTATGTCAGAGTAAAATATGCGGCAAATTGTAAGTTGGTACAAGTTTCGAATGTCAAATTCCAACAATGCGGCAGTGCCAGGTACTTTATTAGGAAACATATCTGCTTCATCTTTGTTTGGGGGCTACAAATGAAATCAAGCGTCGATTATTGGTCTAGGTTCACACACTGCGAATTTTCACGCTGTTTGACAAAAGCACCAAGTGTCTATCCTTTCCATACGGAAGAGATGCTAACATGATCTCCAACTAACTCGTATTTTTTTCAGAGAAAATGGCTCAACCACCAACTTATGGATGTTTCCGTATCCTTGCGACGCCATGCGCTTCACCAAGAGAAAGAGAAAATTGTTGTGGCAAAGCTCATCCCAAAAAATGGTTTGGAGAAAATGAACAAGTCGGTTGGTTCAACGATTTTATACACCATCTATGCTTTGGTAAAACCAATAGAACGCCAATTTCTTGATTTGTTGTTGTGTAAACGAACTCTTTGTATTGATAAAAATCAATTCGTTGGTCTTTGCAATCTAAACTTTGCTACAAACTTATTTTTCACCAGAGGCTAGGTGAATCATAGGCACAAGTGGGGTGAATCAACTGGTCATTTTACCTTTGTATTTACCAAGTTTCACCCCCCTTTTTCGCTGGGGCTGAGGATGTTGGGCGAGCTTAGCTTTGTAGCTGAGGTGGTGGAAATTTTAGACACGCTCTTCCTCCTTCCATGCACCATTCAGCTACTCTTTCTGGTAGCTACCTACAGCGTGCCTTGGACATGTTCGGTGGCTGGTGAGTGCTGCAGGTCTAGCCTTGGAAAATAGGATGAAATGATCCAAAACTGGGGCTTTTAATGGGAAAGTTATTAAAACATCTATGACTGTGGAATTGATGTATTTATAGTATTTTATAGTCAGAAACGGTTGATATTATCATATTACAATATATATATATATAATCTAATCTAAGCTAAGCTAAGCTAACCTAATCTTATTTGATCAGTATTTGATCTGATCTTATCTGATCTCATCTGATATTATCTTTAGCTTTATCTTTAGCTTTATCTTTACCTTCATCTTTACCTTTTTCTTATCTATCTTATCTTCTCTTATCTTATCCTATCCTATCCTACCTATCTATCTACCTATCTATCTACCTATCTATCTGCCTATCTATCTATCTATCTATCTACCTACCTACCTATCTATCTATCTATCTATCTATCTATCTATCTATCTATCTATCTATACTATCTATCTATCTATCTATCTATCTATCTATCTATCTATCTATCTATCTATCTATCTATCTATCTATCTATCTATCTATCTATCTATCTATCTATCTATCTATCTATCTATCTATCTATCTATCTAGTTATCTATTTATCTATCTATCTACCCATCAATCTACCCATCAATCTACCTATCTATCTATCTATCTATTTATCTATCTACCTATCTATCTATCTACCTATCTATCGATCTACCTATCTATCTATCTACCTATCCATTTATCTACCTATCTATTTATCTATCTACCTATCTATCTATCCATCTATTTATCTATCTGGAGAGAGTTAAAATGGTTCTACAAAGCAACAAACTGGCTGGCCTTTCGACAGATCTGAGAAGTTCAGCCATCAAGATGGGGAGGATTTACGAACATGGACAGTCATGCTAATCTGATGGGATATGAATGGGCTTCACCGACTGGTGACTGGTGAATGTTCTTGGGGACCTGGCCACCTGGCCGCAAGTGAATGCAAGTGGCACGGAGTTTCAGGTCAGTGATTTTTAGAATGGAGATTGACATACCAATATATAGTTGTATATATAGTAAAGCATCCCAAAATGGCCTTAATTCAGGTTAGTGAAATATTATAATTTACCCAGATAGTTGATATATTTGAGTAAGCCAACCTGTGAAGTGAAGGGTTTATTTTTTTTCCCCGTTAAACTCGAACGTCTTGGTTGGGTAAAACTCAGTTTGTCGGGTGGTAAACCCCCATTAAAATCTTGGTTGGCTTTCACACAAATTCTTTGTAAAACCCAGAGTTGAGTTGGTCGTGAAGATGTAGGTTTAATGTGATGTTATCCAATTTACTTAATCCACAATCCACACTCCAAAGCATGTTTTAAATCGCTTGTTATAATCTCAGTTTGCTACCCAAGTAGCACCGTCGGGCTCCAGCGCCATCGCGACTTAGGAGAAGGTTCAGCAACACCTGCGCGAGATTGAAGAGCAGCAAACACGGCTGGCGGAGAATTACCGGAGAGCCATACATGAAAAACATGATCCTTGACCTGTCGGCCTGGGGATTTGCTATCAAACATAGGGATCTGACATCAAAAATATGGCTTTAAGTGGGAAAAATAGTGATATAGTGGTGATGTAAAATGATGTAACGGTTGAACGTTTTTTTGCCGACAATTTTTATCAGGAATTTACTCATCAACAGATTTGCGGAGTTCATCAACTACAAGATGGACCACGGAAGATCCATTGAGTTACAACCCTAGTGGTATCTAGTTACTGTTGTCGTAGTTGTAGCCCCAGTAAATTACAAGGGAACGATGGGTTTATGGACCAAACACAGGCGGATTTAAGCTGGCATAGAGATGCATAGAGGATCTAGATATTTGTTTTCTTTTGTTTTTTATTGTAAAGGACCCCGGACTTTTGGGCCCCGCGACTCCCATCGTCACTTCATATATAGACTTCTCAGGGGTGTCACCAACTTAAGAATTTCCTTGACCGGTTGGCCGCCTAAATCTGATGTTGAACGGGGGGAAGTTCTAACCTCCAGGCATGTGACACAGAATTTATGGCGCTTTCCAGCACTTTGTGTACTACTTTCAGACAAAACATGGGGTGCGATCAGAGAGGCGACCACGGAAAACCCGGCTGAACAAACACCTGGAGCTTGATAAGGGTTGAACGATGTTGAACGACAGATCATGAAAGATGGGACATAGCCATGGGTTTTTCCTACCATGGCAACACACATGATATCATATCACAATATATCACAATTATAATTTCCACATATATTCATAATAATATCGACCGTCGGTATTTGAAGGGTTTCCTCAGGCTGTCCCATTAAGTCACATAAACCCTTGCAGCTAGCCTTGAAAGCTTTGATTTTGAAACAACTATGAAAGTTCCTACCTTTCCTATCACGCATGGGTGTCGTGGCTGCAGAGTATACCCTGAGGGTAATTTCTGATTTGCCACATTGAACTAAGTTGTTCCTTTTTCAGATTTTTCAGTGCTTAGTTGCGAGTTGGAAGTCATGTTTATACTGTATAAACATGCATAAACATGTAACCATGCGTAAACTATATATATACGGATATAAAGAAGCAATTACAAATTCGGGGAATCTACAGGAAGATCTCAAGAAAATGGTCCATTGATTACTTCCGCGCACCGTTCAACGAATCTGGTTGCTCACGCCGATCTCACAGCGGCCAACCTAGGAGAGTCTGAAAGCATCTGTGAAAAGCAACATTGAGTACCTGGGTACTGTTAGTTGATGCCGAACTACTGTGACACATCTCATGTTTCGCCACAAAAGCAACATTAGCATCTCATGATGTGTCAATGTGTCTTTTTCGAAATCTCGTAGTTAGTTGATGAATCATAGGCATTTCATAAACCAAGAATTGATGTTTGCGATTGATGATTTACATGATGCCCCTTCCAGTAGTTTTCCTTGGCACTTTCCCAACTGAATGATCATGGGCCAATGGGGTATCTCCCATTTTCAGACATAGATATTGATGGTGGATGATGGTGAGATTGGTCAACGAAGAAATGGCTCTAATGAGATTGGTCAACAAGATATTTTCTATCGCAAAACAGAAAATATCTATCATATTTTGGGATACCCTCTGGTAAACGTTTACAGAACTATGGAACATCACCATTTTTAATGGGTAAATCCACTATTTCTATGGCCATTTTCAATAGCTATATTAGTTTACCAGAGGGTATGTTTGGATATGAATTTCTGATTCATATGGGAACAGTCTAATAGAATCGCTTTTTGAATTTTATCCCGTTGCCTTCCCACCTTCCCACTGAATTCCCATTGGATGTCAAATGCGGTAATTTAACAGCAAATGCTCTGCAAAATTGCCCATTTATACATGATTTATACATGATTTATACATGATTTATACATGATTTAGACATGATTTATACATGATTTAGACATGATTTATGCATGATTTATACATGATTTATACCTGATTTATACCTGATTTATACATGATTTATACATTATTTATACATGATTTATACCTGATTTATACATGATTTATACATGATTTATACCTGATTTATACATGATTTATACATGATTTAGACATGATTTATACATGATTTATACATGATTTATCTATCAAAAAACATGGATTTCCATAGCTATGTTAAATTACCAGAGGGTAGTGCAGGACGCTGGAGTTTGAAAAACATTGTGATTGCAGGACTGATTCTGACATTCACAGGGTCAAAGCCTGGTACTGAAAATAGGGGATCCCATGCTATCCCCAAATCCAGCTGATCAATGCCTATTTTTCCAATTCAGATAGTAATTTTGGGGTATACCGCATACCCCATTAAAAAATACCCAACTATGGTTGAATTTGCTGATCCCCTTGCCCCCTTGCCAGGGGTGTGGGTCAAAATGATTTGGAGCCTACAAAAAAAACACAGAAGAATATGGTTATTCAGATGATCGTAATGATCGTATAGTTCGTGTTAGCAATTTTGAAGGTTTACCCGGTTTACCACACAGGACCGGAGCAGCTTCAGAGTTGCATGAAATTTCGATCTGTGTGTTTGAGATGCTAAACATGAATCAGAGGTTTGAGGAATGGTCCTGGCAATATGTTCACTAAACGTTTGTTACCCTCTGGTTATTTAACATAACCATGGAAAATCACCATTTTTAATGGGAAAATCCACTATTTCTATGGTCATTTTCAATAGCTATGTTAAATTACCAGAGGCTAATCAATAAAGCCACACATTAAAACAAACTTCCCAACTGAACCACATGAATGCAGGTGAATGGTTCAGGTTGCGCTTGGGACTCTGCAACCGAGGTTGGCTCACAAGAACTTTCTCCAAGAACGGAAAGATTTCCTTCGCTTCTTAGCGACTCGGCAGGGACAGCACAATATATGTATCTGATTGGTGGTTTGGGACATGAATTTTATTTTTCCATATAGGTGGTTTGTTACCACATTAGTTGATAATTGCTGGTTGGTGGTTTGATATTATCCTAGAGGGTTTAGATAATCTACTGGGACAATTATCTAATTTGATATCTAATTTGATATGTTTGATATTATCCAAGTGGGTTTAGATAATCTACTGGGATAATTATCTAATTTGATATGTTTGATATTATCCAAGTGGGTTTAGATAATCTACTGGGATAATTGTCTAATTTGATATATAATCAATATATATATATATATTGATTATATATATATATTGATATATATATATATATTGATATATATATGTACATATTCATATATATCAATATATATATATATATTGATTGATTATATATATATTGATTATATATATATTGATTATATATATATATTGATTATATATATATATATTGATTATATATATATATATGTATTGATTATATATATATTGATTATATATATATATTGATTATATATATATATATATTATATTGATTATATATATATTGATTATATATATATATTGATTATATATATATTGATTATATATATATTGATTATATATATATATTGATGATACATATATATATATATTGATTATATATATATTGATGATACATATATATATATTGATTATATATATATATATTGATTATATATATATTGATTATATATATATTGATTATATATATATATTGATTATATATATATATTGATTATATATATATATTGATTATATATATATATTGTATATATATATATATTGATTATATATATATTGTATATATATATATTGATTATATATATATATATTGTATATATATATATTGATTATATATATATTGTATATATATATATATTGATTATATATATATATATTGATTATATATATATATATTGATTATATATATATATATATATTGATTATATATATATATATATTGATTATATATATATATACATGATATGTGCGGTTGTCATCCACTTGTATACAGGACAAAGCTGGGATTCAAATGGATTCAGGGACGAGACTGTGGCAAGCCTTGGAACTCTCCAGGGACTTAACATGTAAATCTCGAAATTGTTTTCAGTGGTAAAACCACATATTTTAAAAAAAAAACGGTCCCCAATGACTAGCTATTTTTTGGCTGGCAGTGGCACACCCATCAACAACTAAACATGGCAGGTTTATGCGATATTGACATATTAATTTGGTGACGACCCCCCCCAGAGGTCATGGTGAAGGTGGTGCCTGGCTGCCTGTGGCTCCAGGATCAGCTTCAAGAGACCTTACATGGCGTGGAAGATTTGGAGTTGGCGCAGGAAGTGAGGAAATTCATCGTGCTATGGCTGAGGACTGACACATTTTTTGTGGGGTTGGAGGACTGGTTGGGTGGTGAAGATTGACCAAACTAACATAGATCTGGAACGATATGGAAAAAGCAACATAACTGTAGATCATTTTCGTAACTTCTGTCTTTTTTTCATAGATTCATGTTAAATTACTGGAAGGTACATCGAACTATCATGACAGATTCAAGAACAACGGGGCCATCAGGGGCAAGTTGGTAAAGATAACTTGCCACACGGAGGATTTATCTCGGAGATCTCCACAGTTTCATGGGGCCCCATGAACCAACCGATGCCCAGGGATCCCAGGGATCCCAGGGGCCCGACCCCACGACCGAAGATATGGCATCGGAAACGAGGCATTCCATTGGAAGATTTTGGAACAGGCGTTGATGAGGAAGAAACATGTTGATTAAGCAACAAAAATTGTACAACAATTGTACAACAAGGGTTAATTAACATCTGGTAATTCAACATAGATATGGAAAAATCACGATGTCAAACAGCTAACTCATCTATAAATGGACAATTTTCATCAATTTTCAATAGCTATGTTAATTGATGTTATCCATTCTGGGTACATTATAAAATTGTGTTGTTTCCGGCTTGGGAATTCTTAGAATTGGCCCACCATTGAGTCATAAATGACTTTGTTTGAGAATGATCCACCCAATTTGGCCATTCTAATGGAGAAAAGCATTCTAAACCATCACTGCTATCATCCATCAGCATATGTTCAGACAAAGCCAAATGGGTTATAACTGCATTGACACTTCATGCAGATTCCCAAACCCCGACAATGGATGCCAATGGGCGAGCAGGATCTACACTGAAACCTTCAGGAGAACGGAGAGTCAGGAGCTCGCCCGGTCTTCACCGGCCGCAAAACCAGTCGAAAAAAAAAAAAAACACATTTAGTTGTGAGAATTTTGTTGACTTTCATAATCGCAAACGGATTTATCATATTAACATATTGATTTCTATAGTGTGTAGAAAATTGGATAGAGTGGGAATTGCAGGCCACGAAAGACATTCAAAGATGCTGGAGGTTTATGGGTTAACATGAAAAACTGTCCAGACTTCATACATTTTCTGGGTCAGGATTCAGATAGGGTCAAACTCAGCAACTCACTCAACATTGGATGACAGTAGTTCCAATCCCAACAAGTCATCTATTGTGCCATATTGAAATGTACAAGGTGGTGCCCCCGCAGTTAGAAATGAGTTATAATCCCATTAACTAGTTCGATATATCACCTATAAACCATGGTGAAATTGGACTCATTTGCACCAACCAATCGTGATTTAGCTCACTGGGGCACCACCCGTCGTACTGTTTATATTTTCACCACCCGTCGTATGGTCATCATCATCCAGTTGCCCTAAAAAATCCTCAAGCTAGTTTCGGCTTCTCCAACTTACCTTGAGACAGTCAAAACCGAAAGGGGCTGCTCCTTTGTGAAAACAGCTGAGATCCGCATCAAGGTGGGTTTTTTTATTCCATGACAGAATGATATATAATATGTATATAATATGTAAATGATGGTATAATATTGTATAATTAATAACAATAATGATAATAATTATGATTGATATATATATATATACACATTGCGACTGTGAACATGAGGTCAACCCACACCATCACCAAGACTTGTTAAGCTGTTCCCCATTGACCCTGGTAGGGTCACATTTCCGATTTGACCTGACGACTGAGAATGCAGTTGAGTCAGGAAATCAGAGAAATCAGTGCTGTTACAAATGGTAAATGTCTTATCTGATTTTGGACTTACCAAATTTAAATGATCTAATCAGGGTCATTGAGTCAGGAAATCCAATCATGGCGAGTCCCAATTAAAAACTTTCCCGAAAAATAAATGCCTGCATTGTGTCATTATCTTGGTGTGAGTTTTTCACCGCGAAAATCTCCCTTTTTTTTGGTCGCGAAAATCTCCAGGAGACTCGCCATGCAGAACAGCTTTTAGAGAAGTGTGAGAATGTGGCACAAGTGTTGCAGCAGACCAGGGTCATCTTGTGGCCTGGCAATAACATGGGGCGGGTTGTGTCATTTTGACTGATATTTTGACTGCTGAAAAAATCAAAGCACACTTTGCACCACATATGTGCAAACATGTTCGCAACTTTTCTTTTCCTTCGCACGAGTTTTTCTGTCTCACTCAGTTGTGAGCATTCCTCACATTGCTCCACTCCGAAGCTGTGTTTGCTCATTTCGCCATGCTTCATTTCGCCAAAGCTCCACGCGGGGTACGGGTAGTGCTGGAGTCTAAGAATCTTGAAGCAACAAAGGATCCATGAGATTTCCCCGCTCCATGCTGCGCTCATCTTTTACGAGAAGAGATTTGCTGCGCATCGCCGCGCTGCAGGCCGGATGAAAAAACTGATTGTGTCTTGCGCTAAACAGTTTGCCCAATCGAAGTGAGGCAAAGGGTAGAGCGCAGAGATTAGAAAATTCATTCCACTGTGCTTCATTGCGCTCTCACGCTTAGTGACCAAACGTGGCCCAGAGAGAAGCTGAAAGGTTATACCAGCTCCTAAACAATGTATAAAGGGGAGGGGTGTGCCCCCTGCTCCAAATATACATTTCATGGTTGAAATGTTGGAATAATGCGGCCTTTCATCGTCCTTCCGATTGTGTTGGCCACGGGCTACCGTGCTGTGCAGACAGTTTGGGTAATCTTCATGCATTATACACTCAAAACAACCATCAGCCAAATCCTCAGATGAACGTTTCAGGTCGAATTGTAGGTATCATGATTTCTTTCCTTTCTTGTGCAGCCGGTGCAGCGTCAATGACGTGAGTGACGACGGATTGATCATGGAGCGGCTGTTGAACTTGGTCGTGGATTGTTTGCGTTCGTTTCGCCCATGTTTCGCCGAGGGGAGGATTCTCGCTCGCCGCGTTCCACGCACCTGCATGCCACTTCCTCAGTCTTCTTCATGCGATGTGATGTGCTTGGGAACACAATGATCCAAAGTCCCAAACTATTCCAATGTGGGCAATAGGGAGTCATGGCTGTGAGTTGGTTCTGGCATGATTGTGCTTTGGTGTTGTCTTGGCAAACTTTGTACTTTGGCCCGCGCTCGTGGCACATGCTCAAGTGCCTTCACTTGTCACGTCCAGCTGACACCGCCAACATCATGCAAAGTCACCGGTGCCCGCAGTGATCATGAAGCTTCTTCCTTTCTGCCAGCGGCTCACAAAGTGCGCAAAGCGTATGCAAAAACGACTGTGGCTGGATGAGTTTTGATTGAGTTTTGATCTTTCCGAATGATCGGACTAATGCAAAATATATGCTAAATATATGCTTCTTATGTGCTGCTTATATTTGCACTGGCCCGAGGCGACAAATTTGTGAAGTTTATCCACTTGAAAGCCAGACCCCAGGTGCAGAATTTGACTCTTACGAGTTTCAGCCCTTTGTTGTGCTTATCCTGTTCTTCATAATCAGCCGCAGTATTTTGGGAGCATGTGGATAACACGTTGATCAATGAGGGGTGTTTGACTTATCATCTACTTGCGCGCGCGATGCCTGTAAGAGGCCCTGTACTTGTGCGTTATTTGTGCGCTCATTCGCTTACATACATTCTGTACATCTCTCTTCCTGCCCAGGATTTGGATTCGAAAGCAATGAGAAACCGTGAGAGGAAGGAGCGTGAGCAGATAGAGGACAAAGCCGAGGGGACCAAACTACACCCGCATTGACGTTGTACCGAATTTGCAGGTGAAATATCACTGAAACTCAATGATTGTTGGGTCAGTTGGGTCGTCGTTACGAAAAGTAGCTGTCACGTATTTGTCAACTGCTACCAAGCGCATATACATGTGCTTGATTGTTGCGATGGTTCTTTTTTTTTGCTTGGTTTCTGAAGCCGGGAGGATTCAGCAGATGATGACCAGAGTGCTTGGAAACGGGTTGTGATCGTAGAGGCCGGAGCAGCGCAGGATTAGCACATGTATGGCACATGTATAACATATTTTAGCCCATATTTACCGCATGTAGACCATACTTTTACCATATGTATACCCCATGCATACCCCATGCAAACCGGATGTAAACCACATGTATACCATATGGAAACTATATGGAGACGATTTGGAAACTATATGGAAACTATAGGAAGCCGCATGAAAACCATTTGAAAGCCGTTTGAAAACCATATGCGTCCCCTTTCTATTTTGTTAAGATGTTAGTTTGTTCATTGAAATCTGTTGTGAGTATCCTCCAAGCATTCATTCAGGATGAGGTGGATTGCGGGGAGACAGTTGAAGAGCATAAAGAGGCCCGAACGCTTTGACCATTGCGAACGGGGAAGCTTTATGGTAGATTGGCGCAGATTTTACGATTTGCGTTCAGTGCCTCACGCAGGCCATCTTTGATGCTGAGCCAGTGAGCCACACTGGGAGCACCAAGGCAAGCAGCTTCATCACTCATTGCTGTTCTTGTTTTCATATACTAGTGCGTGCTTGTCCTTGTGCTGCAGGTTGTTTTGCTGGTAGTTTTACATGTTTGGGCGCTAGATGTAGATTATTTTCTTATCGTCGTATTGTGGTATATTGGGCTTGTAGGATTTAATATCATTTTTTTGCCGGTCATATTGGAACTGTATGAAAGCTATGTGGCGTATGCCGGCGTACTGCTGGCGTATAAGTCATCATTTTTGAGGTTGCGGCATTTGCAGATGCTGCGCAATGATTTAGCCATCTTTCCATGATTGCTGCTCTAGGACAGGTTCATGCTCCTTGTCAAACGCACCGTGGAGAAGGCCAATAAAGAAAACCGGGAAGGTGCAGCAAAGGACCGATGCCGCGATGCCCGGATTTTGTATGTAACACAATGTGGCCGTTGAAGCTGATGCCTAGCTAGGCAATGCCGTTGCACAAGCATCGCGCAAACATTCCTTCGCAAGGAGGTGGCTTCAAAGACTCTGCAGAAGGCTCATTCTTTGCCGCCACAAGCAAAGGCAAGTCGTTTGTGAAGAATCAGGGGGTGGATCCGTATAGGGTGCGTGTTGGATGACTCTAGGGTGAGTATAGGAGGACATGATCTGATTGCGTGGATCATTCACGACTGAGTGCGTGGCAAGATGTGGCTAGTATAAATGGCAACCGTGTCATGTTACTCATGTTGCTGCAGGCAAGCGTTGCCAAGACAGTCCTGACCAAAAAGATGCCGACGCTGTGGCCTTAGTTTTTCCCAAAAGTTGGGGCAAAGGAATATTTGCCTTGCAATAATTAGACAATACGGGCCAATGTTTACCGATACCATGCCGATACCATACGTTCGGTATAACGTTCGGCATACTGTCAGTTTACTTTCAGTATACTTTCAGTATACTCTTACTACTTTGTCCATGTCCGATCTCTGTGTGTCATTGCCGCCCTCTTTCCTGATTTGATTCAGTGGGTCAGTCGGACACCATTGCGTTGACCGCCCCAGCTCATCCAAGGCTGCCAAAGGGAAACCAGTCTTCGAATTCCAAGGCTGGGGTCGATTGGGAGATGTCATGATAGTGACATGGTATGTTCGGTACCATGGTACGTTCAATAGTGTTCAGTGTTTTTGTGTTTTTTGGATCGCACGTTGATCGTTGATGGACGGTTGACGATGTATTGATCGTTGATGGACATATGCAAGCTAGAATGTCAGAACATACGCCAGATATACGCCAGATAGAGTGCATAAATTGCCAGCAGATGTGCCAGACAGAACGCCCGAACACATACATACCATATACATACCATATACATACCATATACATACCATATACATACCATATACATACCATATACATACCATATACATACCATATACATACCATATACATACCATATACATACCATATAGATCCATATACAACATCAGAACTTTGGCCAGAATTTCAGTCGGATAGATCGTCCGAAGGTATGCCAGATGCTACGCCAGAAGATATGCGAAGCAAAACGCCAGAGTCAATGCAAGTTTGCCAGTAATGCCACTTAATTTCTGTCTAAGTTGCTAGATGACATTTCACAGAGAACGCGAACATGGTTCTGGTCAGGGGGCAGTCACACCGGTGCAGAAGACTGTCCTCAAGAAGAAGATGCCTGTAGAGCGCCTTGACAGTTGTTCGGGGTGGACAGGACAGGTGTATGTGATTTTGAGAGCGTGCTCCCGAGCAGTTTTTTGAATGCGCGGTAATTTATTGATAAGCCTATCTACTTGCAGTGTGCGTCCCACGCCCAAGCCCAAGGAAGCCTCTTCAGCTTCAGGTTCAAAGGCGGGTTGATTTCAGCCATGTCATGGTGGTGGCCGGGTGTTCCCCTCCTATTAACGACCATCCAGATACCATCCAGCTTCCGGGTTCTTTACAGTTTCTTTGTTGCGCCATACTTGAGCTGTGGCATGTTTGCTGCAGTGGACGGGTTCTTGCTGGGTAAGACAGGAAAGCGATAAATTCGCAATAAAGACTTGTACACAGAAATAAGCAAATAAGATATACTTCTGCAGCCCTTGTTGTGATAGGTACCGATGCCCCCTGCGTACCCACCTCCGCAAAGCACGGTTCGTGCGCCTTTGCAGAAGGGGGGCGCGTTGCTGCCACCTCCTCCCCCGCCACCGGCGGCGGCGGCGGTGCCATTGCCACCTCCGCCACTGCCGCCGCAAATGCACCAGGCTGTTCGAATGATTTGCGCAGCGTGTGATATTCATGATATATCCATGATATATTTATGATTTGAGAAGCTTTGAGCATGCTTGGAGCATAAGGTACATGAGTTGCACATGAACTGTTAATTATTTTTCAAAAGTTCAAATAGCGATGCACTACGAGGAAGTACCAGTATGTTGCTTTCGCATGTGCTTCTCATATGCTCTCATGTTTTCACAGTGGTATAGTGTTCTCGTTCGTCCTTTGCATGGCTCTTCATGTGACCATGTCGGCTTAGGAGGCCCGTAGCTAGGGCAATTTGCTCGGCCACAGGGATTTTGAAGAGCTATTCTATCCTTGCTGCATGCGCCTGTGGTTGGTTTGCTGCCTGCACTTTTGTGACCGCGGCAGGCGTGGACATCGCAGTCAATGGGAACGCTTCCAGTGTAACACTCAGCGTGCAGTTGTTCTGACCCCACCCAGGATAGTTGCAAGTTTTCAATAAGTTTTGGGCTGCTCAAACGTTGCTAGATCACTGCACTTGCCATGCACTTATCTAGTGTAAATGTTATTGGAATGTGCTTCAAATTTTGTTCGACATTCGTTTGTGCAATCTCAGCGTTATTTCGTCACAAGGTGGTGCAAAGAACATTCCCGCCATGGGGCGTTCCGCCCAGTCATGGACTGAGGATGACAGCAGTCCTGCTGCCGTCTTTGTGACAGCTTTGTGATCATTTTTCCAACATGTGTCATGTCATTGTCATGTCCTGGACTTTCATGTCAATGTGGGCTTTTCCGTTTTCAATGGGTATGCCTGATATTTGCACTGCATTTTGATACAATGCATGTATAACGTTTTAGATGACATCGCTGTTATCCAGTGCCGAGGCCTGACCCGTGTACGTCCTGATCAAGCTGGCAGGGGCTTTTACTTTGACGATCACTTTCGCAACCATGATGGCAGATGGTTCGCGCAGGGGGCCTCAAGAGTTTGCCTGCCTTTCTTGGGCGGCTTTTGCGGCTGTCAGATACTGCCGTTCGAGCTGCATTGCTGCATGAATGTCTTCAGAGCTTCAGCGCAGTGCAAACGAATTCTTTGGTCATTGTTTGCGGACCTTTCCACACCCTTGCTTTGTTCCATCTATGGCTCTACCATCGTTTCTTCCATGGAGTGCTTTCCATGGTTTGCCTGCGCGCTGCGCGCGTTTTATGATTTTGTCATGGCTGCCTTCTATACTCCCTACATAAGTCAAGTATAGGGAAGTATGGGTACATTATAGGTATAGTATAGATACATTGCAGGTACATCGTAGGGAAGTATTTGAAGACATCAGAATGATTTCAGCGTGATATCGCAATGATATCAAACTGGATTCAGGCTGGTTTGGAAATTTGTGAAGTTCAGTCGTTGAGAATTTGCTGTGTAGATCCTTTGTGAGCCCGTCGCGACAAGACAACTGAGACCTGGCCTTGGACGCTTTCGTGGACGCGGAAGCAAAGGAAAATCCACGAATCTCGAGGCGGACAGCAACCTGATGCCCGAACTATGCCAGAACTTTTTGGGATACTAGCCAGTGTTTTGCACTTACATGGTTGTAGCATGGTTGTCGCTAGGATTTTAGCTTAATCTTGCGCTCAAGATCAGTGGTTTGAACTTTTTTTTTGGCGGATGTCAGTGTGGCATCCGTATGCACAGCATTTGCACAGCGAGGACCTTAGGATGGACTTGTTTGCAACCGTTACAATACACTTTCTGCATTTCATACTTCTTCTTCACGTGTCCAAGATTTGTTTGTCACTGTGTGGAGTTCGACGTGGTTCCACCGTCCCGGCAGGCATTGCGATGGGGGGCCGTGTCAGACCTGACATCTATGTTGAGATCGCAACAGGACATGATGATTTGAGCATCGGCCCAGATGAACAGCACTCCTATCATCCTTTAGCGTCTGAGTTGACCTTAAGCTGTCGGTAGATCATTCAGCGAGACTCTAGCTGCTCACAAAGCTTCGGTGTAGCTTCAGTATGCTTCGGCGTTGGCCATCACCGGCAAACTTGGCAAAGTCACAGGTGATTCTATGATACTGTGTTTTCAAAGCTACAGTACGTTACAAACGATGTTAAGATTCAGGCAACCAGGTAGCCTAAACATAACCCGTATATAACCCGTCACAAACCTCACATAAACCTCACTCTAAACATCCAAGTCAACTCCAATAATTACTGACGATGCTGAAGCTTCCAACATCTTCCAATGCGTGCAATCTGGAAAAACGCTGACGTCGGCTTCACGTTCCATTGGTGTTTGTGCCTCCATGGCTCACGCATGCACCACATGTAAACTCATAATACGTACATAATGCGTACATGACGCAAATATCTCAGATCATCTTCATATCATGTTTGGATCATGTTTGGCGTAATTACACTTTCTGTTTCCGCGCTTGCCGTTTGTTGTGGCGCGAATGCGTATCGAATGTGTATGAAACTTTTCGGAAAAGAGGAACATGTGATGACAATCGTTTCCCAGCTCATTTCCTGTCAGACTTTTATCTGGCTTGCCAACTTTTGAGGCCATCATTGGATTTTTCGTTGCGCGCCTATTCTCAGGCGAGACAGGATTGGTACACGTTTGACATGAGACATCCATTTTGGTGCCAACGCATTGCCAATGCGTGTCTTTGCAGAGTTTGGCAAGTTTGTAGCAGTTGGCACGCGGTATGCTACCTTACTAGCATTGAGTTTCTGCTTAGCGTCGCATTCTTCATGCATTCTTCCTATATCTTGACCTACTGATATCGAGGCGCGGCGCGTGAAACTGCCAAGTGTTGAGTGTTGATGGTCATCAGGTTACCAGGTACTTCAGCAGTTGCCGCCTCTCAGTAAATGTTTCGGATTGTTTCGGTTTTGTCACTCAGTGTGTACAATGTGTATTCAAATAAGATTTAAATACTTTGTCAATCTTTGTCATCAAATCAATAGTACTTCCGCATGTAGTACGTAAATATTACGTGGAGTTTACGAATATCGTCTTATATCGTATTTTGTTACGTTTTTCTGATATACACATATATATCTACAATGTGTAATAATGTGTAATAATGTACATATAATGTACATATAAAATTTGAATATAGTTAGTTGATGTTAGTTGTTTATGAATGTATCTTTCACGTATGTACATGTTTATGTTGACTTCAAAATTTACTTGGCGCCACAACGGCGTGCATTTTTTTGACATCTCAACTTCCAAAAGTGGTCCGAGGCTGGTGTGTTTTGTACATTTTGACTTGGAAATGTGCTTCGCGCCACAACGGCGTGCACTTTTTCGACATCTCAACTTCCAAAAGTGGTCCGACAATGGTGTGTTTTGTACATTTTGACTTCGAAATGTGCTTCGCGCCACAACGGCGTGCAATTTTTCATCTCTCATCTGGCCAGCTGGCTCTCCGCACCCACCGCTTTAGCGAGCCTACTTTTCGACCCTCCGGAGCGTCAAATCATTGGGAAAACACAGTGTTTCGCGACTTTCCTACCTTTTCGCGCATCTGCATCTGCTTTCTTCTGATTCTTTCTCTTCTCTGATCTTCTCTCTTCTACTCTCTCTCTCTTCTCTCTGCCTCTTCCCTGCTCTGCTTTTCATCTGTCTATATGGTCGGAAGTTTGACTTCTAAACTTCCTTCGATAACTCGTTGAAAACCTAATGTAAAGACTGTGTAAATCTGTATCCTTGTTTTGCCGCAATGGTGAAAGGCGCGTACAACCACACACATGTTGACTAAGGTCCCGTGCACACGCGGGCCGACATATCATGACTTGCGCGCACAGCACACACAACCACATGCGCATGCGTGTTAAAGGCATTGCCAGAAAGAGCCATCATTGCCCAGTTTCTATCCAAGCTATGTGGAGGAGAACATGATAAATCCTGAGCCTTTATTGTTCTAAAGTGGTCTAAAGTGGTCTAACGTGACTTCTTCCAGAAATTACATAGAAATTACATCAAGCTGAAATGAACCCAGGGTGTCACATCCAAGGTGACAGGACGAGCAAATGTCGAGGTTTGCCCGGGGTGAATTGCCTAGGCCTTCGGGTTTTTTGGGCGACCATTCGAAATTCATTCATTCTTCATTGATCCTTGTGTGGCTGATTGGTTTTGATATCTTTGATTTTGGTTTCATTTTCCAGATCAAAAGCCCGAAGAAGTGATGACCTCAGCGATGAACTGCAGCAATGCCTGCAACTTCGTGTCGAAGATTTGGTGTAATGTCACAGCTCGAAGAAAGACGTGTCGACGGGGTGGGGCCAGGACAGGACGGCAAACACGAATACAGCCACGTCCATATCATGTACATATTTAAATATGAATATATGATAAATATATGAGAGCTTATAGATGCATGTCTACAACATGTCTACAACATATTGCTGATGGAGTGTCTGTATAGTGTTTGTAGATTGAAAATACTGATACTCCAATTCCTATCAAATTTCTATAGTTACTGGTGGTATATCCTTGTTGGAAATGTATAGAAGGGTGGGGGACCCTTTTTGAGCATTAAGGAGGGGGTATTGAAAGGTTATAGAAAGTTTTTTTGGCTTCAGGCCGTGATAGAAAGTGCTCCGATGTTTTTTTACAGACATGGCATGGCAGTTACAATTTCTTTGTCACTGTTGCTCGAAAACATACGCAGCTGCTTGGTGTAGTGCTTGATGGTTGCCGGGTGCGAATTTCAACTCAGGCATGGCTGAGTTGTGCCAAGCTTTGTTTCCGGAGTTTAGTTCTGTGGCCTGCAGTTTTCAATGTCTTGAAAGCACGTTGGAAACAATTGGAAAGCTTTGACTCGCGCAAGCAGCTGAAGACGGAGGACATTGACAGCCAAGAAACGGATCCAGGACCCACGTTGGTGCGCTTGCAAAATGTCAAGGTTTCAGAAAAGCTGTGGAGAGGTTCCTTGTAATTATGCCCCCTATAAATGCATCCTTTGATAGGGGCCATATGCTCGTTGACAGGGCAATGAAAACGCATACTCACCCATACATATTGCATATGCAAATGCACGCGTACATGCGTCCATGCATGACAGAAAGCTGAACATACATACCTACATACGAACATACACACATACATACATACATACATACATACATACATACATACATACATACATACATACATACATACATACATACATACATACATACATACATACACACAGACAGACATACATACATACATAGAAACATAGAAACATAGATACGCATGGGTGTTGCAGGCAGACAACAGACATTCTATACACGCAGAAGGAGGTAAGAGACAACCACTCGGTTCACATCCTTTCGTGTAGTCTGTTTGCTTTGTTTCTTGGACACACGAGCGTAGCAGTGGAGACTAGAATCTCAAATACGCAGCGGAGACATTTGAAGCGCTCTCAGTTTCGCATGTCTGACCAAGATTTGCGCCGGTTCCGCGCCAATCCTTTCTTCTCTTTTCCTTTCACGTGTTTCCTTTTTGTTCCCTAATTACCTTTCGTTTCCTTTGCGTTCTCTTACTTTCCTTCCCTTGCCTTTGGTTTCTCTTGCTTTCCTTCGCTTCGTTTCTTTTCCTTTTCTTTCCTTGCTCTTGGTTCAACGCAGGTTCCGCGGGTTCCGCGCTCATAATTGTGCCTGTGCGGGTTCTGCGCCGATACTTTCCTCTCGAGTCTTTTCTTTGGTTGTCCGTACCGTTCCTTACCTTGTCCTTTATTCTTATCCTTCACCGTTCTTTTGCTTTCCTTTTTTGTCATCTTTGGTTCAGCGTAGGTTCCGCACTCATTTCTGCGTTGGCGCGGGTTCCGCGCTCGTGTCGGTGCAGCATTCTTCCTTTTCCTCTCTTTCCTTTCCTTTCCCTTCCTTTCCTTTCGTTTCCTTTTCTTTCCTTTCCTTTCCCTTCCTTTCCTTTCGTTTCCTTTTCTTTCCTTTCCTTTCCCTTCCCTTCCGTTTCTTCTTGTTCCGTTCCTCCCGTTTTTTTTGCTTCTTTCATGTCTTGTTTGTTGCGCTTGGTTCAGCGCAGGTGCCGCGCTCATTTCTGCGTTGTCGCGGGTTCCGCGCTCATTTGTGCTTGCCATTGCGCTTGTTCCGCGCTCATGTCGGTGCCGGAACGTGGCAAATTTATATAGGTTCATCAAATCAACAGAGTTCACACATGACTTTGAACCCCAGGCGCCGAAATATTATCAAGACCGGCACCGTGGTGAAGACCAGGCATAGCTTGCAACGCAGGGGGCTTTGGATCCTGTCTTGGTGCACAGCGGGTTGATGAGTGTCAGCCATGCCCAGGTGCAGCAGAGGAAGGTATGGCACACCTTGCATTTACTGCACAGATCCCGAATCAGCTTGCTGGCTAATGAGATGGTGGCCGAACATATCGGCTCATTGCTCCGTTTCATCGAAAAACGGCATGGTGTTGGCCGGTCACCGTGCACTACTTCCCTGGTCGAAGCTGTGAAGCTTCGGTTTGTCCGCTTAACTGGAGGAATGCAGTGCTGCGCCTTCTTGAAAGCTGCGCTGCATCAGCATTTTGCTGAGAAGCGGCTGCATTTCTTTGTGACAAGCCGCGCGCGCAAATGGAAGCAGAGCAGTGGGATGAGGATGGCATGGGGCCACTGGCTCTATCACCGACGCTTTGTCGTTTGCGAGAGGTGCCTCGTGGACGTGGTCGATTTTTTTAAGACCTAATACCCCACTTGTGTTGCAAAAAAAGAAAAGTGCATTGTCTTTATTTTCCAAATCGAGCAAACCCGTCAAACATCTCGTGGAGGCAATGGCAGATATGGGGACAAAGCAGCCTGCCATGTATCCGTGGATCTCTCGTCCTGTAAACCCACCGAAGAACCTGCCGGCACTGGGGCCACACATGGCAGCTTCTCCTGTCTGGTGGGATGACCCAATCTGTATATATATATATATGTGTGTGTTTTCTCATCACAATTCATATCCAGCCGCAAGGAATTGACGGCCAACCGCGGGCAGGCAAATGCAGCCAAAACGACAAGTCATGGCAAGCGCCGAAAAAACTGTAGCAGCAATGGGCAACTGCAGACTTTGCCCATATACAGACCGGTATGTAGAACTTGCAGCAGCTTTAGGTGTTGCATCCTACTATAGAACACAAGATCATGTTCCATAGCACGACCCCGCTACTTTTTTTTGCTTAACGCGACTTTTTCCAGTTGCCATCATTTGTGCGCATGCAATGTGCTGAGGTCGGACACCAAATTAGTAGAAAATCAGTGAGAAGTGTGCTTTGATTTTTTTTGAAGTAACCTCGGAATGTGTACAAATGAAGCAACCCGACATGGGGAAGGAAAAACAGTGATAGCAGATGATCCCCTGCAATTGATCAGGAGGCTTTTTGAATCATATGAAGCCAAGTTTGATAATGAGTACTGACAACAGTTTCAATGTCTTCCATCGTTGAAATCCAGCAGCATTGGTTGGTAATGGGTAAGACACCCCCTGCAGAAATCTTGGTTTCCTGGTGGATTGTTCGCCCATCAGCATCAATTTTAGAGAAACCTCCAGCATGGCAGCTCGGATGGTGTTTCCTTTGATAGAGAATATTTGACCAGTGTTCAACCCCCTGTTGGTTGATTATTATATGGCGTTATACTATCCGATAATATTGGGCACTATTGCAATGTATCACAATCCATTGTGGGAAATCCTATTAACCAGACGATACAAAGGGACGACACAGGGTTCTCATCACTGCCCATCTATCTTCTTGAGCAACTTACCAAGAATCAACAAAAGACAAAGTACTGTAGTTATATGCGAGGAATCCCTGTATTTTGTGTTTTCTTTTCGGATTTAGATCAGTGACAGCGGTGGTTGACGTAGTTGACCCATGTTGACCCCAGCAATTTTGGTGATGTCTTGTTTGGACCTGTTGGACCTCTGACAGCATACCAGGGGATTCATTGACCATTCCAACTTTACAAGACATGGGACTCCTGAGACGATGCTCCACCAAGCAGTTCCATGTCAGGCAGCAGACAAACTTTGAGACTGTCTCTTGGCAAGTTGGGTGGGAGCCAATGAAAGCGCGTTCTCAAAACCAATAGAACATTAGAATGTGAGTCATTACTATTCATATCTATTCATGATTCAATGTTTTATATATCCAAACGTTGATGGTGATCTTTTTCGGTGATGAACATTTGCCAGTGTCATGATATGTTGATGTGTTGATCCCCATGTAAATCATGTTTTTCGTATACCCACTATGGGTTGCTGCGAAAAAATCCATTCCCGGATACTTTCTGGTTGCTTAACGTTCTTGCGTTTTTTCCTTCAAATAACCATTGGATCTAGATGGATCTAGCCTCTTAGGAGATGATTTGCATATTTAAAACTGGTGTTTTTCCACTTCGCAAGCGGTTAGTTTGCCAAAGGCACCAGACAGCAAACGGACACTTAAAGTTGACCTTGCTGGGATGAAGATTGCAATGTTTGTTGATGACATGTCAGACATTGTTAAATTTGAATGGTTCAAACATGTCAAAACCTGGCAGACAGTGCCTAATTCAACCCAGAAAGACCGGGTTAACCACAGAACTGCATTCAACCTGTTGGTCAAACACCCATTGCCCATTACAGTGTTTCCTGGTCCAATTTCCGGGGTTTTAATTTAAATCTCATGGTTGTGGTCTAATTCAAAGAGAAATCACACGACCCATTTTGAATCCAACATTTTCAGTGGCTATCCCACTGGTTATCCGTGGTCATCCCACATTTTACCCCGAAAAATCGGAGCTTCCTAGGTCTTAGTGGATTCCTTCGATCTTTCGGCGGACGTTCGCGGTTTGTTGGCGAACTTGGAACCTCCAACGGTCTCAATGCGCGGCTGCAACTTGGCGGGAGTTTTATCGGGCCATTCATGTTAGGATTGGAAAATTAATTAAATGGTATTTTACCCTCAGTAGACAAATGTAGCAATAAGAATCCGAGTTTCAAAAGATTACAGTAATCATCGACGTGCATGGTGTTTTTTTGCCAGATCATATTGCTGGAAGGTAGTTCTCTTGTTGGTCTGTCTATATCATGTTATATCATCCATAAATCCGAATACTGCATTATTAGGACCGACTTAGCTATTTATGGGGCACTACCTGGTATTACAGAATGGGTGATAATTACCCAATGTTGTTATCTTTTATACGGAAAAATATGATAAAGATATATAAAGATTATTGCTTCTATCACAACGGTTCGATCTACCTTTCAGTAGATTAAAAGATCTGGAAATCGGTTTCCGGTTCGGAAAATTATAAGCAAATCCATACAAATCCTGGGTTTTCCATATGTACGTACTGGAAAGTAACCTGGAGTTGCTGAAGATGAATTGAACAACAAATAATGGGTGTCTAACTAGTGATAAATCACGGAATTTAAGCAACAAACAATGGCTATGACAATGGGGAAAATTATGTTAAATCATGGGGTTGTTTTCTGGTCCAATGACTGACCATCGATGGTGACACGAATGCGGAACCGATGATCGCCGAGGGATTTTCCGAGGGATTCGGCGAGCTGATCCCGAGTTGATCCCATCATTTCGGGAAGATCGGAAGATGGTAAGATTCGTCTGGACCAGTTTCAGCCCAAGATACCCGAAAAGGCAAACTAATGGATTGATCTGGATTGATGGGATTTAATGGGAATTTATGGGAATTTTTGGTGGTTTAATGGGATCTAATGGGATTTACCCTCTGGCAAACGTTTGCATACCTATAGAAAATCACCATGTTTAATGGAAAAATTGACTATTTCTATGGCAATTTTCAATAGCTATGTTAGTTTACCAGAGGGCAATCCCTCCCGCCAGTTCCCAGGACTGCAGTGATTTTTGGGGCGCGGGGGGATTGTCATAGGGGAAAGGGATTATAATCTGGGGTGTTTAATATTAGGGTGATGGGATTACTGTGAATTTGGGGTTCCATAAAGGGGTGGTAATTGTCAGTACAGGATTGCTGGCTCTGAAGATATGAAGTAGCTAGGGATACTGCATTCCAACAAAATTCGGGAAATCGTTGGGATACAAGGTACTGATAATATGATATGGTATGCTGAGCAAATTATGCGCCCACTCTACTCTGCCGAAAAAATATAGCATATTTTTCAGGTCTCTGAGAGAGTGTAATATGCGCAGGGAATTATTGGGCGTGAGCTGTTTTGATTCAGAAAATATCCAACCAAAAATGAGCATGCAGCCGCACATAATAATAACAACTTGCATGGATCAAAACGAGGCACAGCAGATAATATACAGTAGCGAAGAATTTTGGCTCACACCTAACAGCGGAAATCACCATGGTTTTGGGGAAAGGGCTTATGGTGGAGAGAAACTAAAGGTAGCATCATATATATACTGTATATTATATATATATACACCCTCTGGTTATTTAACATAGCCATGTAAAATGGCCCATAGAAATAGATTATTTTCCCAGCTAGAAACCTCCATTTAGTTCGGGGAATTTCCATGGCTATGTTAAATAACCAGAGGGTGTATATATATATAAATAGCCAGGGCCAAGAACGGGCAGTTCGTGGCGGTAATTCGTTTGCGGAGGCTGCAATCCATTTGTTCAACGGTGATCCTTTTCGGAATCTCGAGACATCACCGTGGTCTACCAGCATGTCACCAAAGTATTTACCCATCGGCCTGTATATATATAATGCTTTACATGGTCAGTGGTGTCCCATAGTTAGCCAAACTGGTTTATAACTCACATCACCAGGATTTTTGGTAGGTGGAGAACGGTAGGTGATGTCGGTATATAATAGTTACTGGGGATCATAAACCAACTTATAACTCGGGGGCACCACCTTGTATATATTACCCTCAAAGTCATCTGGCTTATTTCTCCACATTTGCATATCACCGTCACAAAGGGTTTTTTGAGCTAGAAATACTTCCGGGTCAATTGAGCCCAAATTGTGGTCCACAACCATCCCATATTCATCCTCATATTGGACATCAACGCCAAAGCTATGCCAAATCTTTGGTCCGCTTTTTCTTTTGCCAACCGTAAAATAGGTATGGATCAATACCTATTAATACCATTTTTAGGGGGATGAACATCTATTTACCAGCTATTTTGATGTTCACCAGGGTACAAGGTTTTGACACACTGCCAATAGGTCCCCTTTCTAAATTCGCTGAGCTGCAAGGTGCTTGCGGACCCGACTGGATTCAACTGAAGTCGAGATGCCGTTGTCATATGGACGAAGAGAGTCACGTGACGCCGATTTACGTCCAGTGACGTTGGGTCAATTTATGAGAGCATCCCTTGATGAAATGGATTGGTCAGAACAAGATCAAGATTTTTGATGATTTTTGGATATGTTTGGATCTATTACCATCTATTACCCACATTCCACCTTTTTGGAAAATGTGTCATTATCATTTGGGTTTAAGACCAAATTCTTGGGTCTTCAATTTGAGCCACACGCAGGCTCCAAACAACAATCCATCCAACCACGAACATCTTCCGACAAAGCCTTGCACTGGAAGCCCCACGGGCACCATTTTGGGACGATTTGTATTTTCAAGCGGGAAAACCTTAAGTTAAGTTTAGTAGTTGGTTGGTTAGTTTTATTTTCTTGTTTTGCCATGTTTTGCTGTAAATTGGATCTTTAGATATTTGACGATATTTGTATTAACAAACTAAAACATTTGGGGTTGTTTGCAGTGTGTCTAAGATTTGCCTCGATTCTTGTGAGTCTCCAGTCCCATTCTTTTGGGGACTGGAAACAAGTAAAAGCCATCATCTTCCAGGGTTTTTGTGGAGTTTTTTTGATGCCCAGATGGAGGTGGCACGAGCCAAGTATTGTTGGTTTAATTCATCCATTGTTTTTTGTTGAGCAATACTTGTTGGGTACTATGTTGAAGCAAGTTTCGTGAGCCCTGCCCGGAAGTTTCCCAATTCCCGATTCTCTTCCCATATGCTCCTCTCAAGTTGCTGCGGTCCCTAAATTTCCCACCAGCATTTAGGATTGGCTGATTTATTGCCACAACATGGCCAACGAAGGCTCAGAACTAATGCTTAGTCTTCAGGAAACCCTCAACTTACATCAACTTAGTGCTATAAATCAGATTGGGAATAGATAATGATATATATATATATACATGATTTATATATATATATATTATATATATATATAATGATCATTCAGATCTCAATCCCCAAGCCATTTCCCTCATCATTGTAAGATCAATCATCAGTTTCGCCCGCCGGTAGCCCTTTCAGCCCTTTCCGGCCTTTCGGCAGTTTCCCACAAGGTGGTGCCCCCCCCTCCCGGTTATAAATGGGTTATAATCCCATTAACTAGTTCGATATATCACCAACCAAAACCATAGTGAAATTGGACTAACATTTACGCACCAACTTCGCAGGTATTGATTGTTGCCCCATAGTCAGCTAAGTTGGTGAATTGGACCCATAGAATGGTAAAAAAGTATAGATATTAATGCCATTTTCGCGACCTGGGGCACCGTTCGTACCACGTTTCCTGCAGGTATTGATTGTTGCCTCTGCCATGTCGACTTGCTGGACACGAGCCATGGCTTACTGTTGATTGCCTTGATAGCGGGGACCCTACTGGTCTTCATCAACCTGGCTACTGGGATGAGACAGCGGCGCACAGGGGTGAGAGGTTGGTTTCTGTACAAACAACTCACTGCACATTTTGATTTTTTGATATGTATATATATATATATATCACGAAAGGTAGCTCCAGAGGGGCTACCTTGAGTTTTACTTTACGAAGTAAAGGGGAGGGCGGCCAGCCCCGTTACCTGATTCTTCAGGAGATTGCTAGTCATTTTAGTACCCCCCCTCCCCCCACCCCTCCACACCTCCCACGCACCCTAAGAGCAGACTCAAAACATTGTAATTTACAGTATTTTTGTTCTTTTCGGATCAAGAAACCACATTTTGCTACATGGTGAAACCTCCGTAAATACCAGTGTTTTTGCTAGGTGCTGGCCAAAAAACACTGTAAATACCGTGCTTTTTACTACCAGAGGCAAAAAACATCGTAAATACCGTGGTTTTGGGCTTCCGACCCGCCAAAAACATCGGTATTTACGGTGTTTTTTGCTCCGAGAGTTGCAAAAACACGCGAAAACACCACCGATTTGACGATTTTCGGCCACTACGGAACCGAGCAAAAACGCTGCAGGGGTAACACCAACACCAACAACAACAACACCAACAGCAACAGCAACAGCAACAACAACAACGACGACAACAACAACAACAACACCAACACACAACGCACAATGCACAATGCACAACGCACAACGCACAATGCACAACGCACAACGCACAACGCACAACGCACAACACACAACACACAAAACACACAACACACACACAACACACACAACACACACAACACACACAACAACACACAACAACACACAACAACACACACACAACCACACACAACAACACACACACACAACAACACACAACAACACACCACAACACACAACAACACACAACAACACACGCAACACACAACAACGCAACAACGCAACAACAACACACAACAACACACAACAACACACAACAACACACAACAACACACAACAACACACAACAACACACAACAACACACAACAACACACAACAACACACACGCAACAACAACACACAACAACACACAACAACACACAACAACACACAACAACACACAACAACAACACACAACACACAACAACACACAACAACACACAACAACACACAACAACACACAACAACACACAACAACACACAACAACACACAACAACACACACCAACACACACAACACACAACAACACACAACAACACACAACAACACACAACAACACACAACAACACACAACAACACACAACAACACACAACAACACACAACAACAACACACAACACACAACAACACACAACAACACCCAACAACACACAACAACACACAACAACACACAACAACACACAACAACACACAACAACACACAACAACACACAACAACACACAACAACACACAACAACACACAACAACACACAACAACACACAACAACACACAACAACACACAACAACACACAACAACACACAACAACACACAACAACACACAACAACACACAACAACACACAACAACACACAACAACACACAACAACACACAACAACACACAACAACACACAACAACAACAACAACAACAACAACGAACACGAACAATACCAACACCAACAACCAACGACCAACAACACCAACACCACCAACAAACCCAACCACACCAACAACACTAACAACACTAACAACACCAGAAACACTACCACCACCAACAACACCAACAACACCAATACCAACAACACCAACAACACCAACACCACCAGCACCACCAACACCACCAACACCACAACCACCACCAACCCCAACCACATCGCCGAAGCCTTTCAGTCGCTTTTACCAGACTCCCCTTCATATTTTTGGAAAGAAAATGGCCGCGTCGCTTTTACCAGACTCCACTTTATGTATTTTTCCCTCCCCTCTCCCCTTCTTTTTTTCTTCGGTTCCTTTCTTGCTTACCTACCTTTCGTGTTCCCCCTCTCAAGTACATATGATTTTGGATCTATATTGGATACAAAGTTTATATGTAAAGAATTGATTAACTGGAGGGAGTCCGCTTTTGTGGTGAACAAATTGTTGTCTTTCATCACCACGATGAGTTTCCAGTGACGTGCATATTTCTATGAGGGGGTGAAAATACACATAAATGGATATTCCACATGACGTACATAACTGGTTGGTGGTTTGGAACATGTTTTATTTTTCCATATATTGGGAATAATATATAATCCCAACTGACTAATATTTTTCAGAGGGGTTGAAACCACCAACCAGATAAAGGTTGTATTATTCAATGATGATCTCCATGTTGGTTTGCTGTCTATCGCTGGTATATCAAAACGAAATAAAACATGCGGCCTCACCCTGATTGGAAAATCGGCACTCGCACATGGAAACATGGTTTTTCGACTATGGCCGGGAAATCCTTGTTGGTTCAAGGGAAAATCATCTTCACATGGGATGAATTGTTCACTGCAGAGTTTATCAATGTTTCCGCAGGAAACTGCAGATGCTCAGGTCTTCTTTCTCCTCAGTGCACGAACGGTGCGGCTGGCGGTGGATACGCTGTGGGACTTGTTGCCATTGTTGCTGTACTTGCTGTGCTTAACGCTGATCCTCTGTCGCTTTGAGCGTGTTTGCTTTCTCGGGAGACAGTCGCCAGACTGCACTGGTGAATGAGTTGACCAAGGGTGGGATTTCCAATTCTGATGCTTGATTACCAGAGGGTAAGTTGTGTTGAGCTCTAGGGATATCCAATGTGAGCTATGACGTGAGCTGATACATGGGTAACCAATTGACATGGGGATTAACCAACTGTAACGGCTGCTATGGCTGCTTATGGTTTGTTACAGTAGCCAATCAATACAAGGGATTTGTAGTACAGTACTGATTTGTAACAACCCGTACAGACAAGAGTTTCCATGCCTCTGAAGCCGCAGATTTTGAGGCCCTTTTGGAAAAAGAACACTCCATCTTTGGGTCTTTTGGAAAACATATCTGTTCAATTATATAACATAGCCATGGAAAATGGCCCATAGAAATAGATGGCTTACCTATTAATAGCATGGTGATTTTCCATGGTAAACTGTTAGTCATAACCAGATGGTATCTGTTCAAGTGGTAGAGAAGTCGATTGTATGCGGAACGCATCCAGGATTCCTCTCACTTCGATTTCATCCTGCTGATTGTTCAGTCCCAGTCCCAGAAAATTGGTCCAAGGGAACAGCAATGAACAACATGAAATCTTACAGGAAGCCTAGATTTCAGGATACATAAAACATATAAAAACCATGGTTTCAACTATTTGGCCGTCAACGTTTGCTGGAGAATTAAAGCATAACGATTCTTGCAGGATCACCATATTTAGTGACTGGTTAGTATGGCCAAGTGGAGGTGTGTTTCTTCATTTTTTTTGAGTTACTATACTGCATCAGATTTGTACATATTTTATTTCGTATATATAGTATGTATGGAAACCTGATGGGCACCAGGCACCTTCAAATTTCATCAATTTTCCTCAAATTCTGCCGTGATTGTGACAGACTGGGATGAACATCTTCAATGGATTGGTTTTTTAAGAAAATCTTCACAGGAAATTATGGACTTTCCCATGAAAAATGAAGGGAGTTCCACAGTTTCACTTTTGCCAACTAAACCAATCCATTGAACATCAAATGAATCAAATATATACTGGTTGGTGGTTTGGATCATTTTTTCCATATATTGGGAATAATCATCCCAACTGACGAACTCCATCATTTTTCAGAGGGGTAGGTCCGGGTAGGTGTACCACCAACCAGAATATGTTTTTTTTCTCCGAATCGTCCCCACCAACCCATCCATTTCCGAATTTTCCCAGCGAGGCACGGAGAGTGGACGGAGCAGCGTCGAGAAGCCTTCCTGGAATTGTCCAGCGCACCTGGGCCGGCCCAGCGCTTTATAGCTGGGGAAAATGTCTATAAACATTGGAGGTTTGTATTGGTTTACCCTCTGTTAATTTAACAATCATGGGATACTAATGGGATGATAATGGGAGAATAGTGGATTTACTATCCGGTTACTCTCGGATTATGTGACAGTTTACTATGGAAGCCATGGCCCATGAACAATATACAAGACAAATATGATGATTTAGCTATGATTTCAACATCTTTCAACGGTGATTTTCCATTGTGCTACGTCAAATAACCAGAGGGTAGTTAAAATGAATGAACCTCCTTATTGTGTCGTCAGTCACATGGCTTGCTGGAAAATCCTCCATTAAATCCGCCAACTGCTATTCTTGGAGAAATATCCACGTGGATGCCGCAGTTTGGATGAATGAACTCTGTGACAGCCAACTCGTGATTTGTCATGGATGTGTTCTTTAAAAAGTCCGACTACCAGTAGTACCGCACAAGGCGGTGGCGGAAGTTTCAAAAATAGGAAACCTATAGGAGAGGTTGGTTGTTGTGAATGACGGATGGCAGAGCGAATCCACTGATGGACCGAAAGGTGGCTGGAGTTGTGTTTTTTGGAGTGGTTGCAGTGGTTGCAGTGGTCACCTCAGCACAACTGCTGGATGTGTGGTGTAGTGCAGTTGTAGTTGTAGTGTAATGGAGTTGTAATTGTAGTGTAGTGTAATTAGTGTAGTGTAGGTGTAGTTGCAGTTGCTGTTGTAGTTGTGGTGTGGTGTAATCAGTGTAGTCTAGTGTAGTGTACCGTAGTGATGTGTACTGTAGTGTGGCATAGTGTAGTCTAGTCTAGTGTAGTGTAGTGTAAAGTAGTGTAGTTGTAGTTGTAGTGTAGTGTAATTAGTGTAGCGTAGTGTAGTCTAGTGTAATGTCGTGTAATGGAGTGGTAGTTGTAGTTGCAGTTGTAGTTGTAGTTGTGGTTGTAGCGTACTGCAGTGTAGTTGGACCACGGCTTATAGACGGCCGTGTTGGGGTGGAGTTTTTTGGTGTGGGCGGCTCTAGGAGCGCGCGCGCGTTGCACTATTTTGCATTGTTTTTTCTTTGGGGGTTGTTTTTTTTTTGGGGGGGGTTCGGGGGGGCTAATAACGTTCTTGGCTGGCCGTCTTACAAGATATTCTCTTGGACTTGCTGCTACGCTATCCACTCTTCTCTTGCACTGTACCTTAAAAATTGCAGACATACGAAAAGAAAGATGGCCATCACAAAATGAGCCAAGGTGTGCAATCAATGATCCAGCGATGGATGTGGCGTCAAACAATTTTGCCGTGTTCTCCCAAAGAATTGATGTCACACCTTGTCGATCTGATGAAGAAACATCATGACTTTCAATAACGGCTTCATCCACTGAAACAAATAGTTTGGGTGCTTTGCAAAACCACTAAAAAACATGTATTTCCCCATGCAATTACGAGATGAAGCCGCTTTAACCAATGGCACGGCTGCGAAATCAGCAGAAAACAAAAAACAAGAATTGATGGTGTGCTGATTTCCTCACGGCCGCCTGTGAGCCGTGTACCTAGTTAGTGTAGTGTAAGTTGTAGTTGTAGTTGTAGCTGTGGTGGTAGTAGTAGTAGTAGTGGTAGTGGTAGTGGTAGTGGTAGTGGTAGTGGTAGTGGTAGTAGTACTAGTAGTACTAGTGGTAGTAGTAGTAGTAGTAGTACTAGTAGTACTAGTAGTACTAGTAGTACTAGTAGTACTAGTAGTACTAGTAGTACTAGTAGTACTAGTAGTACTAGTAGTACTAGTAGACTATTAGTCTGTAGTACTAGTAGTACTAGTAGTAGTAGTACTAGTACTAGTAGTACTAGTAGTACTAGTAGTACTAGTAGTACTAGTAGTACTAGTAGTACTAGTAGTACTAGTAGTACTAGTAGTACTAGTAGTACTAGTAGTACTAGTAGTACTAGTAGTACTAGTAGTACTAGTCGTACTAGTAATAGTAGTAGTAGTAGTAGTAGTAGTAGCAGTAGCAGTAGCAGTAGCAGTAGCAGAAGCAGCAGCAGCAGTAGCAGCAGCAGTAGCAGTAGCAGTAGCAGTAGCAGTAGCAGTAGTAGTAGCAGTAGCAGTAGCAGTAGCAGTAGCAGTAGTAGCAGTAGTAGTAGTAGTAGGCAGTAGCAGCAGCAGTAGTAGTAGCAGCAGCAGCAGTAGTAGTAGTAGTAGCAGTAGTAGTAGTAGCAGTAGTAGTAGTAGTAGTAGTTCGTGTAGTAGTAGTAGTAGTAGTAGTAGTAGTAGTTCTAGTAGTAGTAGTTCTAGTAGTAGTAGTAGTAGTAGTAGCAGTAGCAGTAGTAGTAGTAGTACTAGCAGTAGTAGTAGTAGTAGCAGTAGTAGTAGTAGTAGTAGGAGTAGAAGTAGAAGTAGAAGTAGAAGTAGAAGTAGTAGTCGTAGTCGTAGTCGTAGTCGTAGTAGCAGTCGTAGTAGTAGTAGTAGTAGTAGTAGTAGTAGTAGTAGTAGTAGTCGTAGCAGTAGTAGTAGTAGTAGTCGTAGTAGTAGTAGTAGCAGTAGTAGTAGTAGTAGTTGTTGTTGTGGTTTGTATTTCACTTGTAGTTGCAGTGTACTGCAGTGTAATTAGTGTAGTTGTAGCTGTGGTATAGTGGTAGTTGTGCAATTGCAGTTGTAGCTTTAGTGGTGGTGGTAGTTTTAGATGTCTATCTATCTATCTTTCTATCTATCTATCTATCTATCTATCCAAGTTTGAAAATGAAGCTATTCTGTGAGACTTCCTCAATTTTTCGAGCTGACAACGTCAAAAACAAAGAAATTCTGCGAGACTTCCTCAAGTTTTGAACTTAGCAGCTCAGCAACGTCAAAAACGCAGCAATTCTGCGAGACTTCCTCAATTTTCAAAGTTGGCAGCATCAAAAACGAAGCAATTCTGCGAGACCTCCTTCAATAATGGAAAGTTGAGTGCAGAGCTGACGGCCTCGTACCAATACGTTTTGCAATTTTTCCAGTCCATGTGTCTGAAGTACTGCGCTTGCCACGAAAAAGTGAGGCCAGGTCATACGAAGTGCTGCGCCTGTCACACAAAATCACCTTCCCAAAACTGAAGATCTGATCCTCCAAAATGCAACCCCTCTCAGGAAATCAGCGCCCTGCCTAACATCTCTGATGAACACGACTCAACATCTCAACTTCCAAAAGTGCTCTGAACGTGGTGTGCTTTGCACATTTTGACTTGGAAATGTGCTTCGTGCCGCAACTGCGTGCACTTTTTCGACATCACAACTTCCGAAAGTGCTCCGACGTTGGTGTGCTTTGTGCATTTTGACTTGGAAATGTGCTTCGCGCCACAACGGCGTGCAGCTTTTCGCCTCGCTCCGCACCCACCACTTTAGCGAGCCTACTTTTCGACCCTCCGGAGCCACAAATCATTGGAAAAACACAGTGTTTCGCGACTTTCCTACCTTTTCGCGCGCCTGCATCTCACTCTTTCTCTTCTCTGATCTTCTCTCTTCGGCTCTTCTCCTCTCTGACTTCCCACCTCTGCTTTTCCATCTGTCCATGTTGTCGGAAGTTTGACTTCTAAACTTCCTTCGGTTACTTCAGTCACGAGTACTGCAAGCATCATCACCACCACCAAATCATTTGTATTGTAAACAGTCCACCACCATCATTTGTAATCAACCACTTTTCCGGGGCACTCTTTGGATTCAACCTACACAAGACCATATGACCATGACCATGACCATGACCATGACCATCATCACCATCACCATGACCATCCACCACCATCACCATCATGATCATATCAGCATCATCACCATCATCATCATCATCACCATCATCATCATCATCATCATCAGCGCGAGCACCACCACCACCACCATTATGATCATCATCACCACCATAATCATCATCATCATCATCATCATGGTATTCATCTTCATCATTATCATAGTATCAATGTTATGAAAAGTAGTAATAATAGGTAAAACAAACAAACATGTGTAATAACAACAGTAATAATAATGATAATATCCCTTTTGAAAAAATATCAGTATCATCACGACAAGAAAAATGGACTTCACCAACTGTCCACCTCGGTCCTTGCGACAAACACTTGCGGCCGCTCAGAAGATGACGTCCCGCTGGGAGCTCGCGAACAACCTGGTGGCTCTCGATCTGCTTAGCACAGTTTTTGGATTTATCTCCTTTGGAAATTTCTATTTAACACAGGAAATGAAAAAATGAACAAAAACCTGTGTATGTATATATTCGTTTCAGAAAGATTGTTTTGAAATATTCAAGCATGTCTTCGGTCACTGAATATGTCCTATTGTGACACTCTTAAATGAACTGCAAACAGTCGAGCACAAACCTACCAACAAAGACACTGTTATTGTGGTTTTAGCCGTGGGATTCCAATTGCCAGACACCTCGCAAACCAGTGTCGTGTAGAAAGCCTACACCCATGAACCACTGGAATATCATAGAATGGGTGGTCTAAAAGGGGCAACTATCCTAAATTTGGTTTGGGCATGATGTACGAATTATTAAAAAACTGGCACAGATACATGTATTATATATATAGAGCATGTATATAATTGTATGTATGTAACAATACAGCAAACTCAACATGTTTGCCAATGATTAAGTTCACTTTGCGTCCCCGAGTCCTTGCCATAGTATTGACGGTCTAGTTTTTCCGGATTTTAAACAGGTATAAATCGTTGCCACTTTCGGATTTTTCACCAAAATTTAGCTGAGATTTGTGGATGTTCAATGATGTTCATCATTAAAAATACGGAACATAGATGAAAATGGGTTTCGATCGATCCCCATAGGTCCATAGGTTGTAGGCCCACGAATCAAAGATCTACCTGTGAGGTATGTCCATCGTATGTCCATCGTTGTTGAAACAGGTCGAGTTATGGGACCAACGAACTTTACCTCGATTGGAGCTTCTGCCACTTGGAATGGTGGTGGGAGGTTCTGCCACTGAGATTTGGTTTCAGTCCACATATATATAATATAATTATATATAATTCAATATAATATAATATCAAGCATGATCCCACGTATTGAAGGTGTGAATCAAGCAGGATTTTAGGGATGAAGTTTCGAAAGTCTTGGACCCAAATTCGTGGGAATCCTGCAGAGTAATCTCTACATGTCTTAATAACCAAGCTTCAACATGGAAGCATGACATATATAGGTATGGGATGGTATGGGGTGGTATGGGTCAAAATCAAATAGCCAAGTATCCCCTAAACTGGATAGTAAAGACTGAAAATGACCGGCTTGTGTGCAAATTCTCTGGGTAAATTTTAACCATTTTAACCGACCTCCACATTGCGATGGTGCAGGTTTCCTCGTCCCAATGATCACCAGGGATCCGATTTTTGAACCTAGACGACCTAGTTGGTGAAATCCCCATTGTATTCCCATTATATCCCATGATATCCACAGTACATCCCCCGAAAATAGCCTTCTTTTTCCCAGTGATGTCGCCAGTTATCCCCATGATATCCACATATTTTTTCCCGGTGAAATCACCTTCTTCCAATGAAGTCACCATTCTCCACCGGTTTTTTCCACCCTTTTTTCGTGTCGCAAAAATCTCCCTTTCCAAGGAAGGAACTCCACTGCCGCCTGTCGATGCTGCCACGGGACGAGCTGTCACTTGGCGAATAAACATCCATTCGCTACAGGATGGGGCCCCAGTTCGTTAGCTAAGTTGCTTTGTAACTATAATATACTATAATAACAAGAGTGTATGATACTTAACTTATACAATCTTATACATATGTTTAGATGGGGTTTACAAACCAACAAACATCACTGGGAGGCACCATCCTGTAGCTATGACTTAGGGAATCTAATTGGTGCCAGGGCAATGGGTGAATGTGAAGCGGCTCACTGAGTAGCAGTACATCAGTGCTGACCATGGTGATGGCATCTTGTTGATCAGTCAACCAGTTCGACAGCACATCCTGCTGACTATATGGCCAAGAGGTTGGCTTTTGGGACCCCGTCTTGTTTGATTTGGCTCGCAGTGTCCAATCCTTCCCTATGGCGAAGCACACTGAGTCTTGTAAGCATATTTTGTTCACCATGTCCTACTGGCGTCAGTGCTGGTCGCTGGTCATGCAGCTCTTTTCCTTCGCCATACCGCTCCTTGTTTCTGACGTTGACGTCGTCCACATAGTTCTTGACCCGGAAACGATGCCTCCATGGCAGCCTTTTATTTCTGGATGGTGTGCTACAGCCTTGACCACATTGTATCATTGATCATGGGGATATCACGGGGATAACTGGTGACTTAATTGAAAAACAATGAAAACACACATATAATTAAGATATAATGGGGACATGATAGGGATACATGAAACTTAAGCAAGAATGATATGTGTATTATCCGGATAATTCTCGCGACGTCACGTCGCGACGTCCCGACGTAAGTTGTGGAACGGATTAGGGTTTTAATATAAATACATATATATATTTATGAATAATCCCCAAATGTCTCATTTCAATTTCGCTCACACATAAACATTGTTCGCCGAGTTTTGCTTGAAACGCTACCTTCCTTCCTCTCCCGCATTTCAGGGCTATGCCAGGTCAGTGGCCTAGGTTAACTCCATTTCTTCCTCAATCCCGAGCCTTTGCCACAGAACTCTTGTCTATTTCCTTTGTTTGTTCCGCTATGTTACAATCTTCCACTATGTTACAATGTTCCACTATGTTACAATGTTCCACTATGTTCCACTGTAACTGTATTGCTTTCTTTCCAAAGTGTCCGAAAAATTACAAACATCCCAAAAGGAAGCTCGGATGGTGCATCTTGGAATCCTTGACTTCTCGTTTTCTTTTCAAGACGTCCTTTTCAAAAACCTCTGACGAGACTTTTGATGGTAGATCTTGACTTCTCGTTTCTGCCAAGACTTCCTTTTCAAAATCTCCAAGAATTAATTTTGAATGGAAAATTCAATATGTCAGACATTAATGTTAAAAAACAAACAAAAATAAACCTGACACTGTCGGCCTATTATTCGGGGTATACGGTATACCTTTATTTGAGAGAACGTATATAAAGACCCCAAATGGTTGGTTACCAAGTTCTTGATACTTATTGTGGCCATCTAAAAGTCCAAGAGATATCCAAAACAAAATCCAAAAGACATCCAAAGACCTAGTTTCTTGTCTGTTCAAATGCTATGTTTTTGATTTTGTAGTAGGGACATGGGCCATCGACACCTGTGTTTGTGATTTTGTAGGTTTGGCGATTTCCAAAATCATGAGCAGGAAAAACCCGTGTAAAAGAAACCGTTTTCACATTTTTTTCTATGAGTTGTTTGTTGCAAAAAAATGTTGAAAAATTAAAATTCTATCGGTAAGGCTGATACTCCCCGAAATATGTTTCATTAAAAAACAAGATGAAGCCCACGAACCCGAATGCTCAAACGTATGTTAGTGCAAATTCTTGATTGACACTTGTGTCAGACACGGTTGCTTGATACTCTTGTAAGACACTCTTGCTGGACACCCTTGTGCGACACTCTTGTGTGACACTCTTGTGCGACATTCTTGTGACGACACTCTTGAAGACACTCTTGGGAAGACACTCTTGGGAAGACACTCTTGGGAAGACACTCCTGGAAGCCACTCTTGGAAAGACACTCTTGGGAAAACACTTTTGGGACGACACTCTTGGGAAGACACTTTTGGGAAGACACTCTTGGGAAGACACTCTTGGGAAGACACTGTTGAGAAGACACTCTTGGGAAGACACTCTTGGGAAGACACTCCTGGAAGACACTCTTGGAGAGACACCCTTGGGACGACACTCTTGGGAAGACACTTTTGGGAAGACACTCTTGGGAAGACACTCTTGGGAAGACACTCCTGGAAGACACTCTTGGGAAGACACTTTTGGGAAGACACTCTTGGGAAGACACTGCTGGAAGACACTTTTGGGAACACACTTTTGGTAAGACACCTTTGGAACGACACTCTTGGGAAGACACTTTTGGGAAGACACTCTTGGGAAGACACTCTTGGGAAGACACTTCTTGGGAAGACACTCTTGGGAAGACACTCCTGGAAGACACGACACTTGGGAAGACAGACACTCTTGGGGAAGACACTCCTGGAAGACACTCTTGGGAGAGACACCCTTGGGAAGACACTTTTGGCAAGACACCTTTGGAACGACACTCTTGGAAGACACTGTTGGGAAGATACTCCTGGAAGACACTCTTGGAGAGACACCCTTGGGACGACACTTTTGGTAAGACACCTTTGGAACGACACTCTTGGGAAGACACTTTTGGGAATACACTCTAAAGTGCTGCGCCTGCCACTCAAAATGACATCAGAGATCTCCAAAGTGCTGCGCCTGCCAGGAAAAATGCAACGCATCTTCTGAAAACGTCGCAAAAGTATTGCGCCTGCCACGCAAAACGACTTGTGACACGTCTCACCAAAGAAGCCAACGATCCGAGACGAGACATGTTGGAGCATCAAAACGAGCATTTCGTGCGAGACTTCCTTACATTTCAGACTTTGCAGCTTCAAAATTGACGTTTTCCTACGAGTTTTCTTAGGAACCGACCTCAAAATCGACGTTTCGTGCGAGGCTTCCGTCCATTTTCATCACATGTCACCAAATGCCACGCCTGCCACGGAATCTGCACCTTGTCACCACTTCGCGCAGCGCTGACAATGCGATTCGCACAAAACACGCAACAGGACACGTCTAAAGTGCTGCGCCTGCCTGCCACGCAAATTGACATCGGAGGTTCCCAAAGTGCTGCGCATGCCACCAAAAATGAAACGCATCTTCTGAAAAGGTCGCCAAAGTATTGCGCCTGCCACGCCAAACGACTTTTGACACGTCTTGAAAAATGTGGAAATGTCATGAAGTATCACGCCTGCCACGCGAAACGCAGGTACGCAAAGATGGAAAACTCAAAACATGATCCCTTTTGCAGAACTTACGATAGGCACGGCCATACGGCCCTCGCGCGAACGGTTGCGAACGGTTGCGGACGGTTGCGAACGGTTGCGAACGCTTAGGCAACGTCTGGCGAACACAGCTCAACCCCCAGACCCCCAGAGTGAAACGGGAACCCTTGCTACGCATTCGGGAAAATAGAATTCTCTCCAGATTTTTTCTCCACAATCGGTTGGAAAACCAAGTTCTTGATACTTATTGTGGCCATCTAAAAGTCCAAGAGATATCCAAAAAAAATCCAAAAGACATCCAAAGGCCTAATTTCTTTTCTGTTCAAATGCTATGTTTTTGATTTTGCAGTAGGGACATGGGCCATCGACACCTGTGTTTGTGATTTTGTAGGTTTGGCGATTTCCAAAATCATGAGCGGGAAAAACCGTGTAAAAGAAACCATTTTCACATCTGTTTTTTCTATGAGTTGTTTGTTGCAAAAAAATGTTGAAAAATTAAAATTCTGTCGGTAAGGCTGATACTCCCCGAAATATGTGTCACCCTTTGAAAAAAAAAGTAGACTTCTCACCAGATTTTTTCTCCACAATCGGTTGGAAAACCAAGTTCTTGATACTTATTGTGGCCATCTAAAAGTCCAAGAGATATCCAAAAAAAAATCCAAAAGACATCCAAAGACCTAATTTCTTTTCTTTTCAAATGCTATGTTTCCCAGCAATGTGCTTACAAAATCTGAAGCCCCAACCCCACCAGGTCAATTTTTGGGAGTATGAAATATGCACGAGGCCGGTGTCGTTTTGGACACCACGGCACCGAGCACGGCACCGAGCAACACGGCACCGAGCAACAAAAGCGCGCGAAGGGCCTGCGACTCAGGGACCAGGACTTGCGGCCTCAGAACTCGAGAACCAAAGTGTTTTGTTTTTTTTAGGCAACTTTCAAATTTTAGGCAACTTTCCCAAAGTGGCATTCATGTGTGCAACTTCTCTGAAAATAGGCAACTTTCGTGAAAAACGCAGATTATTGCAACTTTAATTTAAGTCTTCCATGTCCTCTTGCACTGATATAGGTGAGTCAGTTAGGTGGCATGGGTCTTAAACATCTTGAAACTATCTTATATCCAGCTTTGGTCTGGGGATACATGCAAGTTCAGTACGAAAGTGAGAAAGTGTCTGAGGCGGCGAAGAAGGAGTTCCGGACAGAAAGGAAGCAGCAAGGTGGGGAACCGAAGTGCTATCTGCTGCTTGATTCAGGAGTTAGATGTAGCCTCTTTAATTCAATCATCCAACAAGCATTGATTGCTCCGAGGCCGCAGGTGACAGAGGCCAAGGGGGTTCGGGATCCAGGAGTATCAGTGGCCGCGCTAAAGCTCTACATCAATGCTAATCACAAAAAACCAAGCGAGTAGTCCCCTTCATCAAAAGTAGCGTTATCACCACTGCAGTCAGCCATTGATTGATCCAAGCTTTTGGTATATGGAATACTTTCTCCAAGACGCGCAATAGGATCAATTTATACTTTAATGGTGTCAAATCCTTCCCTATGGCGAAACACACTGAGTCTTGTAAGCATATTTTGTTCACCATGTCCTACTGGCGTCAGTGCTGGTCGCTGGTCATGCAGCTCTTTTCCTTCGCCATACCGCTCCTTGCTTATAGCCACTGGGATTGTTTCTGACGTTGACGTCGTCCACATAGTTCTTGACCCGGAAACGATGCCTCCATGGCAGCCTTTTATTTCTGGATGGTGTGCTACAGCCTTGACCACATTGCTTGGGTCCAAGGGCTGCATGCTCAAGCTGCTTTTCCTCATTTTTAGTTTTGTTCACAGTTCTGGCCTGGCTTCGCCCAAGTCGGAAAGTTTACTTAGATTCAGTGCAAGCACTGGTTGAGCCGGCCGAGGCTGCGCCAGCACCAGACTGGTTTTTATTGTACAGAGAGGGACCTTTGTTTCCAATGAACATAGCCCCCGACTGTTTATGTTCACCTGCATTCTGTGAATTACGTGTGGAACTCATTCAGCTCTCTTTAAGGCTGTACAAACAGGCTGCGGGTTCTCCTCAGGACCTATAAAACGTGGGTTCATTGGGTCGAGCACCCGTCTGCGATTTCTCAGCGGATGCTTCGGGCGAAAGTGAGAAAGTGAGAGGGTTTTGACTAGGGAATTCAGCGATACCGTGGATTTGCCGTTTTTTTTCCCAATGGAAAATCCAAGAAAATCATAGAAAATCCATTATTTGGGGAATCTATAGGGAATGTGTGTTTATTTTTTGGAGTTCCTTAAGCAAAACCAAGATATCATTGATCATGGGGATATCACGGGGATAACTGGTGACTTAATTGAAAAACAATGAAAACACACATATAATTAGGATATAATGGGGACATGATAGGGATACATAAAACTTAAGCCAGAATGATATGTGTATTATCCGGATAATTCTCGCGACGTCACGTCGCGACGTCCCGACGTAAGTTGTGGAACGGATTAGGGTTTTAATATAAATAAATATATATTTATGAATAATCCCCAAATGTCTCATTTCAATTTCGCTCACACATAAACATTGTTCGCCGAGTTTTGCTTGAAACGCTACCTTCCTTCCTCTCCCGCATTTCAGGGCTATGCCAGGTCAGTGGCCTAGGTTAACTCCATTTCTTCCTCAATCCCGAGCCTTTGCCACAAAGAACTCTTGTCTATTTCCTTTGTTTGTTCCGCTATGTTACAATCTTCCACTATGTTACAATGTTCCACTATGTTACAATGTTCCACTATGTTCCACTGTAACTGTATTGCTTTCTTTCCAAAGTGTCCGAAAAATTGCAAACATCCCAAAAGGAAGCTCGGATGGTGCATCTTGGAATCCTTGACTTCCCGTTTTCTTTTCAAGACGTCCTTTTCAAAAACCTCTAACGGGACTTTTGATGGTAGATCTTGGATTCCACTTTTTCTTGTGCCCATTTCTGCCAAGACTTCCCTTTCAAAATCTCCAAGAATTAATTTTGAATGGAAAATTCAATATGTCAGAAACTAATGTTAAAAAACAAAAAAATAAACCTGACACTGTCGGCCCATTATTTGGGGTATACGGTATACCTTTATTTGAGAGAACGTATATAAAGACCCCAAATGGTTGGTGACTGGGATCAGGGAATTCCCGGGAGCCACCAGCTGCCGTTCCGGTACAACTTGGATTTGCCGAACATGATTTTTATCTTCCTAATTTCTTATCGTTTTATCATGCTCCAAATGCTATGGGGGAGGGTGGCTAGACCCAGAAAACAAATCGCAAACAAACATCAACAATCGACCCTGATTTTGGAAAATTGTTGAGTCTATCTAGGAACCTAGGGGGCCTTGACATTTCAGAGATTCCAAATACTTCAGGATGGTTGTATCTACGCATGTTATACAATGTTGCACAAGTATGTACTTATACACCTAAAAATGTTAATATGTATACATATATATGCCTGGAAACTGCAATATATTCACACAAAGTCACACATATATATATATTTACATGCTCAATAAATTGTGTGTACACACACATATATATGCACACATAAGATCACATAAGCATGTCATATCATATTCCATTACATAATATATATATATATGGACATATCTTCTTAATATCTAACTCCCTGTGCTGTTAGAGTCCCGTGCTGTTGTGCTGTTAGTCCGAGGCGCGCGCAGTTGCTGATGGTCAACAGCCAGGTGAGTCGCCTGGAAGACGTGGTGGGCGATGTGCAGTCCTGGTGGCAAGCGCAGCAGGAGGGCCGCCCCGGACAGCGCGCCTTAAGGCCGGACCCGGTGCCTGGTGGAGCCGTGGGGACCCGCCTAAACTCGTCCCATTAGAGCAGTTTTGACACATGAAGACGGGATGAAATTATATGACTATATATATAAATATATGTGTGTATATAAAATACTTTTGTGTGTATGTATGTAGAAATATGTATATCTATGTGTATATATATATATTATGTGTGTATATATATTTATGTATATATATATGTGTGTGTATGTATGTATTTATATATATTTACATATATATATGTATGTGTGTATGTATGTATATACATATATATATGTATGTATTCATATATATATACATGTGTATTTACATAATATTTATATTTATATTTATGTAAACATATGTATTTATATTTATGTAAACATATGTATATGTATATGTGTGTGCATGTGTAAGTATATAAATATATATATATATTAAATGTGGGTATGCATGTATGTCTATGTATATGCATGTGTGTGTATGTATATTTTTATGTGTGTATACACATGTATATATATACATGTGTAAATACATAACATATGTATGTGTATGTATGTATCAATATTTATACATATATGTATGTATATATGTGTGTATGTGTATTTATATATATATATATGTGTTTGTATGTATGTATATATATGTAAACATTTATATATATATATACATGTGCTTTTATACTTTTATATTTTTGTATATTGATATTTTTTAAATGTGTATATGCAGTATTTATATATTTATATATATGCGTATGTATTTTTCAAAAATGTATATATATATATATGTAAATATGCATGTGTATGTGTATGTATATATGTATATGCATATATGTGTGTATGTATGTAATGTAATGTCATGTAAATGTAGTAAATGTCAATGTAAATGTAAATGTAATGTTATGTTATGTTTTGTTATGTAATGTAATGTAATGTATGTAATGTAATGTAATGTAATGTAATTTAATGAAATGTAATGTAATGTAATGTAATTTAATGAAATGTAATGTAACGTAATGTAATGTAATGTAAGTAATGTAACGTAATTTAATGTAATGTAATTTAATGAAATGTAATGTAATGTAATGTAAGTAATGTAATGTAATGCAATGCAATGTAATGTAATTTAATGTAATTTAATGCATGTATGTATGTAATGTAATGTAATGTAATGTAATGTAATGCAATGTGATGTAATGTAATGTAATGTAATGTAATGCAATGTATGTACAGTATGTATGTACAGTAAGTATGTATGTATGTATGCATGCATGCATGCATGCATGTATGTATGTATGTATGTAATGTATGCATGTACTGTTATGTAATGTATGTAATGTCTGCAATGTATGTAATGTATTTAATGTATGTAATGTATGTAGTGTATGTAATGCATGTAATGTATTTAATGTATTTAATGTATGTAATGTATGTAATGTGTGTAACGTATATATTGTATGTATTGTATGTAATGTATGTAATGTATGTAATGTATGTAATGTATGTAATGTATGTAATGTATGTAATGTATTTAATGTATGTAATGTATGTAATGTATGTAATGTATGGAATGTATGTAATGTATGTAATGTATGTAATGTATGTAATGTATGTAATGTATGTAATGTATGTAATGTATGTAATGTATGGAATGTATGGAATGTATGTAATGTATGTAATGTATGTAATGTATGTAATGCTAATGCTAATGCTTATGCTATTACTATTTTGGTGTATATGTATTTGTGTATATAAATATGTGTGTATGTGTATATATGTGTGTATGTATGTTTATATATATATGTGTGTGTATGGTTATATATATACATATGTGTGTGTGTATGTATGTATATTTAATACGTGGCAAACCATTGTTTCAAACCTTTTTTTCAGCATCCAACCCCCCAGTTTTCCCATTGTTTCCATGGACAAATGTCATCCTCCCAGGCCCAGCGTGGTGAAGCTCTTGCGGGGCCTCTCCCTGCAGAACTGGGACGACTTCCCAGAGCAGCTGGACTCGCTGCGGGGGGAGATGCCACTCGGCCAATGGGATGGAACACAGGATATCAGCTGATATATCATTTTAAAAAATAGTAAATATCCTATTGGTTTTGTTGATATATCAACTGACCATTGGAAATATCCTATATAGAAAACCATTGTTTCCAATATCGATTGTTGGTTTAGAATACAGGAAACAATGGTTTTGACCCTGTATGACCAACAAAAGCGGAGATAGAAGCAACAATATATGTATACATAAACGAAACGTGGGCGATGCAATGAACAAACACGCAGGAAAAAATCTGCAAGAAAAGAGACCAGCAACTGGGGCAGTTGACCATGAACAAATGTTTTTTTTTATAGCACAAAAAAAATGGTTTGATAAATTGGATCTTGGACAACAAGAAGATGCAGGCACAAACAACAACATTGAAAGGAATACCATCCGGTAATCAAACGTGGCAATTGGAAGATCCGTCTTAAATGGAGGTTTATAGCTTGGGAAATGATTTATAAATGGAGGATTTTCCATTGCCATGTTTGATTACTGGAGGAGTAAAGGTTGAAAATTACTGACGAGTGTAAATGTCCTTGTAAAATTTGGTTTGGGATGATTAACTTGTAAAAGGCAGTGCCCCATACTTAGCCAAGCTGGTTTATAGACCTCCATGAGCTTCCGATACATCTACCAGTAACCATAATTCCCCAAATTACCCAACTTAGCTAAATCCCAAATCTCCGGAAATCCCAAATTTCTTCGTTCGCCTTAACTCGAGCTTCGCAGTGTTCGACAGGGTGGATGCCACCAGCTTCGGCTCCGTCGGCTCCGCTGGTGCCTTGGAGCTGACGGCCGCGGGAGTTCCCGAGGAGATGCCGGAGGCGGCCCCCGAGGTGCCGGAGGAACGAAAGAGACCGGTGTCGGTGGTTTTTTGGGTTTTTTTTTGGGTAAGGTTTTTACCATCTACCCAGGTCTACCCATAAAATCTGACAACATGATATACATTTATAATCATTTATATACAATCTATTTCTATTCTTCTATTCAAGGGTCAACGAAAAATGGTATGTTGGCCATATAGTCAAGCCATTCACATGCCAAAGACATTGCACAGATCTTACATGGTACTTTGAGCTTAGGTTTCTGGAATGTTCCCGTGATTTATGACTAAAGCTACACACCATCCACGCATGGGATGTAGCAATGTAGCAAAATACCTATTTAGTTGGGTCACTCTGGGTGTACGAACATATACCGTTTATACTTCCATGACTTGTGCAAGTGACGTAATCAATTTGTGATAAATCAAAATTGTGCTTCTGCTCTCTGCCCCGCATATGAACTTGTCCTTCTTCGTACTTATCATTAGATTTTGTGGTACACTTAACAGATCTTCACAGAGGACTGGTGGCTGACTCTTGGTAACACATCAAGCGATCAAGATGTGGCTGTGGGTCAACAGGGGATTCCACGCGTTTTGACCCAACTCGCCATGTAAATTCTTGGAAAATCGAAACGCTGGCGATCGACCTGTTTAACTTTATTCCCTCCAGCAAATAAACTTGGGCAATCGAGCCTTCCCAAGCAAAAAACACAGTTGTGGTACACAATCTTCCAGTCTGTTTAATTGTGACATTTGGGATGATTAATGATTATGTTCATGACCATCTTACGTTACCAGCGGTGGTCATCAATCTGAGTCGAGTGAAGTTCCGCCCTACCCTTCCGGTCATTCCACAGTTAGCAAGAAAAGATGACCCATGAAACTAGATTCGATCTGCCGCAATGAAACATGGTGATTCTCCATTCGTCACATGGTAAACTGCTTGGTGGTTTCAAACATTTTTTTCCATTTCATATATGGTATGTCATCCTTCCCATTGACTCATATTTTTCAAGATGACCAACCAGTAAACAATTCCCAGGGGGTACCCCTCCATGGCCGGGATCTGTCTCATCTGACCCATCTGAGCGCTTCACCCTTGCGAGGCGCCCAGAAATTTGGACAGCTTCTGCGCATCCGAGCCCCGCTGCTTGGATCGGATGATCGCAACTGGTGAAACGCTCAACGGAATGTTAATATAATATATATATATACTGGTAGTAGAATAGTAGGCCATATTATAGATACTAGATAATACTACTTGAAAGAGGTGGATCTACAATAAAAGATAAAAATAAATAGTGATGCACTGTTTGCTTTTTTTGGCATCCATGGAAATGATCCCAGTTGAATATCTACTATACGTATATATTATGTGTGTAATTACATATCACGAACTGCCTGACAGCACTGGTTTTGAACTTTAGAGGACGTTTGCTTTCTCACTCACCTTGTTACATACGTAGCCTGTAGCATCATAGCTGATTCAACCTTGGTAAAGTTATTTCTTTTGCACTTTCAAATGGATTTTTTTTACCCAACTATCCCTGCCATGTTTTTTCGTTTCTTGCAGACCTCAGACCGGCATCAAGTCATTTGATCCTCATCTCCAGTTCTTAGCTATACCACTGGCGATACCATGTGACTTAAATCTCTACAGTTCTTAGACGTTCTTAGTTAATCTTAGTTAACCTTAGTTAATCTTAGTTATACATGTTGTACATGTTATACCATCCAAACATATTCTATCCGCCTGGAAGATCTCTCAACCTGGTTCGGCTTCAGGAAACTTAGACAGCTTCGTTGCATCACCACGTAACTTGGACAGTTCCTTGCTTCGAACTGCGGTGGAACTGGACTGCAGTTGGATGCAGTTGGGGGGTTCATTGGGATAATTATCCACTTGGTACCTACCCTCTGATAGTTTGTTGAAAAATGGATGAGGATGGCCCATGTCGGCTACCCAAATAGACGGCCGTGTGGTTTCATCATTTGTTTTCTGGTTTTATTGCTTGTTTTTTATCACTTTCATGTTCATATGCGTGGGGTGAGGTGGCGTGGGGCAATAGCGTCACTTGCACTCCGCACTCTATGGATGCTACGCTGTCAGCACGTGTGCATGCTACGGATGCTACGCGATCACCACTTGTGCATGCAACGGATGCTACGCTATCACCGCTTGTGCATGCTACGGATGCTACGCGATCACCACTTGTGCATGCATTGGATGCTACGCTATCACCGCTTGAGCATGCTACAGATGCTACGCTATCACCACCTGTCCATGCTACGGATTTTCTTGAAACACTTTGATAATTGCTGTGACGATGAGCTCCGATGGAAAATGGTGCTGGGCGAAAGTAGTTGCGTCAATCCCAAAAACCGTCAAAATCAACTGAGGCAAAACTACCAATTTGGCAGCTTCTGCCTGTAACAGCCACATTGAAAAGCACAAAAATGTGCTCCATGTAAAAACCATTGGAACAGCGCACTGGCAACAGTCAGGAAGTAACGAAACGACACGGCCGTCTATGCGCCGTAGTCCTAGTTCGATGATTTACGATGAACAATAAGGTGTTTTCCGATTTTTTTCGCTATAATATATATATATATAGAGATAGCTATGTTAAACTACCAAAGGGTATCAGTTGTTTGCCCTCCGGTGTCAGACATTGCTTGGGAATCCCAGAACCGAACAGGTATTTTGAAGGGGATCTCCCAGCAAGCCATGTTAGATTACCAGAGGGTATATCCATTTCAATTGATTTTATCAAAGATCAAAGGAAATGGAGATCACAATCTGGCGTTTTTTTGTGATGATGAATATCATTAATGCTCTACCAATCTTAAATGGAAATATAGATTCGCCATAACTAGCCACTGTTTGGGATATGTGATATGTGGGTGTCTCAGAGAATGGGATACAACTCATCGGCCGCATTTTTGTAGTGAACGTGAAGAAATTGACTCCGTATGGTTTCGGGGTCTGGTTTCCTTGAATCAACCATATTTGGATGAACATGCAGCTATTGACAGCTATTGCACCACTTCACTCATTATTTTTATGTGAACTACAGGGTTTTTTCCCTCTGGTAAACCAACATAACTATGGAAAATCACCATTTTTCGTTGGTAAATCAACTATAAATGGCCATTTTCAATAGCTTTTTGTTGGTTTACCAGAGGGTAGTCTGACTATAAAAATCCACGAGCCTCTGGTGATCCTTGGTTGAGTCCCCTAGCCTGCAGGTTTCCTTCGTCAAAGTTGATTCCCGCTGTGCGCGGAAGAAAAAGATGCAGGGTAGCGGCAAAACTTTGGAAGATGCTCTTCCTAGTTGACATGGCACATGGTTGGTTGGTATGGTATACGGTATACTGTGTATCTATATCTATATATATATATATACAAGATACATTTTTTGGAGGTCTAGTTATTGCAGATTTGGTGTTTGAAGCGACCAAGCTGGGGGATCTCATGATCCCAGATATCAGCAGTAATTGTACTGGTGGTTCATGATCTGTAGCATCGGAAAATCAGCCCTATACCATCTATGTAATTATCGTGTAGCCACTTGCATTCATACCACGAAATGCACCCAGCTGTAGGTAAAGTATAGCATAGATCAATGGTATAAGGGTGGGACTGAAGACTCATAGCTTCCAGATTTGGTTACTGTGACTCTTCCCTTCGACCCGATCTGCTTAGGTTTGCTACCCTCAAATTTGACGGTTTAGAACCTCATTTTCCCCGTTATTGCCATAAATTGGAGTCGATAACCCATTTTCAGAGACATCGTTGGTTATTAAGTGATATCCCTATGATCACCATATTTCCGGGTGACATCCCCATTTTTGATGCTCCGCTCGAGGCCAAACGCGCGGCGGAAGCTTCGTCCCTTGGCGCGTGAAAAACGTCAAAACATGGGTGAATTGTAGATATGTAATGTGATAAACCCAAAAATCAACCTCTATTATCCTCTGTTGGTGGTGGTTTATTATTGAGTTTACCACAGTTATACACTGTTTAGCCGTTCCAAGCTATTGCCGTAGATGTTTAATCTTTTTGGAAGGATCCTTAGAAGTTAAACTGTTGGCAGAGGAGTTGGGAAGCAACCAGGCACACATACGGCGAGCGTTTTTTGCCGCTGAATTTTCATGGTCCTATTGATGAGTTGATGGATCACCAAGCAGTGCAGCGAGAACTGGGGAACGCACTGAATGCTGGCAATGTGGCTGACTGTTTGGGACTAAAGACCGCCAGGTGGCCAGGTGCCACATCGTGGCTAACAGGCCCCGAATTTCAGCTGAATTTCCGCAGAGACGACTTGGGAGAAGTTCGGCTCATGCTGTGGCAGGATGATTTGCTTCAAACAGCTGAGAGCCGCTCCTGGATGACTTCGCGAATGGTCGAGCACCGCTGAAGCTGCTCCGTATGAAAACGGAGATCATCCCGTTTCTCACGGAGACGACCGCGAGCTGCTTGGATCATCGGGACTGCACCTATTCTGTGAGTGGGTTATAACATGTTACCCAAAAGAAAGGGTGGTATAACATGGTATAACCTATAATTATATATGATATGATATAACCCATCTATATATATATATATATACACATAATATTATAAATATTTTACAGATATATACATAGTCGGCTTATATCTCAGTCAATTAAAACCATTTTTTCGGGAGCTCAGGCCGCAGCGTGCCAGCCCCGGATCCAGTCCCACAGGCGGGACCGACCTCAGCTTGGGATGTTTTGAAAAAGGGAGATTCTCCACCGAAACCATGGCGTAAAACCATGGGTTTTCCATGATTTCCCATGATTTCCATGGTGGCTCCCTATGATTTCTCCCTTCATCCAATGACATCATGTTTTTTTTCAGAGGGTTTTGAATGTTACGGGAACATCAATAAAACATAGTATATACACAATGAGAATCTGATCCGGAATGGGTCAACACTTCCTAATTCATCAGAATTGGGTATCCTCTGGTAATTCAACATAGTTTTCGAAAATGGCCCATTGGTAGTTGATTTACTTATTAAAAACGGTGACTTTCCATGGCTATGTTAGTTTACCAGAGGGTAATGAACATCTTTATAATTTTCCAGCTGGCATGCTGTTCGCCAAGACTTCAGCGTTTGTGTTCGTCTAGGTCTGGAAAAATGGGGGCTATGTTGGCTTAGGATCAACATATGTTATTTTTCCTCATGTCTGTGCGTGTAACTTAATGTACTTGTTCAGTGAGCCATTGCCACTGCGTTTCGCAATTCTGAGGATCATCGCATTGGTTTTAGAGAAAAATTGCAGGGAACCACCATGTTTAATGGGAAAGCCCATGGAAAAGCAATGATTCTTGGGAGAATGCCACTTTTTGCTCATCCCAGTGAGCCACCCTCACAGTCAATCCGAAAACAGGTCCTGGATTTGGCTTCTTCGACCCGTCGGTCGACTCAGGTAGCATGAATTACGTTACTCTTACCCCGCAAACGACACACATAGCCGCTATAGCCTTGACAAATGGCATCAAATGGCCCATTTATATCCATTTATAGATGATGTGTCTATATTCACACATATTTACCTAAGAGAAACGATGATTTTCCATGGTTCTTTATTCTTTTCAGTTTAGCAGAGTGTACATCAATTCAGATTTTTTTCCAACCGTAGAGTATCTCCAAAAAGGTAAGCTCAATGGGGATAATGATGAACCATCAAATTCATCAAATTTTGGGCACCCTAGTTTTAAACAAAGCCACATCATCGGTGCAGAAAACAGTCTAAGATTATGTCGGAGAACCACATTCAGATTCCAAAACCATATTTGGAGCTTCCGTATGGAATTCAATGCACGGTACCAGAAAGGGCCTTGATTGAAAAGGAAATTCATCAAGATTTCCGGCCTTTTGGTGACAAAAAGTCCTGCTTCTACAACTTGGGGCCACCCAGATTGTGCATGTAGCAGGCCGTCTTTTTTAGATTTCACCTTTTATTGTAACTTATAGTAACCCCAAAGTAGATATAACAATTGGAAAGCTGCGATCTATCAGGCAGATATCATCTACAACATCCTGGAAGAAGTTGCGTTTTTTTTTCTGGGCCCTCATTCAAACCACTTCCACCTTGGGATCAGCGGTTGCAAGCTAGCCTGTCTTGGACGTTTCCTCAATGGTCCGAAGGTCCCAGTTCATCCCAAGCAACCATTGATGCCTCTCAAATCTGGTTGATGTTCCACTGTCCGATGTTTTCCTTACCTTTTTGGTAATGACTAACATAGCTATTGAAGCCATGGTCATAGAAATAGTGAATTTACCCATTGATAGCATGGTGGATCTTTCCATCGTTTTGTGTAAACGTTTTCCAGAGGCTATCCCAAAATATGTCGGATATTTTCTGGTGTGCGATAGAAAAGTCATGTTGTTGACCAATCTCATGAGCCATTTCTTGCTTTGATGAGAGGAACATTGAGAATTGGCAAAGATCCTCTCATTGAATCAACATGCCCTGCCGAGATCACCCATGACTCTCAGTGCCTAGGAATAGTCCAGGAGGCTCCAGGCCGAAAGGGGAAGGACCGGTTTTTGACCAAACATCTATACATCTGGTTAAATTGTAACGACCTCACGTCGCGACCGAGCCCTGGAATCATTGTTTATTTCAGGGAAACAATCCCCTTTTATGGCCTTAATTCAAGTTAGTGAAATATTATAATTTACCCAGATACATAGAGATGTGACTATTATGACTTGTGTTTGGGAGATTTGTCTAGAATGTCTAGGAATAGAGCATCGCATGTTTATTTGGTTTGTATGTGTAATTGCCCATTAGCCAGACACAGCCAGACACACATGGCCAAGCCGTTCATGTCACAGAAATGGGGATGACAATTAATGATCCCGTCGTTGGCTGTTCCACTGCATGATGTTCTTGTGTGTTGGCCACTGTTGGCCAGACAATTTACAGTATACCATGTAAACGTTTACCAGAGGGTACATGTTTTGGAAAAGTTCAAATCTTAACTTATGCTGTTTTTGCAGGTTGACTCAAGCGTAGCACAACAGTTAAGTCGTCCTTACTACTCCAGACTTCCAATGCTGGTGCCTCAATTCGATGGTGAGTTGAAATACCCAAAGCTCACACATGGTTCACGGTTTCTTGGGGTTGAATTATAGATCAAAGTTACATCCATCAGTTACAGAATGGGTTCATTGAAAGGAATCCAATAAACTTCAGTACCCCCCCTTATGACCTATGAATGTTAAGAACTCTCAGGACTCAGGGTCCAGACATATATAGTTGTTTTTGCTACGGCTTATATACTTTGTTACTATGGTTTACAACATACTCAACCCACTGTGTTTTTACTCTAAGTGATTGGTGGTTTGAAATATGGTCATGTATGCTCCCACTTACTGGGGATGATGAGCCCCACTTTCACATATTTTCACATGGGTGTCTCAAACACCAAGCAGAATTCCAACATGTTTTAGTGAAAGCACCATGTTTGATCGTAAATTCACCATTCTTGAAGGTAAATCCAGCATTGTTGATGGTAAATTCATAATTTTGGGTGACATCAAAGCCATTTTCTTCCCCTGTGTGTCCCTGGAATCAGAACATTCGCCCGTCATTGTGGCCAGGCCGGTGCAACGCGCACAACGTCCCGACTTTGGTCCTGATGGGCAGGCAATTGATAGACTCCCAGGTGGTCATAGTTGTCAATATGGGGCGGTACAGTAGAATTAAATATATGTATATGGGAGTCGTTCTAAAGGTCCATCTAAGGGTTTTATACAACCACATATTATAGATATTTTTTAATTAGTGCAGATATATATATATAATATATATATATATCTCTCTCTCTCCTAGGCTATATAGTTGATTTTGGTGACTTCCAGTTGATGTTTCAGGGACCTACCATTGACTGTATACTTGCGGAATTGTATCGTGTAAATTTGGGGACCTATGGAAGAACTAGGACTCAATCCTGGGTTTACATGATCTCATGAAGTGACATAAAACATATTATATATATATATATTTTAATATAATATAATATAATATAATATAATTTAATATAATATAATATAATATAGATATATAACATGGATTCTATATATTATATATTTTATTTTTTATATAATATATATATATATATATTATGTTTATTCATATTAATGGTATTAATAATATTATTATTACATATTATATTTTATAGAATATCATAATATATAATATAACATATGTAATATATTAGATATATAGAATGTATAATATAATATATATAATATATAGAATACATTATTTATAGTATATATAGTGTATATAATATATAGAAAACAATATATATAATATATATATAATATATTATATATATATATATTGTATATAATATATATTATATAGAATATATATAATATATAATATATAGAATATATAATATATAATATATATACATATTTAATATATGATATATACAATATCAATATAATATGATATATATACATATGTGATATAATATTTATAATATAAGATAACATAATATAATATAATACAATATGATATAATATAATATAATATGTTATATATGGAGGTTCGAGACATGTGGATATCAGGCAACAACAATATTCAGGATGATAGAACCAACAAACAGGACATTTGGGACCACTGAACCAAATTTCTGGTTAGGGAATGCCATCCCAACTGCTAGAATTCTCAAAATACCGGGTCAGTTTTCAACTCTACAACAAAACATTCCATCCATCCCAATAATATGTCCCCAAACATATCCTATAATTCTTATAGACTTCAGCTGTCAGTGAAGGAATTTCCCTCAGTGACACTTTCTCTGGGAAAGCTGACAACTTCATGCAGCTGGTCCGTGAATGACTAGTTTGGGTGCTCATCCCTCAGAATCGGTCAATGGCTTTGAATATACAGTAACTTACAATGTAACGAATACAGGATATGTGGCTGTGTCTGAAAATGGGGTTGATTGACCGCACAAATTCAACATGCTCTTATGATGATTAAACCTATTTTCAGACGCAGCCATGTTGATGCTTTGCGAGATTTCAAGCAAATGAGGAATTTTGGACGTTGGTCAATGAACTTCATGTTTCCTTACTTTGAAATATACGAACCGTTTGAGCTGTGCGTGCACGTCCGCCATGGAGATTCTGCCACGGAGAATAACACCGATCAATTCGATACCCTCCGGTCATCAAACATGGCTGGAAAATCCACCCTAGTGACAGATGATTTTCCTATGATTTTCCCATTGATTTTCCCATTAAAAATGGTGATTTTCCCATTAAAAACCGATGATTTTCCCATGATAAAATCCATTTCTACTGGTAATTCAATGGTGGTTCCCATATATTTTCCCCATGGATTTTCTCAGCAACCCCATGGTTTCATGGGGAGACATCTCCCTTCAGCGTTTCGAAAAGAAAGTCATCCCAGCGACATCAGGATGTGCTGAGCTCGGAGGAGATTCCGACCTCACTGGGGAGCCGTCATTGATCCCAAAATGGCCGTCAGCAAATGAGTATTGCTATGGTAACTTATAATGGTTGGTAAATTACTATGGTTGGAAATTACTATGTTATTATAACTGTTATATTACAAAATTTCAGGTTGGTTAAATGATTGTAATTGATTCAGATGCCTAATGGAGTATGACGATGGCCCGTCTCGACATCTGTGGATGCGTAGTCTGACATCTACACAGATGTCTAATGCAGATACTACCAAGTGATTCGTCTTTGTGTTGGATCACGAAAATTGTTCTACCCATCGTTCTCCTTCTTTGGTTCTATCCCGATATTTAGGTTGCAGCAATCAGCAACCGCGTGGAATGTTTTTAGTGAAAGCTGCCGAATCATTGATCCAATCCCTCGTATGAAACACCCCCATTCTATGGTCTCAAAAGCATGGTTTACGGCGGGGTCTTCAATATAAACGGAGGAAGGGATTAGTCAGCACACTCGACCCGTGGCATGACTCAAAAAGAATGACATCTCCACATGTCTCCACTCGATATATCTAAATTATGACTCACTGGCCGACGTCACTATAGAATTTATATATCCTGTCATCGTTAGGATTGGGGGATTCATCCCAAAGTTACCCAAATCTTTCACGATTTAGCATTCCCCAAACTTAAGATAGAAAACTGATCACTATTTGACTGGACTGTAGGAATTTTACTGGCTTCAGCCACTTTTGGGGGTCATTCTACATTGAAATATACTTCAGCCACAGCAGCAGAACACCATTTCGATGTGCCAGGAGAACAGCCATTTCGACACCTTAGTTGGACTGGTGAGCAACGTGGCAGGAGATGGCTGGCGCCGGTGGCGCTTTCCAAGTGCTGATCATCCCCCAAGTTGGCTGATCAGTAGATTGATTCACTGGAACTGTCCAACTGTCCAAAGATCTGAAATGGAACTCTGGAACTGAAATTCCTATTGTCAAGCCTCCAGGATGATTTTGTTGAATTCGGGTTCAATTGTCAAGCACCAAAACCACTTTTCAGGGCTAGATCTTCCCCAACATGCTGAATCTCCCAGGACACCAGGTGGCGCAGCAGATGGAACGGGGATTCGAAGCTGCACAGCAACTGGCGGCGCAGGTCGAAACGGCGTGGGCTGAGACGTGACAAGGAATTTTGCCTCACAAATTAAATAGGGATTTCTTAGGATTTCTAGCTATAGAATTGGAGATTGAACTAGCAAAAATGTGCATTCAACTAGTTTGCGTGGTAGATCCTGATTGAGAAAATAGAAATTTAGACAATCTTCTGTCATTCTGGGAGATTTGCCAGCACGCCAGGTTAAAGTACTGGAGGGGGCTACCCGGTTTCTATGCTTCTGAAGCGTTCAAGAGCATCCCTCACCATGGTCGGTTGATGATCCCAAAATCAAGTGACTTGCGTAGTTTGGAACATGGATGGCTCACCATCAACCAGTGGATGTTATGCATTATTTACATACTTGTTACCCTCTGGTAATTTAACATAGCTATTGAAAATGGCCATTTATAGTGGATTTTCCCATTAAAAATGGTGATCATACTTGTTATATCTTGTTATTCATTCCCATGTCAGCAACCGTTTTTCTTTGCCGACAAGGTAGAAATACGTTCTGCTTTGTTCCACTAGAACGAGCTTCAAAACGAGATGGGTATGTAAAATTGAAGACTTAAAAGCAAAAAACAAGTGCGGCGTTGGAAAACAAGGTCACTGATCAACACCAGGTTTTTTTTGACTTGCTTTTTGCAGTAATCATACCGTCTGAGACTCTCAAGACTCATCCCAATTGTTATGGTTTCAGGAAAATTAACGATCATCTTGCCACCAATATTGATCCATATTTGTTCATAATACCATGGCCCCTTCCAAATTGCTGCAGGCGCAACGCGCGGCCTCCAAACGGATGGACCGAGGCGACGTTTGCTCAGTTTCTGGGATACTGGAGTTATCATGGAGATTTCTGTTCACGGAAAAATGGGGACATCATGAAGATAATTTATCTGAGATAACTGAGATAACTGTGTGCAACATGAAATTTTGACTGGGATCATTTGGTCTGAAAATGAGGTATATATATATACCCTCAAAATGACCGTATATGTTATTACAGGTGATGATGAACCATTAGATTTTGGGCGAAAAAAACATGCGGATGACATAGCAAACCTAACAGTCATAAACAGGCCCTGTGAACCTAATGGGTGAAGCTAATGTGAAAGATGTGTTGTTGTTTCGATGGGAGGAAACAACACCACACAGTACTGGGAGTTCACCATGAAACTTGGGGATGGAACCAAAACGAGCAACATATGGCGAACTCTCCCCATTTAGGCTACTTATCAGTGGATTAAATCAACATGTTCGTTGGTTTGTTGTGTAAATCCCCGGGTGTTGGATGGATCCCAACAAAACTTAAGCGATGTCGACCCTGTATTGCTAGGCCCTGGTTGGTTAATTGAAAATAGACAATTTGATACTAAAATGGCTTTGTCCAAAGGATTCCCTCTGTTTCATCATGTATTTTCTACTGAACTCAAACAAAGATTTCTTACAATGGGGTCAATCCTGAAATTTCCAATCAAACCCAAAATTAAAATGGAATGCCGGCACCCCCCCCCTTTTTTCCACAACCCACGGGTCATAAAGTCGAGCTGAAAACTGGTCCATTCAATCCCGATCCAAAATGTTCTAAAACTAGTAATGTGATGTGGGCAACCCAATGATAAATTTACTATTTGGGAATGGTTTCTACAACTTTATTCTGGTGATCTTGGGGATGGTTTATAATTAAGATATGAAGTTTATCACATTGACCATGGTTTTTCTCATGGTTTTTCTCATGGTTTTTCCATGGGTTTTTCCACGCATTTCTCTGGTAAACCACACAACACGCTTCAGGCGAAGTGCCCGCGCCGCAGAGCTTCTCTCGGCGGCTGCAAGAGGCAAGATGTCTGGTGAAAACATGACCATGATTTAACTACAGGATGGGGCCCCCAAGATAGCGTTCAGCTGAGATATAAGTGGCTGAATTCTATGGTTTATGGCAAATATAAAAGGATATAACATGATACAACATGATGTAACATGCTATAACATGATATGACATGATATAACATGATATAACGTGATTTAACGTGATAAAACTACATATAGTTAACGGGGGTTATAAACCAACTTATAATTGGGGGTCACCATCATGTATGAAACTCGTGGGATTTAAGGGAATTCAATGGGATTCATAAATGGGGGTCTAATGAAATTTATGGATTCTGAATGGGGATAGAATGGGATGTGAAGCCAGCTATAGCAGTGGCAGCTGAACCTCTGTTGGTTGATAATATTGACAATGTCCTAAAAGTATCTTGGGGATTGTCACGATCCATGAAATGGGATGGCCCCTATTGACCAACCAGTATAAAGGTCCTTGGGGGATGGCTCCTTGTTCCATTTTCAGAACGGGATCTCATCTAGAGCCATTCGTTCAAGCACTCCGTTTTTATCTGATGGATGACCACAAATCAGAAATACCATGCTTTGACCTGGCACATCCATGAATGGGGTGAAATCATATTTTTGGTGATTGAGAACCAATTTTTATACTTCTCGAAGTTGTTTAAGGGATATTGTGAATGGCGAAACCAATAGGTCAAACCCAGCAGGTAAAACCTACTGGCTTAAACCTAATATGTTAAAGCTAATAGATCTGGGGTGTTTATACCCATCTGTAATGACTGGGGTCATTTAACGGAAGCAGTTGTTGATGTTTGTTTGGGTTTTAACCAACAATGACTGGACCCATGTCTGATTTTAAAAAATAGAGTGCAGTGCAGTATTCTTACAATGTATAGAAATTAAAGATCTAAATCCAGTCAGTGATGGGATATCTGAGGTAGAAAATGTGAAGATGTCAATCTGAAGAATGTGAACCCAGCAATAATAAACCCCACTGAGCCCCACTGGAAAAGAACTGACACATGGCTTTCCAGGACACCACACATCTTGATAATGGGTAACACTTAAGTGTTAATCCCGTATCAATATGTGATGACCAAGGGGAAGAAATCCTGATACCAGTAGCAAGTCATCGGGAAAATTCGGGGCCTAAGTGTTCTAGACTGGGGAGGTAGTTGTTCAAGGGTTGACATGATTTGTTGGGATTAAACATCCCACAAGATGTTAATACATGTTAATAGCCTCAGAATGACCAACATAGTTAAGAAATATGTTGAAAATATATAGGGAGTCCCCTCCTGTAATCAAACATGGCAGTTGAAACCCATTATATATATATATATACATATTATATTATTATATGTAGGTGATTTTCCCAGTAAGGTTGCCAGACAGCTATGTGCAAAACTTGATGTCCTAGACTCCTTGGAAGTCAACTTGGTTCTCTTCTAAAGTCATGGAGGGGTACATCCAAGAAGTCTCTTTGCAGTTCATGATGCACTTGGCTTCTCAACGTGAAGAAATCCTGACGCTGGCGATCTACAGTATGCACAGCAGTGTGTAGGGATATCGGTTTCAGGAAGCGGGCGTGCATATTCTTCAGAACACATATTCTTTCTTGCCACTTGAATCTTTGAGGCATTTCTGTGTTGATGTTTTTTTTGGTGCTAGAATAATTTCTAGACAGTGGTCAGTCAGTTCCACGCACTCTGAAGAGTGCTTTGCAAATCTCTAGAAAATGCATTTTCCACGCTGTGTCCAGTGCCAAAAATACCTTAAGTTCTTTTGCTGGACTAGCACAACATAACTGCAATCTCTTCCCCCAGCTCTGTTGCTTTATAACCCCCATAGTGCCATAATGTGGGTGAAACAATGCCATTTGCACCATCCCCCAAATCACCATTTTTATAGGTGGTATGTTTACCATTCCCAGTCATGAGTGGTTTATGGCATTGTTTAACCACATTAAATAGTTACATCCCCAGTACTGTAAACCCTGAGTCACCACCCATTGGGCCATTGGTCCCAGGCGAGTGCGGCGATAGCCTCCTTCTCCTTCACTGATTGGGCCACGGGCACTGGGGAAGACTTCGTGCCGGAGGCGTGGATGGAGGATGGATTTTCACCCCAAAAATGCTGAAAGATCATGTTGTTCACCAAAATGGATAGAAACTAGTGGTTTAAGCAAAATCAAAACACGCGGAACATATTGGAAAATTGTGATTTGGGAGTGTTTAGGCCTGATTTCAGCAACGAAAAAGGATGGAACATGTGCATTTCACCAAAATGTGATTTGCACAAGCGACTAAATTTGATGATTTGACCTACAAGAAGATTGAAGACGGAATTCACCAGCCGAAAGATAGATTTCAGTGCACAATATCATGGGTTTGTTTGAGATGATTGTTTACGTTTACTTGTCCAGTGGGAAATACACCGAGGAAACCATAGGGAATGTGTGTTTTTAACCGTTCGCAAAATGCGGGATTGACAGAGTGAAACATCAGAATCGACCAGGGTCCATTGTTTTTATACATCAAACATTTTTTGGTGAAACTCAGATGATTCAACTAGCCCAACCAGTAGCTGCACCAAGACTGTGTCACAACAGCTACCCAAGGCATCACCATTTCAGTTTGGTGAACTATGAGAATTTCAGCCGGCTTTTAGTAAAGAAACTGATGTAATGGGTCATGATATATGATGATGTAAATATATGTATATAAATATAGTTAACCATATTGAACCATTATTACTTTTATTCAACCATACAGTTACATATCATTTCAATACAAGGCCTAACATGTCTATGTTCCGAATATACATTATTACAAGTTCTAAATTGCATGAGATTGTATCAAATTGCATAACACTGGTTTGTCTGAGTTCAAAATCCCCAAAGAATCTAAGTTTATCATAACTGTGAAAATCATAACACTGGTTTGTCTGAGTTAAAAATCCCCAAACAATCTAAGTTTATCATTATGTTTCCCATGAAAATTGCCACGTTACGCGGGGCAAATCCCAGCAGTTCCCTGCGGAACAACTGGACTGCCAGGGTGAAAAACCCAGGTGATGCTCCCAGTCGCCTCAGCTGACCCATGGATTTACGGTGGAAAATCACATGTTTTCCTATGGAAAACCAACCAACAATGGGGAAACCTTGGGGAAATTTACGAAGAGATAGGGATTTAACATGATGTGTCGGCATCTAACAATTTGCGATCTACAAATTGGTAATTTTCCATAGCAAACTGTTAAACTACCAGAGGGTACGTGATATTCTTGAAATCGTCACTTATCAACCCCAAAGTTGTCACAAAATCAACTGCCATGCTTCTTCTCTTTGTGGAAGGAGTTGGTGTATGTCAAAAGCATTTATTTCCAGATCTTGTAAATTTGATTTTACAGAGTTATTTGGGGGTCTTAATCTTACGCAAAAGAAGGTATGCACAAATTTAGATAGGATTATAGGCCTGTTCATGGTTTTCCCATGGTTTCCCATGTTTTCCCTGTTCAGTGATTTTTCACAGGTGACAACAGATATTTGCTGTCGTTGGCTGTTTGTTTGGGCTGCCGAACTTGGGGCTGAACCATGCAAAAAATCGGAGCCCTGTTTTTTGAACCAAGGGCCGGTTCCGAAGTTTTTTTCTTAAGGCGTCAAGAATGTATGTTGGATGTCGTCCTTAGGTTCCTACGAGAGATCAGCAAAATCGGTCCAAAGATGACCAATGACGGCCCCTAGAAAAAACAAACAGAATCCCAAACAATTGCGCGGAAAGGCTTAAAGGTTTAGTTCTGGGATCTTTACTCTTAAAGAACCCTATGACATATATGATGTAATATATGTATATGTATATAATTATATATACATATAATTATATATATACATATAATTATATATATACAGTATACTGCATTAACATAGTTATCCACGTTATAGAAACCCAACACAAGATATAGATGTGTAACATGTGATTTTGTCCCCTCGGCACAACGCTCCTAGGCTTGACCCCGACCATCAAGTTCCAGGCGCCACTTCGCAGGCGCAGTGAAAACCGTACTGTACGGTGGATGGGTGCGAAATCCTGCGGTTGATAGGTGGTAAACATCCCGTTATTTATAGGGGTTCAGCCATCCAAGGTGCTGCAGGATTTCTTCCATCCACAGTACGGTGAAAATGGGACAATGGAAATATCACCAAAATATTTAAAGTATACATACACGTATATGGCGGAAGGTGGATGGAAGATGAGTGCAGATCACTACGGCTCAGACACGCGGCATTAATTGATTGGCACATGTTTTTCTTTTCGAGCATCAAATGATCGAATTTTGAGGTATATCACTTTGGGCGGTACCCATATATCTTGCTTCGGAGATGTACAGTACTGTATGAAATTTGGTCATAGTCGGCATACATTGTAATGAGAATAGAACGGGGATATCAACATGGATCTAGTGTTCAACGGAAAAGGCAACCATCATATATATATACACATCAATTGTAAGAAGTATAATGATGGGTTGCGGGACTACCTGCAAATGGATCTACATGGGACCTCGCAATCTCAATAAACAGTGAGGCAACCCCTCCAGAACATAGGTACTGTAGTTATGACTATGATGATGTTTGGTGGGTGAAAAATTAAGCCTTGCAGAAAAGGAAAATTAGTATATTATAGTCTGCTATATTATGTTATATTATATTATATTATATGTTATATTATGTTTATATATATATATACACATACATAAAGACATGTCTTTGAAACTGGGGACAACATCTCCATTTGTTTAAGGATCATGACAAGCTGGAAAGTCGAGTTTCTTGCAGCACTGTTATGGTTATGCGGCTATGCCTATTTTATATATATATATATAGTATTATAGTTATATATATATTATTCACACCTAGGATCATAATTCAATCAGAAACGACTAAGTTGGAGAAACGAGTCCCGACATTGCACGCCTCAGGGCGTGGCTGAATCGTGTATCTGAATCGACCATTTAGGGTGTCTTGAAATCAGATGATCTTAGGTCAAAGATGAACAAGACCCGTAGTGCATGAGGCGAATGAATGTTTGAAGAAAAACCATAAGCTCTCCATTCCAACTTTGAGACCAAGATATTCTTTGGTCAGACATGGAAGTGCATCTTTTTCCAAGGCAAAAGCAAAAAAAACAATCCCCAGGATACAGTTTCGATCCTTGACAAGTATCTGGTGGTTCCACCAAAACCGCCTACAGTACCCGATATTTGGGAGTTTTCACATCAAGAAATCCAGATAAATCCAGCCATTTTCATGATCCCGGCCATCGGAGACCAGCCAGATGGTCAAAAAATTGGTTTGTCGGATAAGGTCGCCCCAAATTTCATGGTGAACCATCCCTACTAAATGGCGATTTTCGGGGTATACACCATTTTCAGACACACCCAAATAACCAGTTTTGTAGGTCAATCGATACCCCAATGAGTTGTGTTAGATTGCCACTATCGCCACTCCATGGCATCAGGTTGCAACCGACACTGTGCAGGGGCACCAGGGTGCGGGCAGATTTCGGTCCATCCCCAAAGGGAAGTTAGGTCAGATTAGCAACCCCCAAAGAGATAGAAAAACATCTTATATACAGATTTTGATTATATACTGTATTTAGATTATAACTCTTATATACATCATACAGATTATATTGAATGCATTTCTATTTACTATATTTACTTATCCATCCTCTCAAGATAAACCATGATAAACCCAACACTTGGCTTCGCAACGGCTCGCGAATATGGCGGATGGTCTAGTTCTGCAGTTACTGCAGCCATTCCAAGATGTGTGTGGAAGTGAAACAACATCGATGTGGCAGCGTGAACAGTATTGAATGGTATTGAATGGTCGAATTGACTACCAGCTATTGGTACAAAATGGGACAAAATGGAATGTCGGGAGACGGTCTGTTTTCTCCCTTGTAGACTTGGTTGTTTGATCTTGCTGCGCAGGTGAAGCATCTCAAGTAGTCACAAGGCATCAGCCATTCATATTTCATGTGCCACCAGTATGTCCAAGGTTTTGATGGGATAGTGACTTAGTGGCATCCTCTCTATCATCATGATTCAGTATTGTTCCATCTCTATAGGTATACAATGGTATACAGCGATGCAGAATTATGCAGAGCCACATGAGATGTGGCCCGCCCTCCAAGGCTCGACCGCAAGGCTCGAAGAGCGAAATTTCAGGACGGCTGGAGGTCGAATGCCAACGATGGGAATGATGGGAATGCAAGCAGAAATAGATGGACTACTAGATAGGATATGTTAGGATACTGAGTTCCCAGCATCTACATCGATTCTTAATGCATCTTATAGCGTCAATGCGTAAAGAGCAACGACATGACAGGGACATTGACAAAGTCCCATAAGATCCATAAGCGACGAGCCAAAGCGTCCCAGGAGGAATTCTCCATGTACATTTCCAAGGTGCGGGACTGAAGCAAAAAAATGCGGGATCTAATGATTTCTTCATCAGATTTGATCGGGATATAGGGATATTTCACGGGATATATAACCAACAATGTGGTATATGGATATATATATATATGTGGATATATATATATATATATGTGGATATATATATATATATGGATATATATATATATAAATATGGATATATATATATATGGATATATATGGGCCTGAAAGTGGTATTTTTCTCAAAATGGCAATTTGGTGGAGACTCAATCGGGGAAATGAAGATTAACCATCGAACTTGGGGGTACGATATTGTCATTTTTCAGACAAATTCAATATGATTGAACTACAAATTGGACCAATGACGCAACAACGGAACCACCAGTCCGCTTTGTGGACGCTGCCATTGCAATTCTTACACGTGTGATTCATTTGATCAAGTTAATTTCTCTCTCATTACCTGGCATTTGGTGGGTACACGGTGGGTCAAACATGGCATAGTCCCCATTATAACCTCATATAACCTCCATGTTTGATTGGGATTTCCCGGTTGGCCAGTCGGTAAAAGGGCTGTTGCAACAGCCCTTTTTCGTGAGCTGATCCTGCTAGGTGATCTCGGATTTGACAAGCAAAAATTGCCTTAATTCGAGTGATCCCCACCTGACACTCTTCTGACCTAGTTTCTGGTACGTCATATGGAAGTATATATAGCTTAAATGTGTTCTGACATTCGTCCTGGCATATACTCTGACATTCTATCTGACATGCTTTCTGGCCTGTACTCTGACACTCTTTCTATCTTTGTGGCATTCTATCTGGCATCTATTCCGACATTCTTTCTGACATTCTATCTGACATACATGAGTTCGGGTCCAGGTGCCCTCAGCATCCTGCGCTCGCGATAAGTTCGGGTCCAAGCGTGCTCCACTGCATGCGGAGTGAGAGATCGTCCAGCTCAGGTCCATTCATCCCACAGTCGCGACGAGCTGGCGGAGAAGGCAGAGAGGAGGCGGATATGACGACAAGAACGAGGAGGAGGAGTAGGAGGAAGAGATGAAGAAGAGCGAGGAGAAGGAGCTGTACCTTTATTAGAATCTAGTGACCCTCACCTGGCAGGTGGGGAATTGACAACTCTGATGGTTCTGATGGTTGTGAGTTGCTCCGATTTTTCGGGGTTGCTCCAAATGTGGGTAAATGATAGCCAGCTTTGGGAGAAAATGGGTGATTTTGCCATATTTTGCCTATTTTTGCCTATATAATGTTTACTTTCCAATTTGTCCCCATTGGGAGCAACCTTGTGTTTGCTGTCGTTGTTCCATGGGTTTCATTGATTGCCTACTTTCCATCCCTATTTTGTGGAAGATGACTCCGTTTGGGAACACTTTGACAATGAGCCGGTCAACCACAAATTAAAAGTATCATACCGGCAGCTTTCATAGTTAGTTCCCAGAATTGGAAGAATTGGACGACGAATACTATAAAATTACACGATATCCTGCTATTTGGTTTGCAGAATCCAAGGTTTCCTGCAAAGGATCCTACAAATCATATGATCACCAAGAAGTCATTAGTTTTGCTCCTAAATTCCGTATGTTTCTTATGTACAGTGATGAAATCCTCATATTTTTTGCGGCAATTTTTTTTCCGCCGATGATAGCCGGAGCCGCGCCCACAAATCCACATCCGCCAGTCCACTGAGTCGCCAGACAGGCAGAGTGACGAAGGGTGATCGGAGTTTTTCTCATGTTGGGATATGGGTGGTGCCCCATAGGCCCCAGTTCGTTAGATAAGTTGGTGGGTTTATAAGTCCAATATATAACTATGATTTATAGATATTTATAGGTGATATATCGAACTAGTTTTCATGGGATTTCAGAAGCCAGTTATAACTGGAACACCACCTTGTATGGGTGTGTATCTGAAAATTGGGGACCCTCAAATCAGCTGTCACTATCAATGGGAAAACATGGGAAAACCAATGGATTGTGGCACCCATATTTTTAGAACTCCCCATATGAACAACTTGACTCACTTCAAGAGACATCATGATGAGATGTAATTCCATTAGAGCCTTGGAAACTGTAATGGTTTGCCCAAAAAATCGGGTAATTAAGATGGTAATTCTACCATTTGAATGGGGAACTTGATCATCACCCATCACCCATATGGGATTTTAGGGCCCCATTTGGCCATTTGGATGATGCTTTATACCAAGCAAAGAACGGGCCAGGCCGGATGAATCCGGAGAGATGTAGATATTGAGGCTAAATAGAACATCAATAATTTGTAGATATGTTCGAACATAAATGAACCGTATTACATCATATGATAATTGGATATAATTGGCACATAATAGATGTATAGCCTGGGATATATCATATCGAACAACTTGTTGATTTATCAAAAATCTACTCCTTCGAACTATATAGTTGGGATATATCCAACAAACATAATCGTAAGTATATGGGATATATACCCTCCGGTAATCAAATGTGGTAGTGGAACATTCCCCATTTACAAATGATTTTTTCCAGCCACCAAAACCTCCGTTTCGTTCGGGGATTTTTGGTTGCCACTAGTGTGATTACTACAGGGTAGTAGGTAACATCTGAGTATGATATAATATAATAGTAACATGTAGTAAACGATTATGATAGGTAACAATTATGATAGGTAGAGGTAATACATAAATGGCCTAACATTATGATATGGTTAATCATCATTTTCTCTGAAGCGTATTTTTGGGATAGATACTCAATGTTCAATATGTTCAGACATACCCAAATAACCAGTTTTGTAGTTCAGTCGATACCCCAATGACTAGGCAAGTGATCCAAATATGATAGTAAACACAACTTCCAGTGGTAAATTTACCGAGTTCACTATGGTATTGATGGTAGATATTAACTATTAGTATAATCAAACATCTACCTTTTTGTGAACCCCAGTAAAATTACAAACCACTCAACCATGGGTAAACAACCTAATATATAATATATGGTTGTACAAGCCAGCATCTATGGGTGTATATGATTTTGATTTATAAACCCTATGATAACACCTACCTAGTGAACCTAATATGTAGATAAACCAACATGATAAACCAACATTTATTTAAACCCTATGAAGTCTATGTATAGTCTATGTAGATGGTTTGCCCATTATAACCTAATGAAAACATCTACCTTTTTGTGAACCTTTAAAAAAAATGTGCACATCATGGCTTCAAAAAAAAGCATCGCAGGCCCCGCGTGGACCGTCCACCGGTCTCGGTGGCACCACCACGGGCAGCGGCATCTTCGGAGGACGAGACGGACTCGATGGAATCAGATTAGGGATCCACCGAGGTTTCTGCGGAGCTGGGTTGACCACTACCCTCTGGTAAACTAACATAACTTTGGAAAATCACCATTTTTAATGGGAAAATCCACTATCAATCACCATTTTCAATAGCTATGTGAAATTACCAGAGGGTAGATTGTTTTTTTGCGCAAAAATTGAAAGTCACCAACAAACATGGAGGATTTAAGCGTCAAAAAAAATTCGGATGTCTCATGAGTCAAAAAATGGGTGTAATGATGATGTTTCCGGGGTAAATGGGATATTTAGCCAACTGATCATGGAATTCGGGAAGATATTTGCCATTTGGAGTGGGATGATTTACCATCCAAATTGGTGATTTTTCACTTCGGAAAGTGGTGATACAATGGGAATATCATGAGGATAAGTGATATCAAAATAATTAGGTTTGTCCTGTTAAAAAAATGTTTTTTGATCGGAATCATGAGATACTGGGGATAGGACGGAATATATGTCACCAAGATGATATGGGTGTGTCTGAAAATTGGGTTACGTAATTATACCACAACATTGCCGTTCTTGTAGGGAGAGTGATGCTCAATCATGATCAATCATGATCAATCATCAAATTCTGGGGTCGCCTATTTTTAGATATTTTCATGCGAACCAATTTGGACCCACAAGGCAAGGATTAAAACAATGATTTAAAAAAATGTAATTTGGGACATGACAAGGAACATTGGGATTTTCAGCCATAGTATGTTCAGAGGAATCCGGATGTTAACACATGTTAACACACAAAAATGGATTTGAACATGGAATATTGGAGCTGCAACAAAAATGGGGTGATACCGTAGCAAGAAAAACTGATATTACTATGGCCTCTAGACCTATGATGCATCGGATGACATCGGGATGTCACAAACAATATACTATATATATTATATCTACATATCTATATAATTATATATATGTGTGTGTCTTTAATCAGTCAACATGACAGGGTAGCGGTGCAACCTACAATATTATTATGGGATGCTATGAGTGCTCAGTCCGAGATATGGGACCCACATCCGAGACATGTTGGGAATCTCAAGGCGAGGACCATGTCGTTAGTCTGCAACCTCAGGTAATAGCTGACATGGCTGACATGGCTATTGACAATCACCATGCTTACTAGGCCAATCATCTATGTTCATGGGCCATTTTCGATAGCAACCTCTGAAATTACCAGAGGGTATAGATTGACGAGGAACTTTGACCCAGCATTTTTGCCGTTTCGTTAAACATCAATGGGCAGGGCCCCAGTGAGCTATTCATGAAATGGTCAAGAAATCACCTGAAATACCAAGACTAGATTCAACTAAATAAAGATTTGTAGGAGTCAACGGGCCGATAACTTCACTTACAAGTGAATTTTGGAAGGGGCCAGTGGCAAAGGAGCGATTGTGACACCCCAAACCATGGCGATAGGTCAACACCTACAATAGCTTTTGGCAGTTTAACATCCATTTCCAAGCGATTTTGCTGGGCTGCACCGGGGTACCGGCAGAAGCACTACTTGGGACGACCATCCTACACTGCGCATACACCACACTCCACACATCTGCACACACTTTACACTCCACATTCTACACTTTACACTCTACCTTCTATCTTGAGGATGCGTGTTTTCTGGTGAACGCTTGATCATGTTTCGTTTGGCGCACTAGCATCACATAGCATCACCATTTCATGCTGGTGCCCAGACAGGAAAGGTGCACACACTCACAATGTGCTATCCAGCTAACATTGGAAGAACATAAGAGACCGTCGTACCAGGTTATCTTACAAACCAAGCGTTCCCCGCAGCCTACACAGTGAGAGAGTAGCCTCGAAACTGCCCAATGCAGTATTTGAACCTCAACACTCCAAATTCTGTAAAGAATCATGTGAAACCTGAAACAACCCACAAGCCAAAATACACATCACAAAAGACATCGCAACGAAAGCGTTCGACTGGACGTCGATGCCATGTGCAGCCCATCGCAGATGTGAGACATATCATGCTCGAGGGCTGAGCTTCGAAGGGTCGGTCCTGGAAACGGCCATGCCATCAATCCCAACTATATTCTGTGCCACATGAAGAAGGAACGTAATAATTACAAGCACGCAGCCAACTTGTTTGGGATTCCGTAGCTGAAACTCCACAGGATGAACCACCTACGCCTCCGCCGCAACCACCCTCACGAGAGGCGCGGGCAGAGGATGTTCACTGGAGCGAACGTGGGTCACAGATGGCTCCTTAGTCCGCCGTGTCCAAGGATTTCCAATGTATCAGTTTCATGATGTTTCATGTATTTTGTTCACAATGATTTTCTCTTCCGCTTGTACCTGTCCCAACTGAGCATCCTATCCTGTCCGGCAACTTCCAGCACATGTGCCCAATGTGCCCTGACTTCAAGGAAACCATCCACTTCATGGCCTTGAATCAGCCTTCAGATCAGATGCTATCCAGGGTTGTATAAATGTTCAAAAGATGTTTACATCATTGGCGGGGTCCCTGATTTTCCATCCGGGATTATCCATTAAACTCCATCAAATGCCACTATATAGTGTCTATTAATTTCCATCAAAACCCACCATATATAGAGTCCATTAAATTCCATTAAATCCCATTAAGTAACATTAATAACTTGACGCATCCTGACATATCTTGACGCGGCAAAACCCTGTGCAAGGCAGTCCTCATGGCTCTGCAGTCGGAAGACGACGAAGCTGCAGATGAGGCAAAGCTCAAAAACATGGCTGATTACTTCTTTAGTAGTGATATGTAGTGATCTATATGGCTTAATATCATTTGTAATTGCGGTTTTAAACATCAAGCCTATGGGGATCTCATTACTAAATAAAGGTTAATGATGTTCAGGGGTGATGAAGTATTGTTTGGAATATAGACATATCTCATTAAGGGAAGCTATCATCAGTCACTTTTGGGATTATCGTTCTTAACAAACCATACACAGTGCGTGTATACAGTAACAATGATTATTATTATTTAGTACTATTACCATATATATATATATGATTATTACTATTAATTACTACTAGTATATATATATGATATATGTTTATTACTACCTTTATTGTTGTTATGATTGCTATTTGTTTAATTTTATTCATTATTACTGTTATTACATTGCGGTATTATTAGTAGTATTGTTATTCTGTTATCTTATGTCTATGATTGTTATTATATTTACATATATATATAGACTAGTTGTTTCTGTTATTATTGTTATTATTGTTATTATTTTCATCATCATTTTCTCTGATTATGTACATGTATTAGTGCGTAAACGCATCTTGGAGGAATCATCCTTAGTTATGCTTGGTCTATGTTTCAGCTGTGGGAAATGCATGGAAATACTAGAGACTCAATGATATAAATATTCACATTACTCAATAGTGTTATTGCCTTAGTAATCCCATCACCCTAATATTAAACACCCCATAAATGGTCCCAAAAAATGCAGAAATTCCCTACTTTCACCATGGTTTCAATTAGCTGTCCCACCTTCGCGCGCGAGGCACCAGAGGTTTGCATGGTGCCTTATGGCCTGGTCGCACAGGTGCCGTGCTCGCGGTGCTCGCGGCTGGCTTCGCTGGGACCTGGTTGTAAGTTGCATGGAACATCATGGGACCTAAGGTGAAAACGATATCAAGATGACTCAAGATGACTCAAGATGACTCAAGATGACTCAAAATTCGACTCAAATCAGACTGGGGGTCTCGTTTTGTTTCTTCCCGAGAGCGTTTGAGCGAAGGGTTCTTCTACTAGTGGGGGTTTGTCAAACATTTTCACATCTTCACGTCTGCACATCACATCTTCTCATCTTCACATTTTCACATCCTCACATCACATCTTCACATCTTCTCATCTTCACATCTTCACATCTTCACATCCTCACATCCTAACATCTTCACATCTTCACATCTTCACATTCTCTCTTGCCCTCTTGCTCTCTTGCCCTCTTGCTCTCTTGCCCTCTTGCTCTCTTGCCCTCTTCTTTTTCCTTCTTTTTTATTTCTCTCTTAAGGCGCGGGACAGTGCCAACGAGACGGCACGAAACGCAACCCTTTCGCACGAAACGAGTTTCGATCGCCAAAAGCTGAGGTAAAATTGCGATTTTACAACCTCGGCGGCAACCATTGCGCACGAAACGAGGTTCGATCGCCAAAAACTGATGTGAAATTGCGATTTTGAAGTGTCGGTCGCAACACTTTCGCATGAAACGAGCTTCGATCGCCAAAAACTGATGTGAAATTGCGATTTTGAGTGTGCCGCGACAACCTTTCGCACGAAACGAGCTGCGATCGCCAAAAGCTGAGGTGAAATTGCGAGATTGAGTGTGCCGCGACAACCCTGTCGCACGAAACGAAGCGAAACGAGGTTCGATCGCCAAAAACTGTGAAGTAAAATTGCGATTTTGAGTGTGCCGCGATAACCCTTTCGCACGAAACGAGGTTCGATCGTCGAAAACTGATGCAAAATTGCGGTTTTCACGGGTCCGGCGCAACCCTTTCGCACGAAATGAGGTTCGACCGTCCAAAACTGAGGTAAAATGGTTCTTTTTGCATGGCAACATGGCATTGGCGGCCGACTGCTCTGATTCATATACGTTTTGATTTCCAAACGTATAGTAAAATTGCAGTTTCGCAAGTTTGCGTGCAACCCTTTCGCACGAAATGATGGTCGAGTGTGAAAAACTGGGGTGAAAGCTTTTGTGTGTAAAAGGGTTTGCGCGTAAGAGCGTCTGTGTGTAAAATCGTCTGTGTGTAAAAGGGTCTGCGTGTAAAAGCGTGTGCGTGTAAAAGTGTCTCTGCGTAAACGCTTCTGTGTGTGGAAGCATCTGTGTGTAAAAGCACCTGTGTAAAAGCGTTTGTGCGTAAAGGGTTATGTGTGTAAAGGCATCTGTGTGTAAAAGCATCTGTGTGTAAAAGCGTTTTTGCGTAAAATTGTCTGCGTGTAAAAGCGTCTGTGTGTAAAAGGGTTTGTGTGTGTGAAAGGGTCTGTGTGTAAAAGCGTTGTTGCGTAGAAGCGTCTTTGCATCAAAGCGTCTGTGTGTAAAATCGTCTGTGTGTAAAAGGGTTTGCGTGTAAAATCATCTGTGCGTGTGTGTCTGTGCCTGTGTGTGTGTGCGTGTATGTGTCTTCCTCTTTGTGTTCTGATTGTGTGTGTGTGCGTGTGGTGTCTGTCTGTGTACCGTGTGTGTGTGTGTCTGTGTCTGTGTCTTTGTTTGTGTGTCTGTGTGTGTATGTGTTTCTTTGCTGTCTGTCTCTGTCGGTCTCTCAAATTTTGTGTCTATCTTTGTCTGCTTCTGCTTAGAAGCTGCCATAGCATTTCTATCTCCTTTCTGCTGATCATCTGCATCATCTTCAATGAAGCTTTCACCTACAATGTCTTTGATACTACTTACAAGAGAGTAACATGCTCTTCTACGCTCTCGGGCCATCCGTCATTGATCTCTTCAGTATCAACCCTTCCCTATGTTTGGTTTCGCGAACATCGGTCGAATCGACCGGCCGTAGAGGCCGTGGAGGTGCTTTTCGTAGAAAAGCGAAAGAACGTGGAGAACTGGTTGGTGGTAGATGATGGGTATCTTACCAACACACCAAAGAGGGTTTAACATGATTTAACCAAGCAAAACGGCGATAGAATGGTTATGATATGTTATGATTGGGTATGTAGGCCACTGATGACATGCTGACTGGTTTCATTACCATGCCCAGTGTAGGTCTCCGTGTGAATTCTCTGGGGGTAAACTATCTACAGGGTTGATTCCCTTGAGATGTTGTTTTTCTCAGGGCAAATCCTGTGTTGTCCATGACTTCTAGTTGTCCCTGCGTGCGAAAATGCAGAGGCTACGGGGGCTTTTCTCAGGATCGAAGACAGTGGTGGCATTGTCACTTCCGATGAAGCCGAACTGTGACCCTCCGGAACTTGATGTGACAGAACCTGGTGGCTACCTCACCTCCATTGGACATCAAAATGTCCAGCAAAAAGGCTATCATATCTGAAGCGTCGGCTTGCTTGTGTTATGCCATTCTTTTGGCGCTTGGAGGTACAAACATTTGAAACATTTTGGAACCATAGATGTCCTCGTTTCGACTGATGGGTTGGTTGATAGAGATCCGGATCGACAAAACGTATCCTCCGGTAATCAAACTTAAGGATGGGAAATCCTTTAGAAATGGAGGTTTCAATATGAACATAATCTATATGTGATGCATTTTGCATTGCCATGTTTTACCACCCATGTTTGACTACCGGAGGGTCCGTGATTGGCATATTCCCAATGAATCCCAATGATCTGATGCAAAATTTGGGGTATCTCCCATCAGACAGACCTAAATCGATTGTATGGTATACCACGGTTTAAAAATGGTTTCATCAATGTACTTGAAAAAATTGCCCACTTCACATTTTTGCCTCCCCTGTAAACTGACCAAATTCTTTTCGGAAAATCCCACCCTTTTGCAGATGATTTTCCGAGGAAACCATGGCCCAAGTGGACGCCCTCCGCAGTGCAGGTGACATCCCTAAATTCGGGCTCTGTGCGACTATCGTGGTGCCTACACCCAGAGCCAGCCAGGAGAGAGGTAGGGACCATTGTTTCCATAGACCCTTGTTTTTGGGTGGCTCTGATCTAGCTTGTTGGTTTTGGCGTTGAGTCATGTCAAGTCCAATTGTGTCAAATCATCCTGGTAGATTCTGATGTCTCCCCACTGTTTCGGGGTTCGTCCAGCCTGGGGCTTATCTCAGGAACGGGTTTTTCTTTGCTGAGGATGAGACCCAATCCCTTTCAAAACCCATTGTGCAAAATCAAACATCTACAGAAGGCAAATGAATAAGATGTGAGGTGCCACTCCATAACATCATGTATTTTCAAGTAATTATTCAGAGGGGCACATGGATCTTCCTCAGCCGAGAACTTGAAGGCTTCCTACCGTGGCCGTTTCGGTCATTCCATCAGATACCCGGAAAGGGTCAACATTTTTCAGGCCTAGGAGACCAAAAAACATCGTTTTTCATTCTTAATGTCAACATTGTCAAGCATCGAATTTTTGGGGTATCTAATGGTATCTAATGATTCATTAATGATGGTATCTAACTTTGACTCATACCCTCTGGTTATTTAACATAGCCATGGAAAATCCCTTATAAATGGAGGTATCTAGCTGGGAAAATCATCTATAAATGGGCCATCTATACCATGGCTATGTTAGTCATAACCAGAGGGTATCCACCTATTGACGGTTCTATGCTCATTCTATCTCCATGGTCAAATGAGCCAAGCCGCACCCATGGGACCCAGGCTTTTTGACTGGGAGGCAGCACCATCCGACATCAGCGAGGTGGGGCCATGGCCACGACTCAGATGGGCCAGATGGACCTGAAACTGTTGGGAAAACATGGGAAACCAACGCCATTCTTATGGATGAACTGGTTGATCATCAAGTTTTTAAGATGATAATATACTGATATAAGATCTGGTTGGTGGTTTGGAACATTTTTCCATATATGGGGAATTTCATCATCCCAACCATGGGACAATGTTCTACAACATACAAATGGGACATTTTATGGAATCGGCCATTGCCATGTTTGATTCCCGGACGATACTCTGTTGGTTGTTTGATGACTACGCTCCAGCAAGCCGCTATGTCACTAGCCGGGCCTTAGCGAAGTTGTTGGAGGCTCTTATAGGGGTGTGTGTATATGTATACATACTTACATATATATATATATATATACATATATGTATGTATATATATATAATATTGATATAATATATATATAATATAATATATATATGATATAATATATATATATGATATATGTATATATATTATGTATATATGTATATATATATATATATGTGCGCAACAGTTTGTCCAAAGCTCAATCCGTCTCCCTTCAGACAGGGTATTCCGAGAAACCGCCAATGTGGAACTGGGTTACTGCCAGTCATGGGGTACCATGAAATTAATTGGTCACTTGAAATGGGGAAAGAGGTCGTGATGAGTGGTACCCCAATCTTCAGAATTACCAATATTTTGATATCATGGATTATTAACTCATTGTGTCAATATTGACATTGTTTCATTGGAATGCGACCAGCACTTATGTGCGCAAGCCTTCGGTATAGACCCGTTCATGCAACCCGTTGTGTTGTTGATAGTTGCATTCTTATCCCATTTTTGTCGATCAACAGATAGATGATATGTACTGATATGTAGATAGACAGATAGATAATGATAGATAATGATAGATAATGATAGATATATATATATAATTAGACTAATTAGACTCCATTAGACAGAATGAATCCTTACAAATGATATTTCCCAGGACATCCCTATTGTGCCTCCTTGAAACGGGACAGGCACAAAGAGGCTTCGAAGTTCTTTGGTGCGAAGCAGTCGGAATCTCAGGGATGCGCCCTTGGAGCATCAGGGGAACTTCCCTTCGGAAAGACCAGAAAATTCCATTACCCCCCCTTCAGAGTAGATGGCCCCGCCCTCTTCCAAAGTGCGCGTGTAGATGGCGCCGACTTTTTGAATTTTGACACCCCAAAAAAGGGCGTGACATCCATCCCCCTTACTTTTGTGGGTCGCGCCATCTATGCCAGAATGTGTTGCCAATGTGTTTCAGGGTTGCGCCATCTATGCAGGGGGAAAGGGAAAGGAGAAAGGAGAAAGGGAAAGAAAAAGGAGAAAAGGACAGGGGAAAGGGAAAGGAAAAGGGGAAAGGAAAAGGGACAGGGAAGGGGAAAGGGAAAGGAGAAGGGGCCAGGAGAAAGGGAAAGGGACAGGGAACTGGATTTTTCTTCGGGAAACCATAGCTGTGGATTGCGCCATCTATAGGTTACCACTGCGTTCCATTTGTAAAGGGAAAGGGAAAGGAGGAGGGAAAAAGGAGAAAAATACAGGGAAAGGGAAAGGAGAAAGGAAGAGGGGGGAAGGGAATGAGAAAGGGAACGGGGAAAGGAGAAAGGGGAAATGGGAAAAGGAGAAAGGGAAAGGGGAAAGGGGAAGCATAGGGGAAAAGGAGAAAGGGGAAGGGACAGTGAGGGGAGGAGGGAAAGGAGAAAGGATTAAGGGAAAGGGACAGGCAACTGGATTTTCTGGGGGAATTCATAACTGTGGATTGCGCCATCTATAGGTTACCACTGCGTTCCATTTGTAAAGGGAAAGGAAAAGGAGGAGGAAAAGGAGAAAGGAGAAAAAGAAAGGGAAAGGAGAAAGGAGAAAGGAAAAAAGGAGAGAACAAAGAAGGGGAAAAGGAAAGGAGAAAGGGAAAGGAGAAAGGGAAAGGGAAAGGAGAAAAGGAAAGGGGAAAGGGAAGGGGAAAGGAAAAAGGGAAAGGGACAGTGAAAGGAGGAGGGGAGGGACAGGAGAAAGGAGAAAGGGAAAGGGAACTGGATTTTTCTTCGGGAAACCATAACTGTGGAAATGCGCCATCTATAGGTTACCACTGCGTTCCATTTGTAAAGGGAAAGGGAAAGAATGAGGGAAAAAGGAGAAAAATACAGGGAAAGGGAAAGGAGAAAGGAAGAGGGGGAAGGGAATGAGAAAGGGACCGGGGAAAGGAGAAAGGGGAAATGGGAAAAGGAGAAAGGGAAAGGGGAAAGGGGAAGCATAAGGGAAAAGGAGAAAGGGGAAGGGACAGTGAGGGGAGGAGGGAAAGGAGAAAGGAGAAAGGGAAAGGGAAAGGAGAAAGGAGAAAGGAAAAAAGGAGAGAACAAAGAAGGGGAAAAGGAAAGGAGAAAGGGAAAGGAGAAAGGAGAAAGGGAAAGGGAAAGGAGAAAAGGAAAGGGGAAAGGGAAAGGAGAAAGGAGAAAGGGAAAGGAAAAGGAAAAGGAGAAAAATATGCTTGGGTGTTTTGACTTGAGCCATCTCTCCGTGTGAAATCTGCAATTGGATGGCACTGTCCCAGGTGGTTGCGCCATCTATTTAGTAGTGAAAAAATCCTTTCCCCGAAAAACTTTTGTTGAACACACACACACCCCTTACTTTTTCAACGTTTTGATGACCGAAATGTCCAGTCCCGGAAGAAGGGATTTAAATTAAGAATGGGGTCGGGTAGATGGCGCAATTTGGCCCATTTTGCACATGTAGGGTTGCGCCATCTTCGGGCACATTTGCTGTTTCGGGTACATATCGGATTGATGTTTTTCACTACTAAATAGATGGCGCAACCACCTCTGAGAAAGTAGGTCAGAGCCATGCACTCTGAGGGGGGTGTAAGAACAATCCCCTAAAAATCTGGTTGGTGGTTTGGAACATTTTTTTTTCCATATACCCTCTGGCAAACTAACATAGCTATTGGAAATTGCCATTTATAGTGGATTTATCCATTAAAAATAGTGATTTTCCATAGCTATGTTAGTTTACCAGAGGGTATTGGGAATAATTTTCCCAACTAACTAATATTTGTCGGAGGGGTTGAAACCACCAAACAGAAATGCAATGATGGCAAGAAAATGATGGAACTTACATTTCCTGCTTAGCGATTTATGCCACCTATTAGTTTCTACCCAAACTGACCCTGACAATCTTGAAACACCCTATTAAGTTTCAAGGGATCAGAATCAGATAAGCCACATTCCAAAAGCTGGCAAAAAAAGGCGTGTCAAAAAGCGTGTGACTGCAATGCCATGTACAAGCCGTTCCGTCCACGCCTACTTTGTTGCTGTATCCCTCTCGCTTGGTTTGATGTATACCCGATAGAGTCAAACAGTGGTTGGCTGTTATTCGGGGTTGTCGCAAAATGGCATTGTTTATCTGCTTGTGCCTGAGCCTACCCCAAAAATGGAAATTGTTGACGGGGAACATGATGGTTAATCAGTGCATCTGGGGTATCTCATGGCATACGGTACTGTATATCCCATTGTTTGTCCAAACCATTTAAAGTTAGGAGTATAGGAATATTCTCAGATTGCCTCATGATATGCAGCCAGCAACAAACAAATAAGCAAACAAACAAACAAACAAAGATAGACTCATATGTATTTGTCTCAAAATAGTCGAGCCAGATTTTATTGTTGATGATCATTTTCCTGACTAAAATTGCTAGTGTCCCCCATTCTTGGGCAAACTGCCTACTGAATGTATCACGAATGGTTTCTGCACATGTGGACTGCTAAGACCAAGTCCATGGCGGAGCAAGTTGTTTTGGTGTAAAAGCTGTGGATGTGCTAAGTTGTAAGGCCCATCAAATTGCCTTGCGTAGGTTCATACCATTTCTTTCACTTGTTCTTGTTCTAAAATGTTATGCATACTATATAATCACATGTCAGCATCATAAGATCATTCAACAGAAATATATCAAAATGTTTCTGTTATCAATGTTACATTAGTCGGTTTGTCTGAAAATAGTGTACCTCATTCCATCCATTGGTTAGCCATCACTTTCCCTATCCCATAGGATCCATGTATGCTATATATGGTAACATGGATCCCATCAATATACCCCATTTATGTTAGGATATATACCAGCACCATGGATCCTATGGGTATTCAATGGTTAAGAATGGGTATACACCATTTTCAGACCCGACATTCGTTCCCAGGACGCAGAAGAAGTCAGAAGACAAAGCTTCGAAAGGTCGCTTCGGGCTCTGGATGGACTCCTAGAGGGCCCCAGTTCGTTTGCTAAGTTTGCAACTAGCATAAGGCTTGGAGTTATGAGGATCTCGTGATATTCATGGTCGATCATTGAATTCATATGGATGTATAGTTATTTCATGTATATATATATGTATATGTATATATATATGTACTTTATATATATACCTTGTATATATATATATACATATATACATATATACATTATATATATATACATTATATATACATTATATATATACACATCATATATACATTATATATACATCATATATACATTATATATACATTATATATACATTATATATACATTATATATACATTATATATATGTATATATATAATATAATATATATATATACGAACACATTATATTATATATAGTGTATATATATATGTATACATTATATATATACATTATATATATAATAATATGTATATATATATGTATAATTACATTATATATATATATGTAATGTGTATATACATATATATGTATACATTACATATATATATACATTATGTATAATAATATGTATATATATATATGTATACATTATATATGTATGTAATGTGTATATACATATATATATGTATACATAATATATATATATATGTGTATACAGTAGTATACATTATACATATATATATATACATATGGCAGATGTATCGAACTAGTCTAACTATGGTGTTTTTTTCACCAACTGATAGCTGGGCTGTGGCACCTTGCCACGGCCACCTCCCCAGTCGCTTTCGATCTGGAAAAGCCACCATTTGTACATCATTTTCTGAAGGGGAAATGCTATGTATTTTTAAACGCCTCTTTTTGTATGGATGTTTACCCTAGGCTAAACCAACGAACGTGCTCCGGAAATCAAACATAGCAGTTGAAAATCCAGCATTTATAGAGGACTTTTACATACTTTTACCCCACTAAAAACATCATAAAACATATTACCGTCTGGTAAACTAATATGGCTACAGAAAATTGCCCATTTATAGTTGATTCACCTATTAACATTTTCCAGTTCGCTACGTTCGTTTACCAGAGGGGAGCACCATTAGTTGTGGATGACACCCAAGGCTATCCCATCAAAAATGTCCGCCGGTCGAGGTCGCCGGCACAATTGGAGTTGCCACCGGGCACACGTTGTCGCTTGCAGGTGGGATGCGGGCACCAAGGAGGACGATGGGATAGGGGGCTTTCATGGCTATCTATGTGAGGTTTTGGATTGATGATGGATTTATATATGATGATTTTTATGATGATTGATGTGTTTGTTTATCTCAAAAAGACGGGGAACACTCGGAATACTTTAGGAATTGTGCTTTTTAATTAATGTGCCTTTGTGTCATAAAGATGGGGAATGTGGAATACTCTATTTCAAGGTGCCAATTTAAATTGGAGACGATGATACATTTTGACGTCATCACCAGTTGTGGTTGCTTCGAGCCTTAGATGAATAAAAACAATCCCGCAATTTCACCATTTTTATACCCTCTGGTAAACTAACATAGCTATTGAAAATCACCATTTTTAATGGGAAAATCCACTATAAATGGCCATTTTCAATAGCTACGTTAAATTACCAGAGGGTAGGTGATATGTTTACCATTCCCAGTCATGGCTGTTTTTTGGCATTGTTATAACCACCTTACTGAAGTTTCGGAGTTGCGTTGCCAGAGATTGAGATCCCACACATCGAAATGGAGCCGCCTTTGACTAATTTCATTTTGGCGATACCCCTAGCATTTCTGACCGTAAATTAAACTCCTCCAAGGTTCAAATATGTAGTTTGTAAGTTGCAAGATACAGAGATGACCCTTAAAATCCGGTAAAGAGATCTACAGTAAATAGTTCGTATTTGGGGTTTCCCCTAACAGCAACTTGCCACTGGTACACACTATGTTGCCCATTCCCCGTGGATCTCAACAGTGCTGGATTCACGTTGGATGCCAGGTGAAAGCTGTTCTGAGAACGCCAGGTGGGCGGGACGCGAATGGGGTACCGCAAGTGGGGTGAAGCCACTTACAGACCTAGCTTGGTGATGCTTGGTGCCATGGTACCACCTTGAATGGACCCACAGATGTTGTCATTTTTGTATATGTTTGTTGTGTTCAACCGGCCAATTCTTTAAGGTAAAGAATTCTGAACCACAGCCATAGATGTGTAGAGTTTAGAGAGTATATCGAGTCAACATTTCCCTGAAATTGGATGGGTCATGCTGATACTAAAAACATGGCCCCAAAATTGTTGCTCACTGGATCTTAAAATGAGTAGTCAGTGGTGACCAACATCGTTCACTGTTGCGACAACGCCATAAGCCGTCCAGCTTTGGTCCCACAGAGGGAGCCAGGTTTGAAATGCAGCCAAGTAAGCCACAGGGAGATCATGGCTTTCAATGGTTTTCATGTCCTGGATTTGCTAAAGATGATTATCTTTATTTTCCCAATGGTCCAGTCCACCACTTGTTTTTTTTGGAGGGCCTCAAGCAAATCCGCGATGTGTGTTTTTTATTTTTTTTCAGAAAATGCCTGTACCATCATCCCACCTGCTTCAAAAAGGGGATCCAGAGGTTCAACCTGCAGAAATCGAAATCTGGCATGAAAAAAAATCAAACTCTGCTCTGTGTGTGTATGAATAAAATATGTATATTTATACTATTTAACTATATAGTGTATTATATATATATATATACATTGTGTATTTGAATAAGTTCATTTCTTTTGATAGATATGGTGCATATATATATAATATACACATGTAGGTATAGTGTATAATATACACACCATATGATTACTGTACTTAGTGATACATCTATATATATAGATTATAGCCATCCATAGATAGTTTTCCTATGATCAACAATGAGTTTCCATTGCCATTGCCAGATGCCGATGCAAATGCCGACGCCTTGTGGACTTCCAGCGTGTCTGCAGCCGTGGGGAAACCAAGGGTGGTGGTAAAGGATATTCATCCCCTCAAGTATGGTATAAAAGGCTTTGATCCATACCTATATTTACATATTTATGATTATTTATACCAATTTCATCCTTTTCTAAGTGATTTTGGGTGGGAATGAACCATAAAACGTGTCTTTCGGTTTGCCGTGTTTGATACACAGGAGAAACTCTCCACTAAACAGCGATGGCTGGATAATCCCCATGTTGGGGCCCGGTGGATTTGTGCCAGGTATTGGAGAGCAATCAATTATATAGGTATTTGTTTACATGTTGGTACTCTACTGCTGAAGGGCACACTGAAACCGGACCACTGCAGCCGTTTTTCTGGCCACTGCGCTGTAGCTACGCGTTTCGTCCTCTCTGGGACTCGTTCAGGCCGCGCTTGTAGCCAAAAAGGGCTTTGAAACGTATGCCAAATGTCTAGCAAGCTCCAAAAAGCATGCACAACACTTGGCAAAACAGCATGGTTGTTTATACGCTTAAGAAACCAGAACCCACCCCCCACCACATCTGCGCCAAAATGCCAAAAAAGCGGAAGTCAATGTGGTTAGTGCCAATTCAAACTGAAATTTCTCCTGAAATTGTTGCACTGGATGCTATAGGAAAGAAAAATTCTACACCAGAAGTGAACCTAGACTGCACAAGAGACGCGTGTTTTTTCACAACGCGTTTTATGACTGAGACGTTCAAAGAAGAACTGTGCTGCTGGCGGCAAAAGAACTTTTGTGGTTGTTGCTGACTGGCTGTCGGGCATTTTAGTTTCTTGACAGTTTGCATGGCAAGGCGTCGTGCCTCCTCTTTGCAGTAGCCTCTGTGTTGCAGTTTGTCAAAAAACAGGTCTACATACTTGGCAAAAGCTTTGGCATTCTTCCTGGGGGGTTTGTTCGGTGTAGCCTCTGCGTCTCACCAATCACCGAAGCTTTGAACACACGGGGTGGGTGACATGAAGTCCGTGGCAAGTACAAGTATGCGTTCTGCGGCTTTCGGAAAGTCTCAAAAGAAATGGAACAATCTCCCATGCGCAGTGTCAAACTAAGATCCAGGAAATTCACTGCCATACCGGAACCGGACATCTCCCAAACGATGTTCGGATGCCAGATGTCGAGTTCTTGAAAACACTCGTCTTTTGAGTCCAGAGGAAATATTGCAAAAGCATCGTCTATAATGTAACGCTTCCACATGAAAATCCAGGAACATCTCTGAACAAGAAAATCGTCAAAAGCAGCAAGGCACAAGTTGGCAAACACGACGGAAGCTTGCAATCCAGTAGGTAGACCACTTTGGTACATGCCATGTGTCTGCTTCAAATTCGACATATTGTACGGCAAGCAGAAACTTAGTGAGCTTGACTATCATGGCCCCAAAACTGGGCTTCGAACTCCAGAAAATCCTTACTTTGCTGGCAATGACACTGAGGAAATGCCGTTGGTCAATGCTGGGGTATAGATTCCGCACAGGAACAACGCAATCCACAAGCTGTTTCACTAGATCTTGCGAAGACTGAATGACATGCAGCTGTCTTTCTAGCATAGGCGCCAGTGCTTCGGTGAGAAAAATTGACAAGGGGCTAAACCAAGCCTTGCTCAGGTTCATGATTGGCCTGCCTACCACTGGGGACTTGTGCAACTTCACTCTGAGTCGAAAACTGCCGACATTGTTGGAACCGAAACCCTTGCGGATGAACGCTGCTAGTCTGGTGGATATGGAACCCGCAAGCACTGACTGCTGCAAAAAACTATCCAGCAGGATTTTCAAATTGGCAGAAGAATCCAGGAAGTCTGCCCGGGAGACTTTGTACCAGGCTCCAGCAATCTCAAGCACTCTTGCCTAACCCAGTGCTTGGGCACAATTGCATCACCAAGGTTCTTGTCGCAATCCACGACGCTGATTTCACGTCGGTGTTGCCACAGCCATTTCCGAGCAGCTTTGTCAATGAAATCCTGAGAAGAGCTACTGAGTTCTTCTCGCAGCAGCCTGCCATATGCGGAAATGATGGGATCCTCTTTGTGCTTCCAAGCAGTTCGGAGACGGCAACGTCTGAAAAGCGTAGGTTCAAGTGCATGTCTGTCAAAAAACAATGCCGTATGCAAAGACCTTTCAAAAGCAGAAACACTTGTCAAGACTTGAGCAGCTGAACTGGCACATCTGCCCGCCACCAACTTACCGCCTTTCGACAAATACGCAAGGACATGCGTGGGGATCTCAAAATCTGGCGAAGTCAAAATATGAACTGGCATGCAAAAACGACGTTCAAGCTGGACAAGAGACACTCCAACTTCTGGTGCTTTCATCTTGGAACTGCTTGTGCATCTGTTGCTGTAGCAACTAGTTCTGCACCTGCTGTGACTGAACCAGCTGCAACATAAGTTGCTGGCTACTTGGCATGTTCTGTGCTTCTGCTAGAGCTGGCAATCCTGGATGCGCTGTCCAGGCTACATGAGCTGGTTGTGAATAACCTTCATTAGGCCGACTACGACTTCGAAGAGCCGCGGCTGAGATCATGGAATTAGCACGAGGTGCAGGACGCTCCACGGCGAATGTGCTGGTAGTTGCGAACACTCTACTGCTGAAGGGCACACTGAAACCGGACCACTGCAGCCGTTTTTCTGGCCACTGCGCTGTAGCTACGCGTTTCGTCCTCTCTGGGACTCGTTCAGGCCGCGCTTGTAGCCAAAAAGGGCTTTGAAACGCATGCTAAATGTCTAGCAAGCTCCAAACAGCATGCACAATACCTGGCAAAACAGCATCATTTGTGCGCTTGAAATACCAGAACCCACCTCCCACCACATCTGGTTACGCCATATGATTATATATGAGTATATATGCTTATGTATGATTATATGATTATTTTTGGTTATATATGCTTATATATGATTATATTTGATCATATTTAGTTCTATTTGATTATATTTGATCATATTTAGTTTTATTTGATTATATATGATTATATTTGCTTATTTGTGATTATATATGTTCATATTCAATTCTATGAAAATATATGAAGTATATGATTATATCAAAATATTTGAAAATATGATTATATATGATTATTTTTGATTATACATATATTGGTGGCTATGTATAATTTTATATTTACATATACACATACAACTGAATGGGTTTACAGACCAGGCTTGTCTACCTATTTGTTAAAGTTGCTGTCTCTTTCCTGTTTTTTTTCGCCAGTCACCACCTGGCAAAGGTCAGTGCTGATCTCCGATCCGCAGATCGAAAGGTGATGTTGTGGTTGGGGCTGGATGCTGGCGCGGTGGACGAGTATAATGTGGCGAACCTAATAATAAACTTACCAGCCATTTGTGAATTATATTTACCACCCATGTGCGTTAATGTTGGTCATGGTTCTTAATTGGGTTTTCCACATTACAGGGTTTCTTACTTTTTTTTGGTCAGTCTTTCAACAGATAGATACCCATTTTTTCGCATTCCTTGCATCTTGCGGGAGATTGGAAGTCAACATTCCCTTTGCTATTTGGGTCAGGCTATGGGTCAAGGTTTCACACACTGGGGGACCACAGATTTTGGCAATTCTTTAGTATTAAACATCTAATTGTTGGGGGGTGGGCCAATTTTAACCCATATGATTCTGTATTTTTTTGCGAAATGATTCTGCAGACGATATACGGTATGAAATATCGTTAGATAGCGTCATAGATTGTTATTTTCTTGACACTGATTTTACAGTTTCATGCACAATGCATGTTATGTCCCTCTGAGGGTTTCATATACTTTCTTTCAACATACTATGTTTTGTCGACAGTTTCATATAATAGCCATATTCTTCAGATATTTTGCAGATATTTAACTATAGTTTATATTCAGAATACATGACACCCAGAACAAAGATTGGAATATTACCAACATATATACCGTTACATACATATATCTGATTGGATTATGGTTAGTATTCAAATGTAAAGATTATTGTTGCCCATCACAATATATATATATACACATGAAGTAACAGATGGTTAAATCCCGTTCAATTCCCCTTAGATCCCCCTTATATTCCTCATAATTCCCAGGCGACATCCTCGGAGCCAGCCTCCCCGGCACCATCGAACCCGGCATCTGCGACCCCGTCCTCGCTCTCCGGGGTCTCCGCGCCGTCCTTTGCACAGACGGGACACCCGGCATGGGCGATTCGTTGGTTTTTCAATGAGAAAAAGTGGGTGAACCCACCTAAGCCATGTATAATTCAATACAATATAGTTTATATTAATTAAATTTACAATATGACAAGATATAATGTAATATAATAGTATAGCTAATTGGATTTAATATAATATCTATACTATGGTGCTTTTCGATTTGATATGCTTTAGTATAGCATCACATCATTTTCTATTATTTAATGGCATATAATGTGATAAAATATGCTGCAATATAATGTTGTGTATAGTACAGTGTTTATTGATCTAACATGATATAATATAATTTAATAGTTTACAATTTTGTTTAAGAACCCGGTATTATTTTATATAATGGTATCTAATATCATATGATATAATTAGTTTATTGAAATTGAATAGTTCAAGATATTATGTAAAATGTTAAGGATGATACAAAAAAAAACACGTATTATATTTCAATATAACATATATATAATACTTATAAATTGGTGGTTGTTCCATTCACCAGTGCTTACTTATATATAACCTCGAACTGGGGTACGCATTTTAGATAGATTGGTTTTTACAAGGTGCGGTATTCTTCCAAGCATGACTACATAGTTGTCATTTAGCAACTGGGATAGCCTTCCAAGTGGGTGTTTCCAAGCTTGAGGATTTACAACAATGGGATCAATGGGATACAAAGAAAGGCCATGAAGGAACTAATGGACTAATCATCCTCCAGTTGGGCGCCGTCACAGTGGGAATGTCGTGAATGTCGTTAGTCTATCGTATTGATCAAGATGCCTCTGCTTCTTGCTTCTCCCATATGTTTTAAGCAGTTCAATCTTATTCAATCCGGTTCACGCAATTTCTGTTGCTTGAATATGTTTGAATCATTCTAGCCTGAAACACCCACATCTCATGGGTGTTCAATCACTTCAAACCGCATTGTTTACTTCCTTCGATGCAGTTGTTAAGACCCAATTTGGTTGCAAAATACAATCATGTTGCTGGCTGTGTATGCCATCAGATTTCACTATTCTTTTCCCATAATATCCCACCAGAGACACACCATCTAAAATATTCCCTTTACATATTAATATAGCTCATATATACAAATATACTATACATATATTCTCAAGATAAACCCCCATGATGTCACCGTTTTTCCTTAAATTCCCCTTTTGGATGGTGGAAGGGCTCTGCGTGTTTCAGGCCCAGGCTGAAGGGTCGCGTGGCTGCGAACTTCACAGTGTCTTGGTGTTGCATCTGGGTGAAAATTGAATGAATGGGAATATATTGGTCTATAATGGTTATAATAATGATAGTAGGTTCATGATAATGATAATGAATGATAATGATGAAAATATTATAATGGCTAATGGGATTTCAATGGCTATAATGATCATGGGAGTATCATGATAATGGGTACCGGGTAATAATAATGAATAATGGGGATAAGGTACTGATAATGTAATGAATGGGAATAATGGGAATAATATAATGCTAATGGGAAATAATAATAATATAATCAATGGGAATAATGGGGATAATGGGTTGATGGATAATAAATGAAATAATGGTTATAATCCGCATCGTTATTATGGTTGCTAAATGGTGAGTGTTTGATAACCATTAGGATATAAGGGGGTTTTATTGTTAACACATGGAATGGTAAGCGTTATTCACCATCTATATACATGTTTCAGGATAAATTTGACTAAGACGGGTTTATTAATGTGATTTAATTGGATATAACGGAATACTAAATGATATAGTGGTTTGATTGAATAAAAAATGTTATTCAATTTATTCGGTGTAAACCATCTGTTTCGGGATATGATGAGAGATCATGGGACATCTGGGTGAAGTTTGATGAGTTAAATAGAAAGTGAGTCCGGTATCTTTTTGCAACGGAAAAGAACGACTAGGGTTGCGTACTTCACTTTACTTGCCAAGAAGTTTGTTTTAGGAGGCTTACTAGCCACAGATAGTCAGATTTCAATGTCTTTGGACTTGGATTCTACTAGATTGGTTTACCAGGCAATACCACATCTCTCGCCAACAGTTTACCTTCTGGTAATCAAACATGGCAATGGAAATTTCTAGTAACATCTCCATTTAGAAGGCATTTCCCAGCCACGTTTGATTACCAGAGGGTAATCTTTAAGAGGATCAACAAACCCGCAGATCTTCACAGTTTCTGATCTTCCAAAGCGAGGATTTCTTGAAGCGGACTCCACCTTCCAGCGGGCCCAGCGCTGCAAAGAACAACGCAAAGGTGGGACATCTTGGGTGATTTTGGGGACTGGATCACATTCCTTGACTAGGACAAAATCGGGATATGTATGGATATGTGATGGAGATATAAGGGGAACTTTTTACAGGGATATAATGAGGATATGGTGGGAATAGAATGGGGATTATATAGTCATAAAATTGGTAAATTGCGATTTAACTAGGATATCTGCGGATATCATGAAAATATCATGGGGAAACTAAGAGCATATCAGATTGATACCCAAAACAGTGTCACCAGACGTGGCTGGCAAATACCCATCAAAAATGGGCATTGAAATGGGCAAGCCACGTTTGACTCCCAGCGGGTATTCCAGAAACATCCGGAAACCATCTTCTATGTTCGGAACACATGAAGTTTTTTCAACGCGTCTCACAGGACTTTTTTTCCACCCAATATGAAATATTCCCATAGAAACCCTGTGAAAAAATCTTGAATCGATTCATTGCATTCCCTTACTGGGGGTCTTAATATTCGATGATTGAAAGTTGATTGTGCCGACCATTCCGCATGTACTGTCTTGACCCGGGTATTCATAATTTGAGTAATCAAAATTGGTCGCCCCAACAATGATTACTGAATACCAAAAAATAAAATAATAATAATAATGATGATGATGATGATAATAATATGTGGGGCCCACTGCCTTGAAAGGATTTGTTTCAACCTACAGTTCCCCAAATCCCAGGCCTATTGGCACATCCTCATTTTCTTGGTACAGAATTTTCAAAAAAACGATGTGCCAAATTTTCTTGGTATAGAAATCCCCCAAATTCTATAGAAATCTACCATGTAGAATCATCATTTCCCCATCAAAACCGATGATTTCTTGACGCCAGGTGGTCATGGGTGGTTCTGCTCCCAAGGCGCACCTGACATTGTTACCATGAGCAGGGACATACTGTCGGTGTTGTATATATATATACATGTTCTATATCATAATATATACATATATATATATATATACATATATATATATATATTGCATAGATGCATGATGTACATTCTACATATAATTACGTATAATACGTGTATATATGTATATATGTATACACACATCGTTTTGCTATACATGTATACATACACGCATATGTTTTGCTATATATACAGACATACAGATATACAGAATACATATGCATCCTTTGTATGATAGCGTAAATACCTGGGACATACTGTACCCTTCACTTCGCTATCGCTGTTATGGAGGTTCCCTTGGCTCCTCCTGGCCCTCTGGGGTCTCTTCAGCCTCGTGTGGTGAACGTAGCTTGGGCCTATAAGAAGGGCATTGTGAAAGGGGAAGAAAGTGACTTGGAGATGTCAAAGTTGATGCCAACATTGAGGAAAATGGTGGTTTAATGAGATATGAATGGGGATATTAATAGACATATAGTCAACCTGGGTTTGTTTAAGGGTGATATTTGTTATTAAGCAAATCCAAGTTGATTCGGGAATGGACTGGAATGAAGTGACAAGAAAGTGAATCAAACCACTACAATTCCCATTTGAGATGTGTCAAAAGCTTTGATCTTGCCAGACGAATGGTGGGAATAAACATTCACAACCACTAGCTAGCCATTTGTGACACGTAGGGGCATCAGGGCCTTGATCCATAGCCAACAGCTGCGATTGGGTGTTCTTTTCTGTCATTTGTATCTACAATGCATGTGTTGGTCACCCTGAGCCCTTACAAAAATAGAGTTTCAGCTTGGACAGGCGATTCGTTGACCCTTCGAAGAGCATTGAACAGCAATTTTTCCGCTCTGGCAATGTACCCTCTGGTAAACTAACATAGCTGGAAAATCACCATCTTTAGTAGGTAAATCAACTATAAATGGGCCATTTTCAATAGCTATGTGAAATTACCAGAGGGTAGTAGGGATGCTGCTTAGACTTGCTGTCTCACTCATTGCTTCCAAACCAGACATCGCAACTGGATAGGCCTAAAGGAAGGTCACAGTGCCTACTGGCATCAAGTGTATCGTGTCCTCTCAATCTCATGTTCGAGATACATGGCATGTTCATATAAGTATATTAACAAGAAGCATGTCATGCAATATGCATATATACACTCTATAAATATACGTGTGCTAATTATGAAGTCATATATATATAACGTTATGTTATATATATATATGGTATGCATTAATACATATATATATAATCACATGTCTAACAACAACATACATACATACATACATATATATATACACAAATACAGTCTTTCACGTTGGGCCAAAGCTCCAAGCAACTTTAACAAGCCACCAAGGCTGGGGCAATGGATCCCAACACTGAAAAGCGAGAGCTGGCTGAAAGGACACCTTTCGGGGCAGCGCGTTTCGGGCGGACACACATTTCCTGATGGATTGAGCATAGAAAATGTGGATATAATGAGGATACATCGGATATTTACCATATTTACCATATTTACCTACAGTTGCGTGTATTGAGGTAGCAGATGGAAGAATGAAGAATATACGTACCATAGAGACACCTGGATGATTTGGGTTGGCCATGCATGGGTTTGTTTACGGTTGACTTTCCCAATGTGAAATTCACCGAATCCGGAGAGATCGCCAGGATCCGCTTGCGCTCCGGGCCCGGTGGATCGCAGCTTGGGAAAAATTGGGATGTCACGGGGCGGGATTTTGAACAGATTTTCTCTGTGACTATATCCAATTATCACTGGTTGGTGGTTTCAAACATGTTTTATTTTCCATAATATATGGGATAATCCTTCCCATTGACTATTATTGTTCAAGATGGTTAAAACCACCAACCAGTTTATATCTTGTTCCAATATGTCCCAATGGGACCTAGTAGGACATTAGGAATGTTAGGGGAATGTACTATCTTATTTTTTTAAATGGGACCTAATGGAACCTAATGGGATTCTCTTGAACGGGACATTCAAATATTAAATGGATGTCTTTAATGGTTTTTTATGGGAATTCCATGCGACTGCATGTTGTGGCAGGGAGCTGATAGTGAGATATGGAAAACTTGATCGGAAGACGAGCCCAAGGGACTATTGGAATGGTGGAACTTTGGGGTATGGGATGATGTGGCCAGTAATTTTAATAGGTTTGACTACAGCATATTAACACCATGTTCATTGATTTTTGTTCAAGTACACATAGTTTACATAGACTGTATCCACGTGTTTGACTACTTTTCACATACACCTACAACAATCTTTCAAACATACTGAATGACCACCAACCAGCTGTCAGTTGATCCGCATTGTGCATGAATCATATCTTACGTGCTTCAGCATAGCTACAACAAGCGCCCCCTAGATAGGTATAGCTTGAACACATTACAATTATATAACCAAATTTGAGGTGGATATACCATGATTGATATACCTATACTTAGAGTTATAAGATATTGTTTCCAGTAGTACCGCACAAGACGGTGGCGGAAGTTTCAAGGATAGGACGCTATAGGAGAGATGCGTTGTTTTGATGCATGGATGGCAGAGCGAATCCACTGATGGACTGAAAGGTGGTTGGAGTTGTGCTTTTTCGAGTGGTTGCAATGGTTGCAGTGGTCACCTCACTCACAACTCCTGGATGAAGTGTGGTGTAGTGCAGTAGTTGCATTTGTAGTTGTAGTTGTAGTGGGGTTGATGTTGTTGAAGTTGCAATGGTTGTAGTTGTAGTAGTTGTAATAGCTGTAATAGTTGTAGGAGTTGTAGGAGTTGTAGTTGTAACTGTAGTTGAAGTTGCAGTTGTAGTGTAGTGCCGTGGTAATTGTTGTTGTAGTAGTGTAGTTGAAGTTGTAGTTGAAGTGTGGTTGTAGTGTAGCTGACATTGTAGTTGTAGCTGCAGCTGTAGTTGCAGTTGCAGCAGTAGTTGCAGATGTTGTTGCGGTTGTAGTTGTAGTGGCACTTGTACTTGTAGTTGTAGTTGTCGTAATTGTAGTTGAGGTTGCAGTTGTAGTTGCAGTTGTAGTTGAAGTGTAGTTGAAGTTGTAGTTGTGGTTGTAGCTGTGGTTCTTGTAGCTGAAGTGTAGATGAAGTGTAGTTGAAGTGAAGTTGTAGTTGTAGTGGTAGTGTAGTTGTAGTTGAAGTTGTTGTTGTAGCGTGGTGTGGTGCAGTTGCAGTTGTCTATTTATCTGTCTATCTATATATATGTGTGTGTGTGTGTTTAGCGTTTTGTCTTTCTGTCTATCTATCTGTCTACCTATCTATCTATCTATCGGTCGATCTATCTATCTATCTATCTAGCTATCTATCTGTCTATATCGATCTATCTATCTGCAAGTTTGAAGACGAAGCTATTCTGCGAGACTTCCTCAATTTTTGAACTTGACAACGTCAAAAACGAAGCAAGTCTGTGAGACCTCCTCAACTTTTGAACTTGATAACGTCAAAAACGAAGCAAGTCTGCGAGACTTCCTCAATTTTTCAAGTTGGCAGCATCCTTCAATAATGGAAAGTTGAGTGCAGAGCTGACGGCCTGGTACCAATGCGGTTTGCAAAGGTATTGCGCCTGCCACGAAAAAGTGAAGCCAGGTCATACGAAGTGCTGCACCTGTCATGCAAAATCATCTTAGCAAACCTGAAGATCTCATGCTCCAAAATGCAACCCCTCTCAGAAAATCTCCGCCCTGATCTCCTAACACATCTTCCTCGTCTCTTGTACTGCGCCTGCCATGCGAAATGCATCTTTCCAGATCCTCTTCAAATGTCCCACGCCTGCCATCGTTTCTGGGACTGCTACAAAACCCTGACGTTTTGCTCACGTTTTGCTCACTTTTGACAAGGGGCACAATCCCCTGCGCCTGCCACGCAAAACGACATCTGAACGTCCAAAAGTGCTCCGTACCCCACAGTTTTTTGCATTTTTGACTTCGAAATGTGCTTCGCACCACAAGGGCGTACACTTTTTCGACAGCGCAACTTCCCAATGTGCTTCGCGCCACAACGGCGTGCACTTTTTCGACATCTCAACTTCCAAAAGTGGTCCGACGTTGGAGTGCTTTGTGCATTTTGACTTGGAAATGTGCTTCGCGCCGCAACGGCGTGCACTTTTCCATCTCTCATCTGACCACATGGCTCCGCACCCGCCGCTTTAGCAAGCCTACTTTTCGACCCTCCAGAGCCACAAATCATTGGAAAACATAGTGTTTCGCGGCTTTTCTAACTTTTCTACCTTTTCGCGCACCTGCACCTTCGTTCCTCTGACTCTTTCTCTTCTCTGATCTTCTTTCTTCTTCTCTTCTCTGTTCTGACTCTTCCCACCTCTGCTTTTCCATCTGTCCGTATTGTCGGAAGTTTGACTTTTGAACTTCCTTCGGTAAGCCAACTATACCGATACTTAGAGTTATAATATGTTATTATAAGCCAACCTGAATCCGGGGCGTCTTCAACTGTAATACACTGTAACTTCATTGGTGCAGAAACCAATCGCAGCTGAGGAATTCCCTCGGTCACGACGATCGACCGCCCTGACACCTCAGTTTCCGGGTGGGTGGCAACATTGGTGGACTGGTGAGGGTTCTCTGGTGCCTTTCCCGTACATCTCATGCCATGTCGGTATGCTTGGCGTGCTCCCCTCTGTATCGCTCGGTTGTGTAGATGATATGTATTGACACTATGTGTGGAGCACTTAGGTTTTGCGACTTAGTTTGCACTTCCAGCATGTGTATTGCATATAGATATACTATGCACATATATATATATACAAATATACATATATACATATATACATATATACATGTATACATGTATACATATATACATATATACATATATACAGATATACAGATATACATATATATACATATATACATATATACATATATACATATATACATATATATACATATATACATATATATATATATACAAATATACATATATACAGATATACATATATACATATATACATATATATACATATATACATATATACATATATACATATATATACATATATACATATATACATATATACATATATATACATATATACATATATATATACAAATATACATATATACAGATATACATATATACATATATACATATATATACATATATACATATAAACATATTTACATATATACATATATACATATATACATATATACATATATACATATATACATATATACATATATATATACATACTGTCATTGGAGCGAATAGCGATTGGCCTCAACCAGACAAACAAAACCTGGGATGTGTATATAGTAAACGAGTTATGGAACGTGTTACCATGTGTTACCCCCACTTCTTTGATCTGTGCAATCCACTGGTCCGATAAAGGGAAAAACTTACAGGAAACAACAAGTTGTGATCAACAAACAGTCGGTGTCCTGGATCCGCCCTTTCAACCGAAATAAGAACC